TTGCGATTTAAGATTCCCACTCAACCACGCGGGCATCAGCCATTACACACATAATTCAAGATGGCGGCACACATCGCGTCTCAGTGAAGCCAGCTGCAATTGTCCATTGTGGGACTTTAAGAAGCATTGTCTGTAAGTTCGTTTATTGTCTTATAAAATTGGCAATGCTGTTATAATGTTAGAATGACCGTTATAATTATGTAAATGCCTTTATAATGCTGTTAAATTGTTATGATAAAATACGAGGCCTAGTTAACAATTAAGCCTGCAACTTGCCTTGTTGTGACTGTTACCTGTAATCGAATAAGTCGAGTCAAACTTGTACCCAAGTAACTATATTGCGATCTTGAGAGCAAGGATGACAAAATGTCTCATTCATAGTGCAGTGTTATGTGTAGTACTGTACATCTGGGGTGCAGTGTGATGATTACATGATGTGCCTTTATGTAACACAGTAGCTTATGCTCTTGTATAGCTATTCAGTGGTAATGTAGGTGCCTGGTCCATCCAGGATCCATTGTTGAGAAACATGTTATCTAAGACAATGGTATGATGCTGTGGTGTTCATTCATTGTGTTGGTGTTTCCGGGTATTAACAGATGCTGCATCTGTGCTGTTTTCTTACCAGTTTTACCTCGTTCAATTCAATAAATGACGTTTGGAGTCGGATGTTCATCCTGGCTCTGAGGGTTTATTGGACACGAGGTTAACTGCTCAGCTAGCGGTGCAATGCAGCGCACAGCGAGGCCGATACAGTTAGAAACATTTAGGATGGCCTGCCTCTGATCCATCCTGGGGTTAACCAGGCTGGATTGTGAGAGCTCACAAATTCTTGAAAGATGTGGACAAAGTCCCATTGGTGAGCTCCTGCGGCAGGCAAGTCTGCGTTGGCTGGGTCATGTAGCACGCATGCCCAGCCACCGCATGCCTAAATAGCTTTTGTTCGGCCGGATCGAGGTGGCTAAACGGGCGCGTCATGGGCTAGCGAAGAGATGGAGTGATGTGGTACAGAAGGACGTGGAACTGAGTGGACTTGCCGATGACTGGTACCAGCTGGTGTCAAGATCGGCCTCTGTGGAGGAGGCTCGTGAAGGACGCTACTGGGCAGTTGGAGACAGTCGCCCTCCAACAACAATGGAGGGCGGAGGAGCGACGCTCACAATAATGAGCGGAGTGCCGGGTGGCTAAAGCACAGCAAGTTGGCACAGTAGGGGGCACAGGTGGTGCATCAGCCAGTCGTCTCAGTCAGTCGACCGTGGCATTCTGGGTCTGCCCCGTGACCTCCTGCCAGCGGGCGTTCAACACTTCACGTGGCCTCAAGGTGCACATAGCCTGGCACAAGCGTTGTGCTGACGTCACTGCCACTTAGTGGTGAATGGCGGTTGTTGTTGTTGAATCTATGTATGTATGTGTGAGTCGATTTGTGTGTGTAACTACATGTGTGTCTAAAGTCGATGTCTGTGTGTGAGTCCATATGTGTGTGTGCGTGTAAGTCGATGTGTTTCTATGTGTGTGGGTCGATGTCTGTGTGTGTGAGTCCATATGTGTGTGTGTGTCTGCCTTTTTCGCCCGGGCAACGCCGGGTACTTGCCGCTAGTCTTATATATTAAAAGGACATTTGTGAATGTGTGTCTGTTCGAAATATTTAGCATACTTCCCGACATGCAACAAACTTGAAATTTGGCATGTCGGTAGCTTCCGGACTGTACACAATGTAAAAAGTATGAAAATAGACTTTTGTATTTTGGGGGGGTGGGGGAGGGGGTAAATGACCATGAAGTGTGTGGCATCAACCCACATACAGGACTGGCGAGAATCGATATCTGGTGAGCGTCTGTGGTATCAATTAAACGAGAATAGGCCGATTCTAAAGAAATCTACAACCATCAATTCCTTTGCGCGATTCAAAGAATCGAATCTTGGCACCGAGCGTAAGTTTTTTAATCCTTTATATAAAGTTCACTTGCTTGCTTGCTTAGGACCGTGCAAATCTTTCGGTCGTTTTTTAACCCACTTCCCGTGATCCAATCGAGCTGACATTTTCCACACAGACTCGTTGTGCGTGACAATTAATGTTCGTGAAAATGTTTTTCCAAAATTTTACACTTTTTAGGACAAAAATATTATATTTAATTACCAATTGCTTAATGCTGCCATGCAATCATCTGACCCATAGGTGGCAGCCATCTCAAGCCAGAGGACGAGAGGACTCTAGCCGCCACGCATATAAAGGATTTATAGTGAAACACTTTGTTTTTACGGGTTATACTTGTTTTTTCCACTGCGCATTGGGTTTTATTTTATTTTTAATTAATGCAGTAATGATTAAAGTATTATTTTAATTTGATATATGTTATGTTTTTAAGTTTTGAGAAGTTTTAAATATATTTTTCCCCCGGGCAACGTCGGGTACTTCCCGCTAGTACCAGTATATATCGACTCTATAGCACAAAGTACTCACCTAACAGAGTGCCGTGGTGAGGCCTAGTCCCGTGTAGAGCCCCTGGCCTCGCCTAGATTGATTGCCCAGCCGGCCGAGGCTGGGGGCAGGGCCGCTACCCCTGTCCACCATCCCCCTGCCCACGCTACAATAACACGATCTAAGCGGTATAATTTTAGTATCTACCGACCCTATAGTCGTGAGTGCACACATTGGGGTGGGGGGGGGGAGAGAAGAGGACATGACACTTTGATGAATTTACCTCAGCGTTGCGTGTAAAAAAAATTGCATTTTGAACATGAATGAGAAATTCCCCCCACCCTCCAGCGATTGCGTGCGTGCGTTGCCAGGGGCAACTCCTGTCAGCGTTTGGCGCATGCGCAGTAGCGTGCTTTGTCCCGCGCCGGGCGGCAAAAGTGAGTAAATAAATACAAACCTCACTAAATTGTTAAATTTAACTACTTTAAATTTTACGGATGGGAAAAGGGAATAGCCTATTCCCACCGCGCGGCTTAGGGCATGCTGGCTGGCAAAAAAAATTCGACGTCAACTCCAACAGAGAGCCAAATCCCTCGCAAGCGTGTGTACGCAGACAGAGGGACAGACTGACGGATGGCTGCTTGCGTTGTGGCCGAAACGTCGTGAGAATTATTTTATAATGTTTTATTTTTATTATTTTATTATTTCCATTCTACGTGACTTTACCGAAAGAACAAAGAAGAGACAAAGAATGCCTTTCAGAGGTTAGAAGATTTCCCTTCGCCATGCGCTGGGTGACAATGCAGCCAGCTGCACTCGTGCACAATGCCCCACTACGTTGCCTCCTAGCAATCTACACGCACGCCATCGCCCAAGGTAAGTCACACACTGTTGTATTATATGCATTTATATCAGACGTAAGTCACATAAATTAGTCTTATAAGTCTTCTTGGTTCTTTCGGTACAGTCACGTAGAATGGAAATTATAAAATAATAAAAATAAAACATAAAATAATTCTCACGACGTTTCGGCCACAACGCAAGCAGCCGTCCTCAGGTCTGTCGGGGAGACAGCGTCTGAATGAAACAGCACCATGCTTGGAGCGTATATTTAAGCTGGTGAGAATTATTCTATTATGTTTTATTTTTTATTATTTCCATTCTACGTGACTTTACCGAAAGAACCAAGAAGATGAATCCCTGCAGTCACGAAAGCTTTAAATCGAAATTTAGTCTTATAAGCATTTATCTAATTACACTTTGCATTGCTCACATGGGTTGCCCCTAGCAACGGACTCACGATCAGCGCAAATTTTAATTCGCCTTACACATGCAGCAAAAACACACCAAACACATTAATTCGTCACAGTGTGATGTCCTCTTCTCCCCACCCCATCTTAATGATACCCAATGTGTCCTGAAACTACTATAGAGCCCCTACATATCATTATTATAGGGCTTACATGCCATTAGTGTTGCGTGGCCGGGGGCAGCGGCCCAGCCCACACCCTGTCAAGGTGACACCTTGGCGAGTTGGCAAATCTAGGCGAGGCCGGGGGCTCTACACGAGACTAGGCCTCACCACGGCACTCTGTCTGCTTACTACTTTGTGTTATAAATTCCATATAGACTGCTATATAGTCAGCATGTACTACTGTAGTGCTAGCAGGTACCAACACAGTCACTATGCACTGCTGTAATCATAGCAGGTTACACCAAGTCAGTATGTACTGCTGTAGTGAAAGCAGGTATCACCACAGTATGCACTGCTGTCATCATAGCAGGGACGGACCCAAAGTCGGTATGCACTGCTGTAATCATAGCAGGTACCACCACAGTCAGTATGCACTGCTGTTATCATAGCAGGCACCACCACTGTCAGTATGCACTGCTGTAATCATAGCAGGTACCGCCACAGTCAGTATGCACTACTGTAATCATAGCAGGTATCAACAAAGCATGCACTGCTATAGTGAAAGCAGGTACCACCACAGCAGTATGCACTGCTGTAATCATAGCAGGTACCACCACAGTCAGTATGCATTGTAGTTAAAGCAGGTACCACCACAGTCAGTATGCACTGCTGTAATCATAGCAGGTTCCACCACAGTCGGTATGCACTGCTGTAGTTAAAGCAGTTACACCAGTCGGTATACACTGCTGTAGTGAAATTGGGTACCACCACAATCAGTATGCACTGCTGTCGCTATAGCAGGATGCCACCACAGTCAGTATGCACTGCTGTAGAGAAAGCAGGAACCACCACAGTCGGTATGCATTGCTGTAATCATAGCAGGTACCACCACAGTCAGTATGCACTGCTGTAGTGAAGCAGGTACCACCACAGTCGGTATGCACTGCTGTAGTCATAGCAGGTCCCACCACAGTGAGTATGCACTGCTGCAGTGATAGCAGGATCCACCACAGTCAGTATGCACTGCTGCTCTGATAGGTTCCACCACAGTTGGTATACACTGCTGTATTGATAGCAGGTACCACCACAGTCAGTATGCACTGCTCTAGTGATACTAGATACTGTTGTAATGGGCTAAAAAATAGGCGAACACAACGTCTTGGGAGGCAACACTATTTATTGTTAACAGAACGCTCCTTAACATAGGGTTGTGACCACCGACCTATTCTAACTAACACACACCATCACTCACACAGACTCTCTAATACAACTAGCATGACCCAGCCAGGTGGGCTACTGGCTGGTCAGCTGACTGGATGCTTGACTCTTCACGAGGCATATTCACGATGCATCTTCTTTCTTGACACGGGCAGCCTCGAACCCGGTGAGGAGGCTGCTTATATGGGCCTTGGCGTGTCCGGGCCCCCACCCCGGTCACGCCTTCCTTCGAGAATCCTCTCGAAGCTGCTCGTCTGTCCACGTGGCCCCCCGAGGTGCCCCCCGGGCCCCCGGCCTCCACCTTGTGCCGGTCACGTGTCCAGCTGGGTTCACTCAGAGTGTCACAGCCTTACACAACCCCCGTGGCCTCACCTACGGCCTCCAGATCCTTGAACCGGCCCTGACGTCATTCCCGCCTCCAGACGGGATGACGTCATGTCTGGGTATGTAGACCCGTCTGGTAGTGACGCTCCCATGCATAGTTACGTCACACGTGTGTGTGTGTACAATGTAGTGACGCTGCAAGTCACTACATTGCTATCGAGTTGGTAGTTACTGATATATAGAGTTAGTAGATACTAAAACAGTCAATATATACCACTACGGTCAGTAAATACTGCTACAGTCAGTAAATACTACTATACAGTCAGTATCTACTACTGGCTCAGTAGATACTATACTGTACAGTCAGTAGATACAACTACAGAGCCCACTGGGCTTTCACAATACCTTAGTGTCTGTGTATGTGTAGTGACGTAGATGGACCACACTTACCGGCAGCGGTAGACGGGGCCCATCCACAGGGGGTACCTCGTACCGCCAGGGGAGGGGCTGCTGTGTCAGCCTAAGAGGGGAGGGGCTGCTGGGGGCTCAGGATCCTAGACAGCTAAGCCCCTCGCCGCTGGGGGCTCAAGATCCCAGACAGATAAGCCCCTCGGCGCCACCAACGAGGGGGGGGGGGGCTAAGGTGGTTCTGGGATCTCACGCAGCCCCACTCCTCGATGGGCAAGGGGCATAAAAGGGGACTTCCCCAGCCGATCTGGACCAGTCGCAGCCAAAGAACCAAGACCAGCCAGCTTAGGACCCTGGACCCCCTCGCCCCGCTGTCCTTGTAAGGGCCGGGACGCTGTGCGGGCCAGTGGTGGGACTCTGGGACTCCCGGCCCGACACCCTTGTAAGGGCGAGGTCCAAGGAAGCCAGAGTCTAGACCCGCACCTTGGCTGGGTCGGGTTAGGTAGCCTCCCCTAGGGTAATCATAGCCGGAGGACCCGAGAGCGTAACCAATGTCAGGCACGCTAGGAGTAGGCTGTGTCCCTAGGCTGGATCAGGACTGTGGGTGTGGTGTGTTGTAAGAAAGAGTCGCCTCTGCAAGTGTCTCCGGAACCCATTACACAAACGAGTGGCTATGGCTTTGGTCTTGTACGTCTTTTTAGTGCAAGTTGAGTTAGTGTAAAAACAAAAAAGTGCATTCACCCCCGCTTGGGTATCAACAGATGACACTGACGTCCGGCAAAACTCGTAAACAGCTGCCGCCGGCATTTGTCGCAATTTGAATTTCAATGTAACAAAATGTCGACAAGTGGTCTGCGCTACTACTCTATTCTGCCGTCTTTTTCTTGGATCTTCACGTATTCGTCGTAAGGGATATCATTATCCCTCAACCTGTAACGAGAGGCAAAACGTTACCGGTTGCTTTAACATACGCGAGAAGACGTACAGAAATAAATGTTTCGTAAGAATACACACACACCTCTTCTATAACACCGCAGCATTATTGTATACGAACAGCAAATGTATAACTTTGGACATTCACGCAGATATGTACCATGCCATGGGAATGCCCTATAGTTAATTTATCATACGTTTGCTACATCTTTATTATTACATCGCATTATCGCGAAAGGTGGTGGCGGTTTAGGGTGGGGGGGAGCCTTCACCCAGCAGTGGATTGAACATGACTGATAATTTTAGTTTATTTCATTTGTTACACGGTTGATCCCATTTAGCCAGATATCTGCTATTTTACAATGGAGATCCGCGGCGTACGAACACAGCAGCAACAGCAGCAACAACAAGACAAAGACACGTGAAGGCCAACATTGTACAGAGCGAGTGCAGGGTCTTAAAGGACGTACAGAGAAAACTGGATAGGGCCAAGCACAGAGCCGTGAGTAACTTCCTTTGTATTGGGGGTCCTGTCAGATGGTGATGGGGCGCCAAGGTGGCAAAATGTTAACTACCTCGCTAGGTTTCCAGGAGGAGGTCGTGGGTTTGATGCCGACCCTGACACCTGTATATTTGGAGTTTCCATGTTATTCCCGTGGTCGCGTTGATTTCTCTCTGGGTTTTCCGGTTTTCCCCTCCACGTTTACAAACACACGTTTAGAATATTTGGCTGTGATAAATTCACACATGATAAGTCACTTATGAGATATCATTTGTGGCCCAGATTGCATCTAAAATAGAGCTATATAGCTCAGTGGGTCTTTCCTGGTAAAATAAAACGTTTCATAAAGCTTTTTTTTATCGTACGATTGACAGAGACATAGTTGCAAATCAAGGAGTTGCACGATGGTGATGATGACCACATTTAAATGTCTACTCACACGACACACTTCAAGCAGGTGTTGTCTTTGAGGGCAGAAGCGATGGCCTCGGCGCCGAGCACGGTAAATTTATTTTTGTTCAACCTAAACGGGGAGATGAATACATTACAGTCGCTCTTCGGTTAACGTTATTTTTAATACGTTCCAGGAAAACTACTGTTAGCCGAAATAACTGTTAATCGAAATTACCGACCAGTAGTATCTATCTATATAAAAGTAAAAAAAAGTTATGTTTATCGGTTTGTGGCTTTTTGTGTGTTCACGCGCTTGCGAAGGATTTGGCTCTCCAATAGTGGGGTTTATGTTAAATAAAAATAGCCAGGTACCACGCCGTAAGCCCCGCAGTGAGCAAGCGCTATTCCTTTTTCACATCCGTCAATTTAAAAAAGTTAAATTAGCGATTTAGTGCAAAAGTTTTAGCTCTATTTATTTATTTATGACGCGTGCACGACCATACCAACTCATATGCCTTTGGTGGGGGGACAGCCCATGCCAAGTCGCACGCTTTCGGTGGGAGTGAGGGGGACTATTTCTTTCACGTTAAAAATGCTTTAAAAATACACTAAACTCTGAGCTTAAATCTCCACTGTGTGATGTCCCCCCTACCCGATGCATCCAGTTACTAATATATACAGTCGCTAGATGCTCCCACTATAGGCCGTAGATATTACTGCAAAGCGGCCGGAGCGATCGTGGCTGGGGGCGGGGGTCAGGGGTAGCAGCCCAGCCCCAGCCTGCCAAGGTGCCACCTCGGCCGGCAGGACAATCTAGGCCTCACCACGCCACTCTGTCAGGTGAGTACTTTGTGCTATAGAGTCGATAAATACTGCTATAGAGTCAGCATATACTACTGTAGTGATAGCAGGTACCACCACAGTCGGTATGCACTGCTGTAACCATAGCAGGTACCACCACAGTCAGAACGCACTGCTGTTAGAACAGTTTCTAAATGACATGCACAAACATGTTTGTTGGGCACTTAAAATCGAGATTTGGGGGCCTTCAAATAAAAGATCTAGGATGTTCAGATGTTTCCTATTGTTTGGGTCCTAAAAGCTACCTATACCAAATTTCAGTGTTCTACCTTGTTGGGAAGTACCCTATAGATTTTTGAAACATACAGATTAAGGTATTCCTTTATCGAGAAGATTTTGTTTAATAATCTGATAGGACCGGGATACAGTCTCATTAGTCTGCCAGTAGATGGCGATGATTGCATTGTATAATCTCAGTTAAGTAATTTGCCGTGTAATCTTTGAATTTGGCAAATTTGGACCCTGACGCCAGCACAACAGTGGCCCACTCTTACAAACGACGTCACTGGATCTCTAGCGTTCACTGTGAAGCAGACGGCGCACAGTTACTATCAAGGTTCTTACACTTGAAATAATAACCAGGGCAGGTGCTTGATTAGAACCGTGAGCACCTGAAAAAAGCGGCGAACGTGCTCCCATTCAGCCGTGGCACTGTCAAGAGGGCAGTCATGACTTTTTGATGCCCGACATCGCAACTCTCTATTACTTGGGAGTAACGACCGATGTTAAATTAACATTGCGACATTCTTAACCTTGCCCATTCCGAGATTACTGCAAGTTGCAGGGTAGGTGTCCAATTTACCACTGAATCTCGGAACGTGAAGGCAGCTTAACCGCTCATTTTATTTAGAGAAGCAGAGCGCCGTTGTTTTTCAATACATTGCACTCACCGCAAATATCCGAAGCGATAGCTGGCGTCAAACTGTGCTGCACACCCTCCCGCATGGCCTTGTGGGAGCCTTGGTACCAAAAAAGCTATTTTATTTTTCTACTTGTGCCGTTCCAATGACGTACGAATCGAAAGAAAATATGACGACGTACACATGTCATTGGAACGGGAAAGGGCTTAGACACCTTACGTCGTTCTGCACTCTGGCCCCAAGGCCTCGATGAAATATTTACAAGGGATTCACGCACAGGGGCAGCATTCTCACCACAGCTGCTCGAGGTGCATTTTTCCACGGATGACGTCGGCGAGGATGAGGGCCTCCTCGTCCGTCAGGGAGTTCTCCCCGAGCCTGCCTCGACCGGACACAAAATGAAATCCCTCGTCACGGAGCTCTGGAACGCCGCTCGCTGGGGAAAGGCCACCAGGATTTGGCGGTGGACAGACGGTGTCAACCATGCATTAGTTCAACGTCATTCTTAGGATGCTTCAAATCGTGCCTGTGAGAAATGGTCAATTGGATAGACTCGTTAATGATGCATCATTTCAACGTCGTTCGTACGATCACAGCACATGCTTCATATCGTGCCCGTGAGAATTGGTTAATTGGGTAGACTTGTCAATGGGATAGACGTGTGAATTGGATCGATTAATCAGTTCAGCATCGTTCGCATGGTCACGACACGCACTTCATATAGTGCCCGTGAGAATTGGCTCTGCTCAATTCGAATATGTTGGGGAGTGGTTTAACGCAGTGCTTAGTACAATGTGTGTTACAAATCTGGAAAATCGTACCAGGGTTTCTCGGTACATTTCACAATGTTCTAATTACTGCACTATTTTTCAACACTCGCTCTACTCGAAAGTAAAAACAATCCTCATCCTGGCAAAGGTGCTTATTCAGATGAGAGCCATCACACGTATCCCAGGTAAAATACGGCAAGTCCTGCATACCAACCAGAGATCCTGCAGGATGGAGTTCTTGAGAAGAGCCTCGGAAAGTCGTCTGACGCCTTCATTGCCAATGCCATTGCCCACCAGGCTGTTGCACAGGACACACACACAGAACATTAATAGCAGAGATTCAAGGTTCACGTTCAATTTGTTGAACCGGGTGAGTGGCCGATGCAACTGCTGCAGGTGAGACTCATCCTGGTCGTTTGAGTTCTCATCTAGCTTGAACAAAATCGACTTGGAGGAACTTGCAGCTCCAACCCACGTGTGACCACAGTTATCCAACCCCTGCTGAACCTGCGCTCTGAGCAGGAGGAGCAGCGACTGTTAATGAAATAGAACCTTGTTTTTCCTATAAATTGCCCCGTAAAGAATGGTCTATATTGAGCCGCATCGGGAACATCAAACGGCAGGTGCGGCTATCTCCTCCTACACCGATGGACAATTAAAAGTAGCTCCCAGTGCAACTGCGGCCACCATTCTCAGCCCATGGGCTACATAGTAACACCATCGCGCCCTTCAATCATTTGCTCGAAGATTTTCAGACATTCAATAGGTGTGTGTGAGTCTGTGTGTATGGTGTATGAATTAACACAAGTCAAAATCTCAAACTGTAGACCGCATAGTAACGTCACTGCCCAATTCTAATTATTCACCAATGGGTTTATATGTGGGTCTATGAGTCTGTTAGTCTGTTTATGTATATGACGTCGTCCTGCACTATATAAGATCGGAAGCAGGTGGATGGCTTCACTATTCTGGCAAATCGCCCGATGATCCTGGTTGTAATTGCCAGTGAAACGTCGTACTCAAATTGTAAATGTTGTGGATTCACTCAACCCGCCGGTGGGCTGAAGTGTAACTATTTGTTGTTTTGTTTACGTGACAAATCCATTACTGATTGGCCGTGTCAGGTGGTGGAGGGTTTCTGCACATTTATACTGACGCGATCTAACCCAAAAACCTTTATCAATTAATAATATTGGTCGCGAAAGCTTACGTGTTAGAATTTCAGCTATTCACCACGAGGCTACTCCTGAAATCATCCGCTCGCTCACTCCCCAACTTCGACACGAATGTATAAACCTTAAGCAATGGAACAAACGAATAAGTGAGGAAGACACTTTATGTATGTGTAGCGCCGTAGATGGGCCACACTTACCTGCAGTGGTGGACAGGGCCCATCAAGGGCGGTACAGGGGAGTTGCTGCGGGGTGTTCTGGGATCCCCCACTGCCCCTCCCAACGAGAGGGGGCTGCGGAGTGTTCTGTGATCCCCCAGGGCCAGAGGTCGCAAACGGGTTTTGATTCCTTACCCGTACCCGTACCCGGCCGCACCAGGGTCGCAAACGGGTACCCGTACCTGTACGGGTACGGGTATCGGGTACCCGATTGCGACCTCTGGGATGAAGCCATGTTGCAGGCGCGGGTGGGTTGATTCTAGGAACCTGAATTGTAAGACGACGTTGGGAAATGAGTGACAAACGGTTACTCACCAGTGACTCACGGCCTTCTCACTCATTGGTTGGGGTGAGTCACGTGCAGCTACCGGTACCCGTACCCGGCCGCACCAGGGTCGCAAACGGGTACCCGTGCCCGTACCCAGCCGGGTACGGGTAGCCGGGTATCGGGTAGGGTACGGGTATCGGGTACCCGATTGCGACCTCTGCCAGGGCCCCTCCCAACGGGAGGGGGCTGCGGGGTGTTCCAGGATCCCACGCAGCCCCGCCCCTCGGTGGGGAAGGTGTATAAAAACGGACCTCTCCAGAGGTTCGGGGCCAGTCCAAGACAGAAGCCAGAAGACCAGCCAGCTTTGGACCTTGGACCCCTAGCCCCGCTGTCCTTGTAAGGGCCGGGGCTCTGTGGGGGCCAGTGGTGAGACCCTGGGAATCCCGGCCTGACGTCTTTGTAAGGGCCAGGTCCAAGGAAGCCAGTGGTCTGGACTCGCACCTTGGCTGGGACGGGTCAGATAGCCTCCCCTAGGTAAATCATAGCCGGAGAACCTGAGAGCGTAGCCGGTGTCAGGCACGCTAGACGTAGGCTGTGTCCCTAGTCTGTATAAGGTTTGTTGCTGTTGTGCGTTGTAATAAACGTGTCGCCTCTACCAGCGTCTCCAGAACTCACTACATTTGGTGTTAGAAGTGGCCATGGAGACGCGGGGTAAATCACATACCCAGAGCCCAGACGGCGACTTCGGCAAGCGTGCAGCTGCGGGGCCGGTGACTCCGGCCGACAATGGCGCTGCACTGCCGGCTGAGCGGTCGTCCGTTCAACCGCCCGCCCCTCCTCCATCATCGGGAGCTCCGCTGCAGGAAGCGCTTCTCCGGCTCACGGAGCTGCTCCACGCTACTGCCTCCATCCTGGGCGACATACGTCGCTCAGAGGCTGCAGCGGGAGGGAGGGAGATGGCGCAGCACCTAACCGACACCGCCACCGCCGTTCCCGCCATAAATTTTGAAACTCCCGCCATTTTGGGGGATACTTCCGCTGGGGGGCGCAGTGGCCGCTGGGAGCCACGTCATTTCTGGGCTCAGCGGGGTCCAACCAACCGACACCGCGTCATCAGCACTACGACCTTCACCGCCGGGCGACATCTTGGCCAGCGCTGGTGATGCGGGACAGCTTCATCCATGTCGCCGGCCGACGGACGCACGCTTCACATCCAGCAACGGCTGCCGGAGCTGAAGGCATACTCTGCGGCCGGCGGCAACTCGGCGGCATTCGAATGCCGGTTTGTCTCCCACATAGAGACGTCCGGCTGGTCAGTGGCTGAGGGGTTCCGTGCCCTCCCGGCCATGCTGGATGACAACGGCCTTGCCGCTTTCCTGACAGTTTCATGGGCGAAGTGAGCTACGCTGACAGACGCCCTTTGTCAGATGCGGCTGATTTACGGGCCACCATCCCAAGCGTGTCACCGCTTCGACGTCAGGACGAAGATGGCCTCGGAGTCGGCACTAGGGTATCACAGCGCGCTGCTGGCCATGGCAGGGGTTGCCTACCCTCATATGGATCAGGACGCCATGGACTCATTGGTGCTGCAGAAGCTCCTGAGCTGGGCTCGCAAGCTTTGAGTTGCTATGCCAGCGGCCGACGACGATGGCTTCACGTCTCTACGCGCTGCCGGGTGCATCCAAGCGCATCTGCAGCTCCAGGGGGACATGACCGTCGCCGCCTGCGCGGGCCCACCTGACGGCCAGGGCCACAACGTGGAATCGGAGCCTCACCAGGCCATCATTATCGGGGAGTCGCGGATCGTCCGACCGGCGACCCCAGCGAGACTACCACCAGCGGGAACGGCCGACCTCACGCCAGGACGGCGCATCCATCATCTGCCTTCGGGGCCATGTGGCGTCCGGCTGCCGGGTCCCCCGTCACCGCACTTCGGGACCTCCGACCGCAGGGCCTCGCTCACCACCGGCTCTTCCCGGGTCTCAAATGTTGGTTCCCCACCTGCTTCGGAGGCCTCTTGACTCTGACGCGTTCATGGGGGCCGTTGTGATCGGGCCTTCGCGTTCGACGGCGCGGGTGTCGGACCTCGTGTGTACACAAACGCTCATGCGAAGCGACCGCGAGCCCTTATCTAGATCCTTAACGCGGGGTTGAAAACGGCCGTCATCCTTCAGAAGATGGTGCTTGCTCACGCGACGCCGGCCCCATCGGGGGATTTGATGGTGGGTCACGTAGGCGACGTGTCCCCTTCCACATCCAAGCCGGGTCCTGAAGCGGGTTGGCTCGACGCGCTTTGCTCCAGTTGTGCCGATTTGTCACCGTTACAGCATGCTAAATTACATACGTTGCTGAGCAATTTCGCCAACGTTTTCAGTCAAGGGAAATTCGACATTGGCTGTACTAAATTGCTTAGCCACCACATCGACATGGATGATGCCGCTCCAATTCGTCAAAACCCATTCCGGTTGAGCCCAGTCGAGAAGGAACATGTGCGGGTGGCCATCAACGATATGTTGGCGGCCGATGTCATTGCGCCATCAAATAGCCCATGGGGGGCGACCTGCTGGGGACACTCGCCATATCACCCCCAGACCGACGGTATGGTGGAGCGATTACATAGGACACTCACCTCCATGCTAAGCCACCAGGTGTCTGAGTCACAGACAGATTGGGATCTCCACGTACTGGTGTCTTGGCCGCCTATAGAATGGCGCCCCATGCTGCCATGGGGTACTCGCCATTTTACCTCATGTATGGTAGGGAGGTTTGCCCTCCGATCGACGTCCAATTGCGCATGATGCAGCCCGCACCTTGGCAAAAATTGCCGACTACATCCGTGCTAATGTACGTTGTCTGGTGGATGCCCGGGAGGCTGCTCAAAATAACTCGGAAGCTCGTCAGCTGGCTAACGAGCGGTTGCGGAACCTCCGCACGTCCCGCCATGTTTGGGCGGAAGGGGACCGCGCCTGGCTCCACTGCCCGCAAGTGCCGCTGGCTACTTCCTCAAAACTGCTTAAGCCCTGGAGGGGCCCAGTTGTTATTGTCCGCATTGTCCGCAATCAGTGCGTCAAGATCCAACACGGCAAGCGCCGTTGGTTTGTGCACCCGTAACGCCTGAAACCTTACGTACAACCATGCACACCTCCCACACATCTCGGGGGCCGAGAGCGTGACGTGTCGGGCGAGCGGTGCTGCGCCAATGCAGACTCTCGGTCAGATCCTATTGTCCCACCCTCAGGTGCCTCGAAGAGTGAAATCGGCCCGGCCACCCGCAACGGCCGACCCAGCGGGAACCAACTTGCCCACAAGATTGGCGGGCCAAGACACAAGCCCAACCCCGGGCTGTCGGCCCACTCCCGCCTCCGTCGCGACCGATGGACGTTCCACTCAAACTTACTACATATGTAACTGTTGTGTTGTCTAATTAACTGCATACGTAGAAATATAAGCCACCCACCCAGCTCTCGGCAGGTTAAACCTTTTCGGTTCCAAGACGTCTGCAGGTTGCAGGGTGGGTGTCACGTTCACCGCTGAACCTCGGAACGCGCAACCGGCTCAGCCTTCATGTTATTTGGAGAGGCATAGCACCGTTGTTTTTAAAGACATTGTACTCGCTGCAGAGAACTGTAGCGACACGAGCGCACTCTACGATAGATGGCGTCAAACTGTGGCACACGTCCTCCCGCATAGCCTTGTGGGAGCCCCTGTCCCAATAAAGTTATTTTATTTTAGGTTTTCTTCCGTTCCGATAACGTACACGTATGTCCCACGTACGTCATCGGAACGGGAAAGGGGTTAAGTCCACGGGACCGAGACTCGCGGCAAAACAAACGAAGAACGAACAAAACAGGACGTCGTTTTTAGCTTCAGACGGGGTGAGATGACGCAGTGGGAACAGAGGTGGACGGCGCGGGTACCTGAGCCAGGCGAGCGGCGTGTTTTGCTCCAGCACCTCTGCGAACGCCACGGCCCCCCGGTCGCCGATCGCGTTGCCCCACAAACTGGGGGAGAGAGCGACGCACAGAACCGCGGTGGTTACGCGCAGCTTGCTAAAACCTGATTTTTTTTATATTACAAAGAAATTGCTTGACATGCAGGTGCTGTGTGATTTAGATTGCACAATTGAGAGGGGTGGAGATAGCATGGGGTGGCCCTCATCCAACAGTAGATTGACAATAGGCTATCATGAAGACGCAAACTCCAAGTGGAAGTACCACCGGTGGCCGTTAAAGCTGCGATGAAACAAAATGACACTTGCAGTCCTTTATCAATCCACTACTGTTGTCGGTAATGGAGGTTGTTTGACCATGCTTCACCACGCCGGTCAGTGCGGGTTTGGCGAAGGGGGGAGACACAAGACCGATTTGGATATCGCTCGCCAACAATGTTCGCCATGGCCGGGAATTTAACTCGAGATTTCTTAGTTCAGTGTGCCAACCACTCCACCCGCAGCCCATCCCCAAAGCCTACGTGTTAACCGTGTTAAATAACTCTATTACACCTCTAACAGTGTCGTTTGTTTGCTGTCCGCTTGAAGTTTTGGGCCTTTGGGCCCCGTGTGCTCAGCAGTTGTTTGTAAAAATAAAACGTGTCCTGGCCATTTTGTATTGTCTGTTGTTGTAACATTCTGACCCCGTGCCCCTACCCCGTAACCCCCCTCTCTCATAACCCCCCTTAAACCCCCCCTCATGCCCCCCACACTTATCAAATCACTCCTCCAGTCCTCCTCCAATCCCCAGCCTCGTTTCCGCCTCCTTTATTTCATTATTTTAGGCGGTGTCTCCCCGCCGCCACCTTCCCGCCTGTCCTCACCTCATCAGCATTACACAAAGACGAAGACCCCCATATAGCCTCAATACACTGTTAGGGCAAGTGCTGTTAGCGAGCACTTATGAAGGCCGGCACGGCACACGAGGGGGTGGGTGGCCAACACCATGCCTGGCCGCCTTTGTCTCCCCAGTGGCGATGTTTTTACACACCGCACCAGGTACTCATTTGAGGCTGAGTCGACCTAGATGGAGGCCCAGGACCGGTTCAGATAATCGCAACTGGTGTTGGCTGTGAGCGAGAACCGAACTCGGATCGCCGGGTTAGCAGCGTAGCATAGCGCTAACCGCTCCCCCACACACTCTCACACACACCTCGCACACACACCACACACACACACACCTTACACACACACACTCTCACACACACACGCATGAGCAACTGGTTCATTGGTTGGTTGGTGTTCTTTTTCTTTGGAAACCGCGGGCGAGAGAGATTTAAATTAAAAAACAAAGTTTACCCGACGATCTTTACAGAGCGGTTGCGCTTCAGCGCATCTGCCAGCAGCACGGCGCCCGCTCCCGTGAACTCATTCCCGCCGAGCCTGAGGGGGTGGGGGGGGGCGGAGGGGGGTCACAGGCGACAAGCAGCGAGCCAGGGCTGTCGATAGGGCGGGCGGGAGGGGGAGCGGGGCATGGGGGAAAATCACACCACGTGGCCCCCCCAACCCCTTCAAACTAAAACGGAATTATTACATCTAACACCGTGATGTCGAAGCGAGGCACCCCTTCTACCCAAAGCGTGCCCCCCCCCCGCACCCAAAGCGCCCCTCCCGACACCCAAAGCACCCCCCCCCCCCAATGCGCGGGGTCCGGGGCGGTCGCCCCGATTCTCCATACCCTAGGGACGGCTTTGCGCTCGGGGACACACAAACAGAGAGAGGCGTCGCGGTCAACGCAGTCGCTGCATCTGCCAAACAAACCGCTGCTTTTCACCACTCCCGGTAGCTCTTGAATATGTGTGCGTGTGTATACATGCACGCACTCTATATGTACATTCAACAAAAACGCGCGAGGAGAAGCAGCCGGAAAGAACAAAATTCTCCGTAGGAACCACCCGACACAAGATTTAAGATTTAGAGAAAAGGAGAAGAGGTTATAAGGATCGGGGGAGGTGTGTGGTGCCACAGCAACGGAGCAACTCCGCCGGCGCTGCTATCCCCTTGCACCCCTCCACACGAATGCACGCACACCCCCACTAAACACACACACGCACCCACGTAGGGTCTCGTGGGGGGTCACCTGGTACCATGGGTTTTTATCTGAGGGGCCCCTAGCGGGGATGTCCCACGGCTTCCCAGTGCCAGGAGATTGGCAGACCCCCCCCCAGGCCGAATTGCATTGCGGCCCCCGTGCATTAGCTTAGAATTGTATGGGCAAGACGAAGCTCACCGAGAAACCCGCAATGAAAACACTCAGCACAGGGAGATGAGGCCTCGGGGGCAAACACCCAGCGAGCAGCGCATGAGAGGAGGTGGGAGGGAAATTCCTGGACCGACTAAAGTTGTGTATTCCGCGGGACGGCCACCCGACCAAACCAGTTGGGGCGGGGATGGGGAGGGCGGGTGCGCAAACAATGGTTGAAGGCGCACCGGAAGATATTGTTCCAGATAAGGGCGGGGCATCGGTTTAAAATCAAAAGGTAGGCGCTCAATTGGCCGCACAGGGTAACACCACGGACCCTGGATTTTTGGATTGGGAGGGGACAAAGGGAGGGAAGAGAAAAAACGTTGATCAGTGCTCCTCCAACCGTTGGGCTACCCGGTCGGACTCCCAGCCGCTCGCAGCGTCCCAGGGACGCTGGCGAGTGCAGCTACGACTCGACCCCAGGCAGAGACCTCTCGTACCCTCGTCCCTCCGATTCCCACCGTGTCCGTGAGACACAGCGAGTACGTCTGCGAGCTGAGAAGTTGGGGGGGAGAGTGCACTCAGGGATTGAATAGGGATAGGCTAGGCACTGCTCCGTGGGTATTTACTCCGGACCGCCCAGGGCTTGCTATAGGCGCGCCATTAATACACTTTATCACAGAGGATCTATGTGATGCCGCCGCCACGAAGCCGTTCGGCAGGCGCCCAATCCCCGACCTCGCCACCACCAAGCAATGGAGCCAACCCCGCGTCCCCCTCACCTCACCTCACATGAACACACCCGCACGCATTTTCCCCCACCCATAGAGCTGGAAGGGGAGATCACCTGATCGGCCGGTTTTTATCCGAGAAACCCTTATCGGGATTAACTCTCAATGGTTTCCGGCGATCAGGGAATTGGACGACCTCCCCCGTGCTACGTTGCGCCGCGGCGCTGCGACCAGCCTTAATATGGTATGGTCGCGGCGTGGGGCATTCGGCCACCGCGGTTGAGGCGCATTTCCCCCCACACACACCCCCACGGGTCGACGAGACAGGCGGAGGAGGGACGGGGCGGCATAGTTTAGGGTGCGCAGGAGCGCGGCGCCATGCATGAGAGGGAGATTAATACAGGAGCGTGTTTGGAATCGGTGCCGCAGCATATCCGATTAGCATAGCAAAAGAGCCGTGGAGGCGCCGCGGAGCCGCCGTGCTCGTGCAAGGGGGGCGCGAGCCATTGTTTAGAGTTTACGCCGCGCGAGCAGGACATTGATTAGCATATGCGCCGCTCATGAGCGGAGAGCATTCGGGAGTACGGGACAGAGGATAAAAGGGATCGTAGCAAGGTAGAGAGAGGTCACTTCTCTTCAAGAGGCACGCGTTCAAGTCGGCTCCCAGCTCTGCCCTCTGGACGTCCGCGTGACGTGCCCCGACGGCATAGAGGAAAAGCCACAGGACGCCGAATACTTCGACCCGTGAGTAGCAAGGTGACAGGGTATCGTAAGCCGATAAATAGGGAATAGGTCCAGGGGAAGTAGGATAGGCCAGCCTCGTCGACTCACTGATTCAACATTAATTACCAGGTAGCAGATAATAAATAATTAATAGCGAAGTGTGGCCTCGCGTGATCTTGTCGAGCAGTGTGAGCGTGTGGGTGCGCGTGTGTACACAGTGGTTCGCCACGTGAGTGAGCGCTGCGTGGAGCTGAGCGCATGGGTGAGCGTGTGTACACAGTGATTCTGTAGTGCTGCGGCTCGCCTCGGGGGAGCGCTGCGCAGAGCGGTGCGAGAGTGGGTGTCGCGTGTGTTCACTCCGTGTGTGATACAGGTGCGCGATCATAACGCGAGTATTCAGTGGTGAGTGAGTGCCGCGGAGAGCTGTGTGCGTGAGTGCGCATACATTCGTTACGTGTCGGATACGGATGCGCATTGGTAACGTGGTTATTCGACGTGGAGGCGAGTGCCGCACAGGGCTATAGACGGGCACACGCTCGCAGTGTGCGAGAGCTGTACGTAGCGGTGTAAAGAGGGGGAGTGTAGCGTTTGATTGATGATGCTGTGCGCACGTATGCTCGCAGCGTGGGAGCGCGGCGCGAGGCTGTAACAGTAGGGGCGTCGCGTTCGAATGCCGGCGAAACCATAGCGGGTAATAGGGAGGTGGGGTAACGTAAACGGAATAGGGGATGCAGGCGGGAGGGACCCCGGGGGCCAACGGCCCCCACAGATCCGTGTGGTGTGATTTCTGTGGGTGTGGGGAAAGTGTCGGCGTAGTGAGTAATTCGAGCGTGTGTGGGAGGCAGCATGGGTAGTAATTCATTAACGGCTTCCGTGTCCGTGCAGCCGTGTTATTAATAGGGCGAAGGAGGGGTGAGTTAAAACCCGTTCGCATGCGTGTTTACACAGCACGTCTTACGCAGTGTGTTCACGTAGCGACGATAGCACTTAGCGGTGGAGCGCGCGTATATTGCCATCAATACGGCTTGCGCTCGCGTGCGTGTTTGCACAGCGGATTAAGGCCGACGCACAGGAGGGGGGAGGGGCGCGTGCTTACGGCGGAGTAAATCTGACCCCATGGGAGGGGCGCGTACTTATTCATACGGCTATTTTTAGCGCGAGCAGAGGAGCGGCTCCTCCGGCAAGTGCGTGCATGCAGCCACCTCCGCATTAATGGTGGTGTACGTGAGAAGTGTGTGGGATAACTCCAGGTGGTGGGGAGCCAGCCACTAGCCATGTCCCTCAGAGAGGATGCTGGTGCGGGGAGGCCGATCATCTGATCGGCGGCAGCCCGGCGAGAAGTGGTGGAGGAGGGGGGAGAGGAGGAGGGGGGCGTCAGCCCCCACAGGTGTTAGGGTGTGGGGTTACAGGTTAGGTTAGCGGGTTAGGGAGACTGAGATGACTCAGAGGAACACAACGTTCAGGGGAGTGGGGGGGGGAAGAGACCCGATGTTAACAATGATCACATTGTTGGCTGATGATGACAACCAAAGAACCGGGAACGCTGGACTTCACCAGTTCTGCTGGGAAGCTGCGTGGGGTGCATGCATTGCTCCGCTGGAGTGTAAGCGCAGCTTGCAAAGCCACTGCCAACGCATTTAAATCACTTGGTGGGTTTATTTATGGGAGTCTATAGATCCCTTTGTTGGAAATTGGTTCTCTATTGCCAACAAAGTCTGCGTTTCTGTGTTGATCCTATGGATCTGTACTGTATGTAAGACTATGGGGCTCTTTGCAAGACTATGCGATGAGTGCAGTTGGCTTCGTAGGGTGCGAAAGGTCAACATACATACATATAGTCATTGAATCTCTATACTTTGCACTCCAATCGTGTTGTTGTATTGTTGTAACGTTCTGACCCGCCCTTACTAGATATCTGTGAAAAAGAGTATAAATATTCTGATTCTATTTTTTTATATTGATTATTTGGATCTGTGTAATTCTGTGGGTCTCCATGTGAGTGTATATGTCCTTCTCAGTCACTGAGTCTTTATGTTGAGTCAAAAAATCTACGTGAGGTCTACGATGGGGCGAGAGGGTCGGGTAAGTTCAGGAACGAGTTGACGAAAGGAGACCAAATCTCCCCCATGAATTAAAGCGATTCCTGCGACGGAGCCCCAAGGTGTTCAATGGAGATTTCCCGTCACATGCCAATCATATCAACCGGGGGTCTCTCACATGAGTTGCTCAATGGTGCTGCTCCTCTCGATGAACTTCGCCAGGTCGGGCACAATGACGTCCGTCAAGCTGTTCTTAAAGAGCCTGCCGGTGGGAAAAAAACAGTTACACTCACTTCGAGGCAAGACGTCAACGCAAAACGCCCGACGCGAGATGTACATACATTGAACTTCTTTCACACCATACATAGCCAACCGTGCTAATCGGAGGTGCGGAGGAAGGACAACAAGCTAAACACAAAAAGCAGCTGTCAAAAAATTAGTTTTCAACCTCGAACTCCGATTAATTCCAACGTCTAAGCACGCAAACGCAACGCACTGAACGCTCCTGAAAGTGCATAGCTCCAAGTGACTTCCTAATATCAGAAGAGCGTTCCAGGTGGCCGCAGCAGCGCATCCAAAAGCGTGCGATGCGGTGCCCACTGTCTTTGTTAGATGGCCAGCCAAAGCTGCTGCTGCGAGGGTGACCGGAGTACGCATGACGGTTTACGCTCATTGACGCCTCAATCCCTCCGCTGGCTCGCAGTCTCAATCCCCCCGTGTCAATTCCGAGATGGCGTTCAGCATCCGAAAGATTTCCACCCCTTGCACTTGCTCTGTGCGAGCACGAGAGAGCTGCATCAATAGGAAGGCGACCGTTGCCGGCAACAATCACCGGCAAGTCACCGCACCATAATCCTGTTGCCTAAATCTGGACGAATCTGATCGCAGTTGCTCCAGTGGATGAATCGGTTGGTGACTTCCAATCAGATGATGGATAGATACCACATGACTTGATTGTGTGGTCTGTAGACCATATAATTGATCATCGCTTGGTTAGACACACCTCCCGCATGCCACAGTCATACAAAGTTGCCTTAGCCGCTCACAGTAAATCCGTTGCCGGAGACAATTGCCCTTCAGTTGCTTTCATGTCCCTGTTGTCGCGGTGCTGTCGCTGCAGAGGTGTAGGCCTGAGGGTGATGAGTTAAACTAAAACTATAAATAATTGTTTATTGTACCAGGTAAGGCCCACTGAGCTGTATAGCTCTTTTTTAGAAGTGACCTGGCCACAAATGATAACTCAACGAAGTGGCTTATCATCTTGTAGAAATTTATAGGAGCCAGATACTCTGAACGCATGTGACAAAATGTGGAGGGAAAAACCGGAGGACCCAGATAAAAATCCACACGATCATGGAGAGAATACGACCTCCTGTATACTTGGTGAGGTATTTAACATCTCGCCGACGTTGATCATGTGATGCCGCAGCAGCGAAGCCGTTCTGCCGGCACCCCACCTATGACCCCACCACCACCAAGCGACGGGGCCGACGCTGCTCTTCCCTCACCACCCCCCACATGAACACACACACACCCCCACATAGGGCCCCGAGGGGAGGTCACCTGGCCGACAGGTTTTCACCCGGAAGCCCTCTCACGGGACTAATCTTCACGGTTTCCTGCGGCCAAGGAATTGGGCGATCTCCCCCGAGGCTAACTCGCACCGCGGCGCCGTGACTTGGGTGGTAATTACATGGTCACGATGGGGCTGCCCAGCCACCGTGGGTAGAAAACACACACGACACACCCGGGTCAGCAGGCAGGTAGGGTGGCAGAGCCACGGACGGCGGGAAAACAGGGCCGGCCCTCTGATTGGTCGGACCAATGTCTCTTTAATGTAGAAGGCAAAATGCGGACGTCTGTGAGAGCAATGGTCCGTGGCGGGAAATCCGAGTTGATTGGCCGGGGAGGCCAGCGGATCGGCGCCAATTCTCTTTGATGTAGAGAACAATAAAAGGCGAGAGAAGGTAGAGAAAAATTCAGTCGTGTTCTTCTGAAGTGAGAGATCGGAGTAGCCACCTTGCCGGCCACTGGATCGTCCGTGAGACGAATCTCAGCGTAGCCAGGCCCCGCCACCAGGAGAACTCCGTGCAGCCTCGCCTCCCCACGGCTTCCCACACATCCGAGCCGAACCGTGAGTACGCAAGAGAGAGTTGGGATTTCGCGTAGGGTCCTAGGGAGTTTAATTCTGAGTAGACGAGGTAGATCGGGTTGAGACCATCGGGAGATAGGTTAGCCCTGCCCTGCTGACTCAGACTGATTCGGGTAATAGTAGCTCGCAGACACACCGGGAACAAATCGTTAGTGATCGATAACAGCCTCGTGTGGTTTCTACGAGTGTGAGGAAAGTGCGTGGTGGTGTGTGTGCGCTCGCCGTAACGTGTGTGGCTGGGTGCGCGGTATCCCGGGGGAAGAAACGCTGCACCCGAAGGACTCCGCGAGTGCGCGATTCGTCCTGTAACCTCTGGCCTCCGCTCTGGGTGTGCATCGCTGAGCGGGGTTGTGAGAGCAGAGACGTCGCGTGTGAGTGGCTGCGCGTATATGGGTGTGGGACGTGGTGTGCAGGGAGTCTCCTACTAATGTTTGAGGGAATGCACGGGGAGAGTGGGTGTGAATGACCCGAGGTGGCCAAGGGCCAGCCAAGAGTTATGTCTCGCAGGAGGGAAACGGCAGCAGCGAGGAGAGAATAAGAGGAGGAGGAAGGGGGAGAGGAATCGGGGGGCAGCAGCCTCAGAATGGAATCGGGGGGCAGCAGCCTCAACAACCACAGTTGATCGCCAGTTTGCGTGTGGTGAGGTAAGTTGTGATTCCTCCCACTTCTTCCAAGACATATACCCAGAATGGATTCATAGGTCAAGTAATAACAATAGTAATAAGCTGCATTTATAAAGCCCCTTTCAATGACACAGTACTCGAGGCTCCGCAAATTGCAGGCCAAGCGGAGGAAATACTAAGACAATGAGATAAGCTAATGCAGAGAAGTAAAGCAAGAGAGAATTGGCGTGTGCCGAGGCAGGTTTAAAAACACCGCCGTTGTATCGTTGTGTCCGAATCGTGACCAACACTGGCAGTGGTCCCTTTCCGGCAGCAGTGGCGTGAGCAAACAATCACAGGGCTGCACGTTTTTGTTGTTGTTTAACACAGCGAAACACGGTGGCTGAAGTCCCCCTTGTTTGCACGGCGGGCCGTGTGGTGGAGGGCCACTTACACAAGGTTCTTCAAGGTGTTGTGCTTCATCAACTCCGGCACCAGCATGCGGATGCCATCGTCCGTTATCCGGTTACTGCTTACTCTGGAATACAAATCAAGAAGGGACGGAAAGAGGCGGGCGGTGGTGAGCATGGAACTTGATTATCCAGGAAAGCCTTGCCGAGTCCGGAGACTCGGCAAGGAAACGTTTTCACAGTGGGGAGTAGGGGGGGGGGGGGGCAACGATTGCTATGTTTCCCAATGAGGTTTTGAGTTATTTGTTCAAATTTGGACCAAAATGCCAGCACACGCTGACCTAATATTCTAAATAAGTCAGAAAACCATTTGCATGCATGTCGAACGGTATGTAGACAACCATGCTAATCGGAATTTTGGGGGTAGGATAACAAATGAAACACAAAAATCAATTTAGAGAAATTGGAGGGGGATAAAAACAATCACAATATTTCCCACGAGCGTGTACACCGCGTGCCCACCGCAGCTGGTCCAGCTTGTGCAGGCACGGCAGCAGTTGGTGCAAGCCCAGGTCCTCGATGTGGTTGTTGTCGAGCATGGCCGACACGGCCGACCTGGCGTGCTGCAGCACGAAGGCCAGGTGCGTGCAGTGTGCCGGCCCCACTGACGCGTAATTCAGCTTCATGTAGCTCGGCATGTCGCGCGCCAGCCGCCGCGCCACCGTCTCGTCGCCGAACTCGTGGGCGCAGCACACCACCCACAGGAAGTCGCACGTCAGGTGTCCGCGGTAGCTGGCCATGTCGCGGCGTGTCAGTCGGACGCTCGCCGCAAGATCCTCCAGGTGAACGCGCAGGCACCGGCGCAGGTGCGCGCGCAGCGCCCCGCGCTTCCGCCGGAGGGCCCCGCCGCCGCCGCGGTCCACCATCTTCGACAGCGTCGCGGAGTGCCGCTCGGACAGGAGGCCGCTGAGGAACTGCGACACCAACTGCAGGTTGCTCTTCTCCGAGTCGGTGAGCTTGCGGCACTGGTTCCGCCGCTGCCACCCGACCACGCATGCCGGCGCCAGTCTCCGCCACTGAGTCGCTCGCGAGAAGTTGGGGAAGTGCCCGAGCACGTCGCGCGCGCCGCGGTCGGCGCTCAGCACCAGGAGGAGCGCGGCGAAGAATGCCTGGAAGGTGACGTGCATGAACACGAACACGTCCTCCGTGCCGAAGCCATGGTAGCTCTGAGACTTGATGAGGAAGCCGTACGCGAGGTCCTCCTCCGTGAGGCCGTGCTCCTTGAGGCGCGACGACGAGAACGAGGTCTCCGACTCCAGCAGCGCCTTCTGGGCGAGGCTGCCCAGCTTGAGCAGCAGCGGCAGGGAGGCGCCGAAGAGGGCCTCGCGGTCCCGCTGCGGCCGGCTGTGACACAAGCACACCTCGAGCATGCTCAGGTAAATCTCGGTGATCGTCAGCGACGAGTCCGGGGCCCCCGCCGGCGCCGCCTGGTGTTGCGGCGGCTGCGGCTGCCGGAGCAGACCGTGGCACTGCGACACGATCCAGCAGTAGAGCGGAATTTGGCAGAGGCTGTAGATGTTCGGGTCGGACTTGAGCAGCTGCTCCGTGGCCCGGCTGGTGGCGCCCTCGCTCTCGCGCCGCTTGGACAGGTATGCCATGACGGCATCCTTGGAGAAGCCCGAGGCGACGACGTTCCGCCCGACGTGCATCTCCAGCATGACCTTCACGTCCGAGTTGGTTCGCGACGTCACGATCTTTTTCGCACCCTTGAGCAGGTTCCCCCGCAAGACGTTGGCGACGAGCGTGAAGGCGGGGGCGGCGCCCTCCGGCGACGCGCACACCGCCACGTCGCCGCCGCCGCCAGCCATGTCTCGCCGGAACTCGTCCATGGCGTCGAACACGAGCAGCGTCCTGTCCGGGTGTCTCAGCACATACTCGAACACCTTGTCGGGGCACGCGTCCGGGCAGCAGCAGTTGTTGAAGAGCAGGTCCCTCAGGCAGATCTCCTTCTTCACGTGGTTCAGGTGGCTGCAGGAGAACGAGAAGAGGAACTCGAACTCGGCGTACGCCGCGCCCTTCGACCACTCCCGCCGCAGCTTCTGCACCAGCACGCTCTTGCCGCTGCCCGCGTCGCCCGACAGAAGGACCACGTCCTTGCTGGGCGGCCCGGGGCGGCAGCCGGCGTCGGGGCCGTTGCCGGCCACGGCCGGGGGTGGCGGCAGCAGCGTGTCCAGCGTGAGCACGAGGGGCTCCTCGTCGGCCGCGGTGGGCAGCGCGTGCAGCTGCGTCTCGGTGTAGATGTCGTCGAGGGCGAGGTGGCCAAGATGGCTGTACATCTGCAGTGACTGCGAGCCGTCCTCGTGGTGCCGATGCAGCTTAGTCTTGTACGCCTCCACTGCACGCCGCAATACGTTTATGCGTTAGCACATAGTTTACCGGATGGTAAACATGCTTTTTATAATGCAGAGTCGTTCATGCAAATCATCAGAATTTATACTGGAAGAATCCAATGGGCTATGAAGCTATTTGGCATGTCCAATAGGGGCAGGTCAGAACGTTACAACAACAAAAAATAAAAAAAAACACGATAGGAGTGCAAAGTGTAATACATCGCAGGAACCTGTCGGACGCAAATGGCTGGCAAAATTAGTCATGTAATGCCTGGCGAAGTTTAGAACCTTGAACTTCTTAAGCCAGAAAGATAAAGGCCTATGACCCAAAAACTTCCTGGACAAGATAACTCCTCAGTTGCGGCTAGAAGCTCACATGGAACGGCTCTGTTTGGAAAGTTTCCGGCCAATACTTGATCCCGTGATCCCAAAGGTGCAAGCGGTGGATTCCAACATAAATTAAAAACAGCCGCAGCGGGCGTTGACTACAACCGAACAACACATGGAAAGGGCTACCAATTCCATCATTAATGGAAAGAGAAAGGAAGGGCATCCCGATTGCGAATGTGATGAAGGGAGATCTCATCGTATAACCGACCACCCATTACACACAAACTGCTTGCCACAAATGAACCACAGCACCATTCATGACCTCGTGAAGGAACAAAAACCATCACACGAACTCCAGTCATCCTCGCAGCAGCCGCTTTTAGCTAGCCGTCTAACAAAGACGGTCACTGCATCGCAACCCGCTTTCAAATGCGCTTCTGTGGCAATCTGGAATGCTATTCTTTCTGATATGAGGAAAGCATTGGAGCTATGCACTTTTGAATCAAGATTTAAGTCTTATTTCTTTAGAATAATTTTTTTTTGTGTTCAGTTTGTTGTCCTTCCTCCACACCTCCGATTACCATGGTTGGCTACGTACTGTGCATGTATGTATGTTGAACTTCTTTCGCACTGTGCGAAAGAAGTTCAATATACATACATACCCTGGCCAGTATTCGGTTACACAGGAGGTATGGACACCATACATCAAGTGGCTCCTGATGCCATCGGACGAATTGCCACACTCCTCTACACACGATTATATTATTTCGTCAGCTGCTTTTTTAAATGTCATAATGTAATAAACGACTTCCACGACAATATGAGACTTGCGTCCTTTCTTTATTAGTTATGACTGCTCGGGTCCGCGCTCCCTTCCAGATAGTCGCTCTCTCTCTCTCCCTCGCCGCATGCATGCGCTCACTGCTCCTTTGTTCCCGCGCAGCTTCCCTCGCTCTCGCCTCCCCCGCACACCGCTGGTTGACGGCGTGCCGGGAGTCGGGAGAGCTTCGGCCCCCGAGGCTGCCACGTGGTCGGTAGCTTGATGAGAAGGCAGAGATGCAGTCCGGACCCAGGCTTCCAAACCGAACCCCGAGTCCTCCCCTTGCCTCTCCTTATATCCCTCCCGGCGGAGCAAAGCCCCGCCTCTAACCACGCCCCCCTCAGAACCTTCTCGATGGTTCCCGCATGTACCTGTGAGCTCCGGCCATGAACTATGGCCCAGATGGAAGCCTTAGCTCTGATTGGCTACGACCGATGCAGCAGCGCCTATAGCAGCCCTCCGTCACCAGACGGTGTGCTCTCTCATTACAATAAGAAAGAAAGATTAACCAAGTTGGCATGCCGAAAATCGAACCGTGGACCTCTGCAACAAGCGTTGAACGCGCGAACTGACGGGCCATGTCCCCAAGACAAACAACAAACAGTTCGCTTCTTACAGCCATGCCGCTTCACACAATTACTCCTTTACAGCAGCCGCTCGCCGCAACTTTACCGCCTCGCCGAGACGTCCCTCGTAAAACGGCAGCAGTTAAAAAAATATTTCCCGCAGCAACTTGTCGTTCCTTTTTACTTTCACCTGAACTGTGTCGTAAATCTGCGATGGCCACGATCGGCCGCCGGTCTGCAGCTCGTGACGAGCCGAAATGGCAGGCGTCGCTGGTGTGGAATCTCTAACGGCTAAAACGATTTTTTATTTTACCAGGGAAAGCCCGCTGAGCTTTATAGCTCTTTTTCAGAAGAGACCTGGACCACAAATGATAGCCTAACATAGTGGCTTATCACGTTGACATCTAAAATAGCTAAATACTCCAAACACATCATATTGATTATAAATGTGGAGGGAAAAAACGGAGGAAGCGGAGAAAAATCCACGTGGCCACAGGCAGGGAGACACCGCAAACTACAAAGATACAGGTGCCAAGGTAAGTTACCCCCACCCTCACCACCCCATGCTGCGATTGGGCAAGTAGATCGCACGACGATCGCGCGTCGTTTTCCCACCGGGCGAAGGGAAGTAGTCCTTCTCGGCCACCGCTTTCACGTCGACGCAGCGGAGAAACGCGGCCGCCGCGGCTTCCCCTTTCGTGTGAATCAGATTGAGCAGCTTCCTCACCTGCGGGAACAGAGACCACAGCGCCACTATTCACGCATCGACGGGTCAACTCGAAGGACCGTACGATCGCACCATACCTAGCCAACTGCGCTAATCGGGCGGTGCGGGGCGAATAAGAGGTGCGGTAAAATGTAACAGGACCCTCCTGAAAGAGAGTCCTGCGACTCAGTGTGGCTTTCCTGGATAAACAAGTAAATTATTATAAACGTTGCCACGAAGTATGTGCTCCCGATTTTCGGATTATTAACGTGCAAACATTTGGAGAATCAGGCTTGGACGCGGCCTGCCGGCGCGCTTTAAAGCCGCTAATCACGTTTTGCTGGCGCGTCTGCTGCGGAAGCGTCACTCTGTCCCGGTCCTCGTGACTCAAGACGCCGTCCAGCACCAGCTGCTCTGCCAGCACGTCCACATCATCCAGCTTGTCCACCAGTGCCAGGTGGTGGAGCCGCATCGCAGCCAGGGCACCGTCGGGGGGCGACGGCACCGCGACAAGCGTCGCGGCGTTGGCGTCGTCGGCGGTGGCGTCGGCGGCGGTGGCGTCGGCGGCGGTGGCGTCGGCGGCAGTGGCGAAGCCGGTGCTGGTGGTGGCGTCGGCGTCGGCTTGGTCCGTGCGGAGCTCGAACCCCGGGGGCACCTGGATGAGGGCCGCCCTCGCGAGCGCTCCCACCAGCTCCGCGGCGGCATCCTCGCCCTTGCTGCCGACGATGCAGAGCAACTGGCGCGCCGCGTCGTACGGCGTCCTGGGAGAACGCGATGGAACGCTCACGAAGGCGGCCTGCGGTGCGGCCTATGGTGCGGCCTCCACCGCTATCATTGTTAAGCCTCACGGAGCCTCGAGGATCTTTTGTTTCCAAGAGGGTCCCGAAAAGTTTTTCGCAGTCGGGGGCGACGATTACCGTGTTCCCCAATTAAGTAAATTGCGAGTATTTTTTTTTATTTGGACCAAGATGTTGGCGCACCATGGCCGAATACTCTTCTCTGAATGACGCCACGAGATTTTTTTTACTGTGAAGCAGAGGGCACGCATTTTATGTTAAATACACCTGTACGACAGTATTAACCAGGGCGGCCTACTAAAATTCGAACCGCAAGCCATAGACCTACACAAGCTAAAGTAATCATTGCCACCACGGCCATCAACGGACACGGTCTAGCCACTGCTGGATGAAGGCCTCCCCACGCCGTCGCTGTGACGCTCATAATCCACCTCCACATGACTTTACATCGTCGCTCCATCGCCACCGCGTGTCCCTGTGCCCTTGTCCCCTTGGGCGACAGCTCCCCCCAGAGTGCATCTTACATTCCGTAGGGCATAAGGGTTACCTGCCGCACACGATGCTCTCTCGCTCCTCCAGGGAGACGATGTTGCGAGTGAACAGGACGTCCAGGAGGCCCTCCACCTGCGGGCCCATGGCCAGGACGAGCCGCTCCCTGCGGTGGAGGAGCAGGGATGAGGCCTTCGGCCGGTCCTGCGCCGCTCCGCCCTCCGCCATCACCGGCCAATTGAGCAAATAGTTCAGGGCCCCAAGCGGATCAAGGTGGGGGCGGGAGCACCCCTGGATTTAAAGAGAGGCAGGGAACAAAAATAGCAGCGCATCAAACAAAAAAATCGGCTCGAATTCAAATCGTAATCAATAGCTAAAACAAAACGATAATCTCTACCTTAGAGGGAGCTATAGACTATAGCAGTGCTAAGTTATTGGTGTACAATGGCATACCCAGAAGCCCGGTATTTTAGGAATCGGGAAAGAACCTAAAGCACCCTCCGCTCACCTCCCACCATTTCCCCCTCTCCCCTCACCATTGGGCTGACGGCTGCAGACAGTTGAGAGGGCCTTGGCCCCCACCCAAGGCCCTCTCAACTCCCTCGGTCGCGGGTGCCCAGTTGGGACAAACCCGGAGACACGCAGCAACACAAACACGGAGACACGTAGAGACACACGGACATGGATACACACGCGGAGATAGAGACACGCATACACCCACACAGTTGAGCAAATTCGTGTCGCCGAGTTTGGCAGTTCCACCTGAATTCCTCCATCAGTAGAAGTGAGGGACCGTGAATTATATGTGAACTACCACGCGTTATCACCCATCCCCGGGGCGCGGCAGCGGCGAGACGTTAACTACCTCGCCTGGTATACAGGAGGTCGTGGGTCCGATCCCGACCCTGACGCCTGCTGTATATTTGGAGTTTGCGGTGTCTCTCTCCCCCGTGGTCGCGTGGATTTTTTTCCGGGTCTTCCAATTTTTCGCTCAACATTTAGAAACATGCGTTTTAGAATATTTGGCTGCTATACATGTCCACGTGATAAGCTAATTTCGTTGAACTATCATTTGTGGCCAGGTCGCTTCTGAAAAAGAGCTACATAGCCCAGTGGGCTTTACCTGGTAAAATAAAAAATTGATAAAATAGTGTGCCAGTTTGAAAGCGGTGCCGTGGAATGAAAAAGACGAGTCGCACTGCTCTTGAGAGCCGCTTTGTGGTTTTTACTTGGCCTACCTTTCCACGGTATTAGACGTCTTGAAATATCTGTGAGTAACCCACATTTCACCCAGCCACATACAAACCTGCCGATCGACCTGTGGTTGAACCTATTCGTGCTGCTTTCCGGGTGGACAGAGGAGTGTGACGGCAACTTTCAGAGAAACTTGCCTCCAACTCTATTCTTTGGGTCTTTCGGTAAAGTCACGTAGACAGGTTGAAAAAAATAACAAAAAAACAAAAACTACGACGTTTCGATCGTAACACAAGCGGTCGTCTTCGTTTTTTTTGTCCTGAAGACGTGTTGCGATCGAAACGTCGTAATTTTTTGTTATTTTCTTTGAACCTATATACGTGACTTTACCGTAAGACCCAAAGAATATGAATTCCTGCAGTTACGAAAGCTCTCAGTCAAGATGGTTGTAAAGCCCCTTAAATTAAGGCGGTAGATACGTCTGGATAATGTCACGTATTCAACAATCCACCCGGAAATGCCGCTCTACGCACGAGAATTCGTCGCTCCATCTCCGTGCCCGGACGCGTTCCATCCCATTGGCCGCCACTCCGCCCCCCCACTGCGTTTCCACCCGCACCTCCGGTCGGCACGGCACGCTTGGCTACGTGCGGTGCGAAAGAAGTTCAAACGTACGTCGAGCCGCTTGCCCACCCCGCCTGCCCGCCCGTCTCTCGATTCACCAGCCGAATTCGTCGCTCCATCTCCGCGACGGACGTTAAAGCCCACGGCGGCTCTCTGCGCGATATATCGCGACGTCGTGGGGGGTGGGGGGTGTTGTCTCTGGCTGAGCGGGCGACGTCCGGTTAATGATTGACGACCCCCCCCCCCACCACCATCGTTCTTTCACCATCGACCCACTCGCCACGTTTAAAGCCGAGCGCCTGCGATATTCGGTGGGGTGGGGTCGATTGTTATTATCAGCATCCTCAGCTGCAACAGCGTTATCAGCAAGCCAACAACAGTGATCATCACCGGTCAGCATCACCCACCGATTTTGCAGGGACTGCGCGTGTCTCCTGCTCGTTAGGGGAAGAAGCCGTCTTTGTGTGGCGTCTCAATCGGCGAGAGCGAGCCGATAGAGACGTCTCGGGGTCTGATGCACGCGCTTTCCAGAGAGAGAGAGATAAAGACGGCGGTGGCTCCTTGAGACGGGGAGAGAGAGAGAGAACTTCCTGCTCGTTCTCCGGGTTCCTGTTTGAGACAAACCTGGCTGGGCTGGCCGGCCCCGCACCTTTCCAGTTGTTTTTCCGTGCAGTGCAAACTTTTGACGGATCGTCTCCGTCCAAGATTGGCCGCGTGGTGGCGACAAACACCGAGAAGTTGGAGAGAAGAGAGCGACAAAAACAGCGATCGGTTAAACGCGAAGTGTAAGTAGTCGTAGTGGGCTATCGCGAGCAACGTTATCCAAAATAAAATAGTTTTTGTTGTTGTATTATTTTGGGTTATATCGCGTGAAAATAAATGTGTCGTTAAAGCCGCTACCATCCCGGTGGTGGTAATCACCAGCGAAACGTCGTACTCGGATTGTAAAGGCTGTGTGAGTCTACTCTCCAACAACGCGCCCGTGTGCTTGAGCAATAACAAAAGAAACACGAAACATAAACATGTAAGAGGGCAGTTGTAGGTCATTCAGGAATGTTGCAAGTTGAATCTGACAGTTGGCCAGCATTGGTTTTTAAGCAAGCCCGACTCCACTGATGAGACATTGAACGTCGAAACTGCTCCAGGGTTTTGTTGCGATAAACGCAAAGCTGCTCAAAAACAACAAAAAATCACTCCCAGAAAGAACAAAAAAGAGTCCATGTGGCTGGTGTGATGTGTAAACAAGCAAAACAACTGTACAAGAATATAAGAATAGGTTTTACCATTTCTGGCAATAAAACAGCTGCGTTAAGATGTTAAAATACCAAACTGAAACCTTTTGCAAGGAATCACGTCTGCATTATCCCACGTACTTGTGTTGAACATGCAAACAAAACGATGCGCTGGTAATGTATGCATTGTCTTTGAAGCTGATTGGTCCCCACCAGAGACAGCTTTCTTTAGAGCCTCGTCTCAAAGAGTGTGAGACCAGAGAACGCCAAAAGGCAAACAGCACAAAGACAATGCCACAATCAGGGACATTTCTAGCTCGAGGTGAGCAGCTTCATCATGGGACCTTCATTTCCAGTATCAAAATATAAGAATGGGTTTGAAGCTTTCGTGACTGCAGGAGTCCATACTCTTTGGTTCTTTCGGTAAAATCACGTAGATGACGACCGCTTTGTGTTGCGATCGAAACGTCGTGATTTGTTTGATTTTATTTAGTTTCTAACTACGTGACTTTACCGAAAGAACCAAAGAGTATAAGAATAGGTTTGATATTCTTGGTTATTTCGGTAAAGTCACCTGAGGACGGCTGCTTGCGTTGTGGCCGAAACGTCGTGAGAATTGTATTTTATTATGTTTTATTTTTATCATTTTATTATTTCCCTTCTACGTGACTTTACCGAAAGAACAAAGAAGATGAATCCCTGCAGTCACGAAAGCTTTACATCGAAATTTAATAGGTTTGATAATTTCTGGCAATAAAACAGGTGTTACGATGGTATAGGTCCCAAAAACGAACAAAAATAGTTGACGTTTTTATGTGGAAGGACAAACTTGGGATGAGGGTGAATTATTCGAGTTAAGACCGAATTAGGAAGGATTTCTCCACAACTCTGTCTGTCTGCCTGATTATGCTCGTTGTAATTACTGGCGAAACGTCGTACGCGAATGTTGTGGATTTTACACTCCAACACACCGGTGTGCTGAACTAGTAACGAATTGGCATGTTTTGTTTACGTGACAAACCTTACTAATTGGCTGCGTCGGGTGGTACCGGGTTTAACGAAACATGTATTATATTTAAGCAATCTAACCCAAACACGTTCCTTCGGAGTGGGCAGGTAGGCACTTGGTTGGACAGCGCATTCGTGTACGACAGACAGACAAATAATCCCTAGTGGGCAGTGTGGAACCTGTTGTTCCTACCTGTATAAGTGCGGTGTATCGTGTCGTGTATAGTGTAGTGTGTAGGTTAAACGTTGAGTTTTATAAGGGCACCACGGGGTGACCAGCCCCTCCCCACCCAGCCCCACCCCTCCCACCCCCCACCCAGCCCCACCCTCCCCACCCAGCCCCTCCCCATCCTCCCCACCCAGCCCCTCCCCCCCCTCCCCACCCTCCCCTCCCCACCCAGCCCCAACCAGCCCTACCCCACCATCCCCTCCCCACCCAGCCCCTCCCCACCCTCCCCTCCCCACCCAGCCCCTCACTCCCCACCCAGCCCCTCCCCACCCTCGCCTCTCCACCCAGCCCCACCCCTCCCCATATGCACGACAGACAGACAAATAATCCCTGGTGGGCGGTGTGGAACCCGTTGTCCCTACCTGTAAAAACCCTACTACGTGTTAAACCTTATTCTACTGATATTCTTGGTTCTTTCGGTAAAGTCACGTAGAAGGGAAATAATAAAATAAAAAAATATCAAACAATAAAAATTCTCACGACGTTTCGACAAGAAACGTCGTGCTTTGGATTTCACACCTGATGATGATGATTGCTTGTTTTGCAGTCGAAACGTCGTGAGAATTTTTTATTGCTTTTTATATTTATTATTTTATTATTTCCCTTCTACGTGACTTTACCGAAAGAACCAAGAATATGAATCTCTGCAGTCACGAAAGCTTTAAATCAAAACTTATTCTACTGAGTTAATGTATTTCTAAAATTGACGTGTTGCTCATCTCCTGTTTACAGCCAGTCGTGGCACATTCCACATTCCTATGTCGGGGGCAAGTCTCTCCACCGGACAACCACTCGATATTCACGATAAATTGATACATTTCACCATGAATTGTTTTGGCCCCGGTGGGGTGACACGTGCGTGCGATTATGGAGTTCCTTAATTCACTATTTTGTTCAAGTCTCTGGAGGTATTCTCAAGAGGTCCCTCTGGGAACAAGAGCCACTGTCAACGACCGTGGCGTGAGAAAGCAGTTGCAGGTTTGCACCTTTATCTTGTGTCAGACCGCTTGTTTGTTTCTCAAAAAAATGTTTTTTTATTAATGAGACTATTCAAACTCTTTGGTTGTTTCAGTAAAGTCACGTAGGTATAAAATAAAATAAATCATGTTTCGGGCGCAACACAGGCGTCCATCATCAGGTGGGAGAGCTCACCTAACGCTGTCTTTCCGACAGCTCAGTTTCTTCACCTGAGGACGGCTGCTTGCGTTGTGGCCGAAACGTCGTGAGAATTTAATTTGATTGTTTTATTTTTTATATTTTATTATTTCCCTTCTACGTGACTTTACCGAAAGATTCCAAAGAACACAGGATGAGATGTTACTATCCTTTGTGCAAGCACTTCCAAGAGTTCATGAACAGTGAGCCTGGTGAAATTTGGGGAGCGCATCGTCAGTAGTGACCCTTTGGTTCCTAGGGTGTTTCGGCCTTTCATACTATACACCCTCCCCAAAGGCGACCAGCGACAGGGTGATCAATCCTACGCTTGCGTCCCATTCCCAATTAGTCATAGGAGTTGCCTTGTTGTTGGTAGCCAACATCCCATGGGACTATGCATGGCAGGGGCGTCCTCCTCCCTGAGTCAAGCATTGTTGACTGCATACCTCCTGGCCCTCTCACTTTGGGGCCCAGCTGGGGTCTTTCCTCTTCATCCAGAGCCACTGACTGAACCAAGCATATGAATCCCTGCAGTCACGAAAGCTTTAAATCGAAATTTACCAAAAGAACCAAAGAGTATGAATCCCTGCAGTCACGAAAGCTTCAAATCAAGATTGAGACTATTTAAGTAAACACACAGGATATGAAAGGAGGCTGACACCACCATACATACATTACGGTTTACAGTGCAATGGAAACCTGTCTAAACCGCATGTCTTCCTAAGCTCTGATGGTCCTGTAGGAGAAGAAAAAAATTAACCTGTAAAAACAAAGTTTTTCACTATAAATCCTTTATATGCGTGGCGGCTAGAGTCCTCTCGTCCTCTGGCTTGAGATGGCTGCCACCTATGGGTCAGATGATTGTCTGCCACCATTAAGCAATTGGTAATTAAATATTTTAAAAAATTTCCCTAAACAGTGTAAAATTTTGGGGAAAAATTTTTCACGAAAATTAATTGTCACGCACAACGAGTCTGTGTGCAAAATGTCAGCTCGATTGGATCACGGGAAGTGGGTTAAAAAACGACCGAAAGATTTGCACGGTCATAAGCAAGCAAGCAAGCACGCAAGCAAGCAAGCGAACGTAATAAAAATGGAGGGGGGGGGGGAGTGCATAAATGCTCTCATGAATGCTCCTAAGAATAAATGCCCACTGGAGGAGAGGTAGTGAAGGGGTTCCACGTTTCGCAGTAAGCTTCCTCCCTACCCCTTAGCTTTGCACTTAGATCCTCTAGAGCGGCAATTTTAGATAATTTATCGGCCGATTCCTGCAGTGTTGGTGAAGCGTGCTCTTTCCAGATGGCTATAATGGTGCGTTTTGCCATAACATTGAAAATGTGTAATAATGTATCTGCCTCCATAGAAAGCCCTTGAGGCTTCAACCCCAACATGGACGTTTCTGGTGAGGATGAGATGCTTGTTTTGTGAATGTGGTTAAAGTATCAAATGTGATCATGTGAAAAAAACTTGCTAATGTCTGGACATTGCCAAAAAACTAAAACATTGCCAACGTGACTTTATCGAAAAAACCTAAGAATATGAATCCTTGCAATCACGAAAGCTTCAAATCTAGAATTAATTGCCAAAAGGTAATGTCTGTGTGTTTGAGGGGTGTCCGGGGGGCATCCTGGGCAGTTGGGGGAGGTTGTTTTGTCGAATTTGGTTCTTCTTTGGTTAGTTAAGTAATAGCCATTGAGACATTTAAATTGGGTTTCTCTGAGGAGGGCTGAGTAAAGATGGCAGACTGATTTTAAAAATGTTTTAGTATAAGATACAGATACAAATCCTGCAAACTCAGCAGAAATAATCTCACATTTTTTTATGTACAAGTACAATAAAAAAATAGAACATTGAAAGCTTTATTTGCATTTGTCAAACCACTTCATTTTTCAAAACGCTAGTCAGTGCGGACTGGTGAAGTGGGGGTTGTAATGGAAGGAACTCAGGACTGGTTCACCGTGGCAGGGAATCGAACTCGGGTCCACAAGCTTCATGGCGGAGTGCGCTAAACCATTGTGCCAATGTTCTCCATTCATATATCGACTAATCTTCTCACTCTTAATTGGGAACGCAATGTACGCATCTGTCAGTGGTTGTGTGTGCAATTTTCACCATTGTGCGCAACTTTAACTGATAAGTTAGGGTAAATAACTTCGCATATTTGGCCTGGCCTGCACAATGTTATTAATGAGAGATATGATTCTTGTACGTCTAATTGAATTAACATTCTCTAACCATTACTGACTAGTTTGGTGAAGAATGGTCGACACTCTAATTAATCCATGACCCGCACGGAATATATACATTTCGTCCTGCCTCAGCAGTCCGCCTGCTGTATTTTTTCACCTGAAGACGATTGTTTGAGTTGCGATCGAAACGTCGTAATTTTTTATTGACTTTTTCTATCTACGTGACTTTACCGAAAGACCCAAAGAGAATGGTCGACACGACCTCAAAGACTAAACGGTTTCGGGAGGCCTTCGTTCAACAGTGGGTTGAATAAAGGTCTGTGCATTGTGAATCTATTTGTGTAGACGACGACGCTTATTCGAGTAAAACGGTGAGTCAGAAACCCCATTGTCGATAACACGGGCGAGTGCTTGTGACTGATAGTGCAGAAAAGCAAGTATGACTCTTGATGACTCTTGTCCGTTTATTAAGCAAAACATAGTAAAAAGGCTATAAAACTCAAAACAATATACAGGACAAAACATTACATGACAACAAGTATGTACACCAGGAGGTTTTGAAATAACGTTCACAAGTCTGGAATAACTGCAGCCATGGATAAAATAATATATATTTTTTAATCCTACACGCTATTGCTGATACACTGATATAAATCCTAACCTTGATAACATCCTTTTCCTGGTAGTGGGTTTTCAAAATACTCTCTCGGTAGCTGCCAATTACACTTTTCCCTCAAGTGCATACAAGAAAATTACCAACTCAAATATATATGGTGCTTGAATATAATGACTGTGAATGGAAGGAATACATAAACAGGACATTTATATATTTGGGCCACCCATGATTATAGAGTAGTGGTGTCTGAAGATAACATATGGCATGCCGTACAACAGCACAGTACTGCAATTGATAACATTTCTTTAAGACCACAATGCTATGGTGAACCATGGCATAATCCAATCGCCAAAGTAAACCGCATTTTTTTTAGAGGCAACCAAACATTGTTGGACCATCTACACTCGTGTCACAACAGCAGCCAGTGTTACAAATACCAAGGATAAGTCGAAACAATGACATTAAAACACTGCACCGGTTTCTAATTACAGTATGTCACATATCCACGCCGACCACTTAATCATCCACAGTCAGTGCAGGTATTTGTGCAAGGTTGCGACTGTCATTTTCCACAGATGTTCACAAATCCGACCATTCGCATGCAGTGATGTGTCCTTAAACCTCGCGTACATTTGCTAAAGTATGAAGCACAGCCGAAGCATTTCCCTATGCTTAGAGCAGTCTTCGCTTTATTTTTGTCCGGTTACCTATTCGTACTGAACCAACATTTTCTATTGCATTCACATATCAGACATGTTTACGTATCCACCTGTACCTCCATACCTCGTGAGTCTGATATGCGATGTTCTCCATAATTACGTTGGCAACGTGTTGCTACTCGACTTCCGGTAACACAATGCACGTTTAGTACCTTCAGCCCACACGGATGCCGGGCTTCAAAATAAACTGTTTGGAGGTTGCAGCAGACAATGTTGGGCACTCAAAAAACTGCCTTCAACCTTTCAACGATTCATTCTTCTGCTACCAGCCAGGGAAGGATAGCAACAAGGGATGCGTGGAACACCCCCCTTCACATTGCAGTTAATTTACACGGCTACATAATGCAACAAGTCATGTTTCCGTAAAGGAGTACACGCACAGCACACTTCTGGATGAGGGCCACCCCATGCAACGGGAGTCATGGGAGTTGTTTTTGCCATATTGTGCATAGACGTGGGAGCATGGATGTACAATACTGTACATTGGATTTTGCTGCATTGCCCTCAACGCAGCACAACCCTAGCATCTTATGATACTTGTAATACAAAGTAGTCACATATTCGACTATTATACAGGCCCAGGCCAGCTTAGCTTCCAAGATCTGGGTGATCCGGTCAAAGAATGTAAAGAAGTAAAAAAAAACATTGGCGAAGCTGCAATTTCTTGCTCATGCCGCTGCAGGCAGAAGGGCCACAACTGAGAGGAAGCTCTCCAAAGGCTCTCAAGAGGACACATTCGAGATAAAAGTGAGAGAAGGATTGGAAGGGAGATAAGAGAAACAACGGTGAGATGAAGGCTGCAGCACAGGCTTAGAAGACGTGAAAAGCGAGGCAGTTAATCGTGTGCAGAGGAAGGTCTGGAACATGGGGTTGAGTGATACCAAAAGGGACAGAGAAGGGAAAGGTGGTTCCAGACGCCGAGCACAGCCTTGGAGAATTCGTGGTGACCATGCCTTGGATAAAGGTTGACTGGCAGAGGCAACAAGTTGTACACGCGGCTAAGCAAATTTCATTGGCAAAGGGCAATGGCACAGGGAAGGGAATAAAAGGCATAAGTTGGCTTGCTTAATGACACTTAATGTCAGCCAGAGATAGGTCTCGAACAATTCTGCTTTCTAGTTGGCATCCGATTGTTTTTGTGTATTGTTTGTTGTTGTAACTTTCTGACCCGCGCCCCCACTTGACGTGTGAAAAAGAGTCTCAATGCTCATTGGATTTCTCCAGCATAAATAACGATTATGATTCTGAGCAACGTTATAATTGTTTGAGCATCTTAAGGTATTTTAAGAATTTTAAAATACTGAAAATAAAAAGGAATTTGATCTTCTAAAACACAACAATCTTTAAAATGCTTATAATACAGTTTTCACTGATGCAGTTATATTACAAAACGTTTGCAGACACTGCCAACACTGTTGTCAATGGAATTATATTTAAAAAAATAACTAAATAAGAAACCACCGTAATGTACTGCACTTATATATGGAGAAAATAAATATATGAAATGGTTGCTTAACAAAGAGCACGTGACTGAACGTTTTACTTAAACGGTACTGTACCTGCAATAGTTTCAATCACCCAACCTATGTTTGCACTGCCGTCTAAACAAAACATAGACTCAAGAACAGTGCACAGGAGTTGACGAATGTTTTCAATGTGAAAACGGAAACTGTGCTACTTTTTATCATAAATATTTTCAATACATCCCGCGAGTTCGGCCCATAAACACTGACGTTAGCACCAGGCACGAGATAATGTTTTGCTGGTTTGTTGTGAACTAGACTGCTGAAAACATGTGGAGATCAATCGCTGACCAAACCCAGTTTTCAGAAACCAAAATTATAACAATACTTTTATCGTCATACCGTCCTTTGCGCTTTTAAGAAAACGTGTCAGATCACACGGATGAAAGAGAAAACTTGCCCGTACACTTCTACTCTTTCTGAGAATGTTTATACACCAACATTTCGTTGTGCAAAAACTATTTCATTAAAACTATCAACAGTTTACATAAACATCCGCACTGTTTACATGAAATGTATTTTTAGTTAAGTGTCGTGTTGAATTGGCATGAACATGTTTTAGATGGAGATACATCAGAGCACATTATCTCTGCTGTCCCGACACCGGTGCATTAAAAATTGGCACAATAACTTAAAATGTACTCAAAACGCAAGCATTCTACTGTAGTATCTACTGAAATATGACTTACTGCTGTTGAGTGTCCTACTGCTGAGAAAAACGAATGGTTTCTAAACATAAACCTTTCCAAGGCTAAAAGTACACATGGTTTGGTTGGAGCGCCTATAACATTACACTGGAATTCCTAAACGAGTCCAGCTTAAGTACACGGAAGTGGGTCCTGTATTGTTTTGATGACACGATACGTTACAATGATGGCGACCCCGATACAGATTGCAGATGTAATGGATTTGCATATAGCCACGGCTTAATTTCTCATTCTAAATTCTTCGGAACGAGACTTTACTGACATCACACGTGTCACGGGAATCGACGTCACATTGGACGTCACTGACAAATGTGTGTCCTCGTTGACGATTCTTTCTCTTAAAAACAAGGAAATGACATTAAAGTATTGATCCCTTGAGGACATTTGGTAACCCTAAGCGCTTTTCACACATATCGCGCGCACACCACCGTGGCATCGTGAGAACAATTAAGGGCGAGGTAGATGTGGCATGCCACAAGAATTCGCGGAACAACTGTTCCGACTGACGTTAAGTGCTGACAGCAAAGCCATGGTAGATCGCTATTAAATGTCGGCAGGCTGCAAGGTTAACTTTAAGGGCACTTTTGTGTTCAAGTAAAATGTTCCCCTAAAAGTTCAACAAATCCAGTCTTGGGCAGACCAGCCCCCTGATGGGCTGTAACCGACCCTATAATCTGATGTGGAAAGTTTGCGCAACAAAGCATAGGCTGCCAGTTGCCGTGGGGGTATGTGCCAGGTCACTTTAAACAGTAAAGGCATTTAAGGTCATTGCTTGCTTCTGTCATCTTCTCAAAAGCTGTACAGTGCCCCATCTTTCAGTTCAAATACATTTTCTTTACACCAATTCTCTTCCTGCGACATGTTCCAATCCCCCGTTATTCTCTAGCCAATGGAATTGAAACCTTGACTTCATGAGCAACTCCCTCAGTATATTTACCTCTCCTTAATGTTACTCACCATTTGGCAGCTAGGTTTCCCTACTGGTGCCCTCTGCATGTCAGCAAATAACGACGACGATAAACCACCGAGCCCTAGAACTCTTCCTCGTTGCATCCGTCGTTCACAATGCCCTCGTCGATGCTTTCGAGACGCGGCCTCTGCCCCACCGAAGTCCGACTGCCGCGCCGGCACCCGTGCACGGAGCCGGGCCCCACTGCCATCACGCTGCCTGGCAGGTGCGGGTACTCCGGCACGAGCAGCGCCGGGGTGGAACAGCGCGGGAGAAACGGACACTCCGCTCCACTGCCGACGCTGCCGCCGACGCCAACGCTGCCGCCGCCGCTGCTGCTATTGCTGCTGCTGCTGCTGATGTCGTCGTCGTCTCCCCGCTGCCCGCTCGTGCTTGGACACAAATCTGACAGGAGGCTGCCGAGTGTTGCTACGCCGATGTCGGTGACGCCGTCGAGCCGGGAGGCGTCGCCGAAAATGCTGAACTTCGCATCGGTGGCGATGGCCTGCGCCAGGCTGGAGGCGAAGGAGTCCAGGGTACTGTGGACTTCGGCTTGCACCTCCACGGGCTCGTGCCGGGACTGCTCCCGCAGGGCTGCTGGTGGCAAAGCAAGACAAGGTCACGAGGGTGCGACATCGTTTGTGATAGGCGGTCTCCCAGAAGCGCAGCAGATCACCTCCACAATTACCAACAACATTGACAACATTGACATCGATATGTGGAGAAATAATAAACAATCTGTGGTTTACAGATGACAGATCTAATTGAAAACATCCTAAAAGATTTACAATCTTACCTATAAAAGTATTTTTTGTCCGTCTCCCTGTCTGTCTGTCTGCGCACGCCTTGCAACGTTTTTAACTGAGAAACTGTTGGGTTTACGTTTCAACAAAGTACACAGATACAACACACTAAGTCCCCGGACGAAAAAAACGCTATTTGTTTTTCCCTTCCGTCAAATGTAAACTAATTAAATCAGACTTGAAACTATTTATATTATTACGCTGATCGTGGTGCCAAAGCACGCATCTGCGCGGAAACGCTGGCTCGCGATTGCCCCTAGCAATGCACAGGAGCGGGACGGGAGAGAAGTTCTCCTTCGCGTTAAAAAGGCAAAATAATACACAGAAGTGCAACACTGAGGTAAATCTCTCCCCACCCCAATGTGTGCAGCTACTACTATAGAGTCGGTAGATACTACTGTAGAGTTGGTAGATAATACTGTAGAGTCAGTAGATACTACTGTAGAGTCGGTAGATACTACTGTAGAGTTCGGTAGATACTACTGTAGAGTTGGTAGATACTACAGTAGAGTCAGTAGATACTACTGTAGAGTCGGTAGATACTATTGTAGAGTTGGTAGATACTACTGTAGAGTCAGTAGATACTACTGTAGAGTTGGTAGATACTACGGCATCGCAAGTAGATACTGCTGTAGAGTCGGTAGATACTGAGTCAGGTACTACTACAATCAGTAGATACTACTGTAGATTCACTATATACTACTATAGAGTCAGTAGTTATTTTACGTATGCGATCTAACCAAACATACCTATATTATCGATGATATTGCTCGTGAAAGTCTACGTGTTAAACAAACACTAGCTAATGTGATTGTTATTATCATTATCATAAATATACGTTTCACTCTAAAAGCTTCATAATGTTCTACGTTTCCCAAGTAAGGCTGATAGTGTTAATGCGTCATCTTTGAACTGAATGGCCATCCCTCCATCCATTTGCCTGTAACGGGGGTCATGGTAACTCTGGAGAATATACAATATGAACAAAGCTTAAGTAAAAAAAAAAGTTATGTTGCTGTTGGGGACTTAAAACTTTATAAAACTGTCTATATTATCCAAAGGGTTTATGTCCAAAACCTGGTGATCAAACCAGCAAAGGATAAGCCGCGTCGACCAAGGTAATGTCACGTAACTCTAGTAAGTGACATCACACGTCATGCTCCGCGTGACATTGTCTCATGGGAAGGTAGCACTGTTGTCGCTAACACTGGTCAACAAAAAAACATTTTTTTCTGGCCTGGACTTTTGCAGCTGTTTTAGACTAATTTCAGGGTGCTGATTCCAAATCTGATCTCAGATTTGCTCTATCACATCTCATTGTATGCTATCGGCATACCCCATTTTCATTGATTTTACCCGAAATTAACTCTTGTCACTTATGATTGCAAGTTGTTGCGAGACAGTGACTGCTTTAGTGTTAAAATATGGTGCTGTATTTCTAGGATAGTGTGTTTATAATATAATTTTATGTAGATATTCACATTTAATATTTTTCTTCTGCAGTTTTTATTGAAAATGCAATATTTGATATCTCAAAAACCTGATGTGATAGACAAAAACTGATGCCAGATTTGGAATCAGCACCCCAAAATTACCTTATAACCGTTGGAATACCTTATGCCAGAAAAAGTGTGTTGACCAGTGTAATTAACTACTTCTAAGCACAAAAGCATGACAACATCCACGCATTTGCATGATTTGTCTACCCCGTTTGAACGCAAGTTCGGCGCTGGGACTCACTGGAGATCAGCGGGAGCTCATCCATTGGCACGGAGCTGTGGCGCCGACCGTAGAAGCGGCCGCTCTGTAAACTCTCGGACTCCTCCAGCAGCATCACGTCCGTGCCTGCCTCCCCCGCACACACACACACAAGACAAAACAAACACACATCAACAGATTCTATATGCTAAGTATGACCATAACATTGGTCGTGAAAGCCCATGCACATTGGGTATGTATATATATACTAGCGGGGGGAGTGGTTGTGCAGTAGTGAGCGCACTGCGCTATGAAGACGGCAATCCATCAGTGAAGGATATCTGAACTGGTCCTGAGCCTCCCTAGGTCGACTCAGCCATACATTAGTATCTGGTGCAGTGTGAAAACATCGCTATTGGGAGGGAAAAGGCATAGGGGCTTGTTTCTAGCCACATCACGTCCTCGTGCGCAATTCCAGCCTTCACAGGTGCTCGCTATACGAATTTTTCCCAAAAGCCTGTATGGCTATACGGGGAACATTTGTCTTGATGCACACAAGTGTGCAGCGAGATAACCCACCAGAGTCCTGTGAAAAGCTGTATCCCGTGTCTCCACTGCTGCTGCCGTGGTTGGGAAGCCGCCCGCCTGCCAGTAGAGACGTGAGGTGTGGCGACAGGCCAAGGTCTGGGTGTCGGGGAGAGAAACAAGAACGTGTGGATATTAGCTTACATTAGAAACGAGACCCACTTTAGTACAATCGCACTTGGCAGAGAAGGCATTACTAAAGTGCTGCATTGATTGCTGTTTATCATTTTAAAATATGAGTGCATCAAACTAGATTCAAAGCTTTAGTGACTGCAGGAATTACTCTTTGGTTCTTTCGGTAAAGTCACTTAGAAAGAAATAGCAATTAAATAATAATAGAATACGACGTTTCGATTGCAACACATGCAACCATCATCAGGTACAAATGAATGAAAAAACAAACATAGTAAACTTGGAAATATAATGCAATACAACACAGAGAGTCGGCCAACAAAACAGTCAACACCCCACCTGGTTGATTACGTTCTTCCAAAGATTGCTACATATGAGAGAGAGAGATAAAACATAGACACGGCGACACACAGACAGACACACAAGCAGAGAGAGACTCACACAGAGAAAAACAGAGAGAGACACACACATAGGCACACATAAAGACAACGTCTGTGTCGAGGCCTTCAATAGAGAGAGAGGGGCGTGGGGCAGAGGGGGAGTTGTGTGGAATTCCTGCCCATAGGGGAAGGACGAGCTGGACACTGACTTCTAAACTAACAATCACGGAGCGTTGTGTGGAATTACTGCCTCAGCCATACATTAGTATCTGGTGCAGTGTGAAAACATCGCTATTGGGGGGAAAAGGCATAGGGGCTTGGTGCTAGCCACACCACATCCTCGTGCACAATTTCGGCCTTTACAGGTGCTCACTATGACGAATTTTTCCCAAAAGCCTGTATGGCTATACGGGGAACATTTGTCTTTATGCACACAAGTGTGCAGCGAGATAACTCACCAGAGTCCTGTGAAAAGCTGTATCCCGTGTCTCCACTGCTGCTGCCGTGGTTGGGTTATTATTTAATTTATTTTCTTTCAACGTGACTTACCGAAAGAACCAAAGAGTAATTCCTGCAGTCACGAAAGCTTCGAATCTAGTTTGAACCACCTCTACGGGGAGGGTTTGCCGTGCTTGTTTGTTTCACACTTAACTTCTAATTTAGCAATCTTTGGAAGAACGTAATCAACCAGGCTATGCGTTAACTGTGTGCTAACCGACTCTCTGTGTTGCATTGCATTACACTTCCTAATTTTACTAAATTTGCTTTCTACCGTGCTTGTTTATAAGTCCATTCTCTCCTCCGGCCGCTATGGGCAGTAATTCCACACAACGCTCCATGCTTGTTTGTTTATGAGTGCATCATTCCACTTTTAGCTACGTTTTTAATTAAAAACAGGTATTCAATAAAAAAACATATTTATGACTACAGACACGTAATATACACTGCATTTAGTACAACCTGCCTACTTGAAGTCAATTGTAAAACAAAAGTGGTATGCTCATGAACGTATAACACTAATCTATTTACATTTTCGTACATTATATAAAGCTTAAAATTTTCGTAAGTTATATAAAGTGTTTACTTACAGCATGAGTGAGGTTTGATTCATAGTTTCCTTTAACATTTTAAAGAAATATGATATTTGCAATTACTATTTACAACCTATTCAGACCAAATCTGACGACAGTGGAGGAAGGATCAAGTCCACTCCTGATCAAAAATTGGCTTCAATACGCAAGTGGTATTGTTTGTACAGAGTCGAGGGCTGGGCTTATTAACCAATTTTGAATCAATCCCCACACAGCGAACCTGATACACTATTGGTATTTTAATCGTGTCACCAATTTGATGATGGCAGAAACCAGAACCTTACCTGTGATTAGACAATTTGTTTCACGTTTCAATTATTTCTGTTTCAGTTTTTACCATTCTGTTTGTATTGTTTCCCAATTGTTTTGTTTCATTTGCACAGTTGTGTTTGTTCCATCAGCCTAACTGTAACAATGGTATATTACTTATCTATTATGTGCATAAGTCAATCTATTCATTATCAAACGTGCACAATTTGATGTATTAATTACAAGAACAAGAATAACTGATTTTAATCGAGATATCAATGCATTTTTAAATGTCTAGCCACAACCCTAATTTGTAAAAATTGCACATAATTTGCCAATCATTTGTATAAATCGTCATGAATAAATTCAAACGTATATAATTATGTGTATCACAAGTGCAAGAATGCATTTTCATAGAATAAATTAACGCATCGTTGCACACACCTCCACACTAACATAAATAGATCAGCATAACATTTGCGTGGGGAAGGACGATAAAATAAACACAAAAAGCAGTTCTAGAGAAATAAGTTTATGTTTGCAGGGTAGGGGAGAGCCCATTACCGAGACAGGCATTGGAGCAGTCTCCATGAGTCTGTTGACCAAAGAGCAAATGGTGGGAGATTGCGAGGGTAGATCATGGAGGTTGCTGCGTGGTCTACCGTGCAGCAACTGCGTGATCTGGCGGAGGCTAGATTGCGTTGGCGAGGCGCGGTGTCGTAGCTAGCTTTGGCCCGGGGTGACATCTTGCATTGACCCATCGTCGCGCATGCGTACCTGTGATGCGGTTGGAAATGCTGAAGAGGCGCGAGGTTCTCCGACGCTGAAAGAACGAGTCCCTGCGGTAGCGCTCCCCACCGCAGCAGTAGCAGCCGCAGCAGATCATGGCGATCAGCTCCTTGCGCACCGTCTTATTCCACAGCCCATAGATAAGCGGGTGGCACAGCGCGCTACTCAGCGCCAGCCACATCGCCAACGCTTCCGCCCGGGCGGACACAGCGCCCGAGCCGCCTGCCGCCTCCATCATCACCACCACCAGGTAGGGCAGCCAGGTCAGCGCATAGGAGCCCACCACCATCACAATCGTCGTCAGCGCCTTGCAGGGGTTCCCCGAGTAAGGCAGGCTGACCGTCGTGTTGCGTCTCCGTTTATTGATCGCGGTGGCGGCCGCGACGGTGCCATTCTGCACCGCCTCCACCGCTTCAAGGTTCGAATCTTGGTTCGTGTCCGGAGAAAGCTGCTCCGTCTCTACTGCGATTACCCCACAGCTGACCCTGCGGGCTTTGCGCCGGGCGACGCGGAAGATGATGCCGTAGCAGATGAGCATGGTGGCAAAGGGTGGCACCATGCACCACAGCTGCCGGAAAACAGGTTTGGACATTTTTACTGACTCGGTCGGCCAAACTACCACCACAGGTCGTCGACCTTCAGATCGATCAACTTTCACTACTTGTGTGTCAATATTTTTTTATGCAGTATTTATGAATTTACATCAGCCATATTAACAATAAGCGAGTACAAACACTATTTAGAACTTGTATGTGGTGTATGTACCATGCTCATGTGACCCCTGCAGCCATAAACTTGTCGACACTGGCTGTCATAAAGATATACTCGTTCCAGCTATAGGAATGAGGAATTTCCATCACTGCATCAGGACTGTAAACAGGAGATGAGCAATGCCTCAATGCTAATTTGAGCAGAAAAACACTTTTGACCTCTGACTTTTGAATCTACAGCATGTTATTTTCCTGACCTGCCAGAAGATGGCGTAACCAAGGCCCCGGTACCATGCCGGAGTGCACATGCGCTTGTGGACGGAGAACTCGAATCCCGGCCAGCCGAAGAGTGGAGGTGCCGAGCCGACCAGTGCGTGCAGCCACATGTACGCGATGAGAAACGCCACGCGGTTCCCCGTTATCTTCATTGGGTAGAGCATCGGGTACAGCACTGCATAGTACCTGTACGCGCCCCCACACATGCGCACAGCCACGCACGGTTCAGGCCAAAGCAAGCTCGATCGCTTTTCCCAGCTGATTTAGTCCACACCAGTTTCAACACTTGTCAATGTTTTGTATATTGCTGTGATTTGTACAAGCAGTGCACTGCATAGTTTAGTTCAATGTCTAGGTTATCTCCGTGCTCATGAGCGTGGGGTGGTTATTATCATTGGTATTTCTAAGCCATTGGTGATGAGCATTCTGGATAAATTCCAGCTCTGAGAATTAAAATAGAATATTGACTGCTTTGGCTGTCATGCAACTAACATTACTCTCAGTGACAGGGTAGGTGAGAAAGTGCTACGCTCTGCTGTCGGGACCAGAGGTCACTCGAAGGAATTTAAGTAAGTAGCTCTGTGATATCCGCTTCCATGTGTATCACATACTTTAACGCAAACGGCTCTGTGAGAGACCCAAATGGATTCTTTGTATGTATGTTCAACTTCTTTCGCATTATATGTAACCAACCGTGCTAGTCGGAGGTGTTGGGAAAGGACAACAAACTAAACACAAAAAGCAGTTCTAAATAAATGTTTTCAATCAAATTTAAAAGTGCATAGCTCGAGTGGTTTCCTAATATCACGAGGAAGAGCCTTCCAGACGGCCGCAGCACGATCACAATAAAACCAGGGTAAATTAATAACTAGGCGGGGGGGGGGTGGCGGCGCACCTGTCGAGGGCGATAGCTCCGAGCGTGAGTGCACTGGCCGAGCTGACAAGCATGTGCAGCAGTGCCGTCAGGTGGCACCACACTACGCCGAAGACCCAGGCGCGGCGCGCAGCGCACACCGCCGCCATTGGCAGCACCAGCAGCGATAGCAGCAGGTTGGAGGCGGCGAGGCTCATAACGAGCCGGTTGCTTGGTGTCATGAGGTACGGTTTGCGGTAGAGCGTGACGGTGACCAGCAGGTTTCCCACGCACACCAGCGTGGCGAGCGCCGCCAGAGAGGACGTCTCCAGCACCACCAGCCAGCCCTGCAGGGTGCCCAGAATCATCATTGTCAGTGAGCTCTAGTCTCTATACCCACCTCTATTAATGCCATATTGTTATGGCCTAGACAGTGCTTCTCACTATCATCATCATCAGCTATGGTTAATCGACTGCTGGAATAAGGATTCCTCAAGTCACTGCCACTTCTCATGATCCTGCAAAAAAATAATCCATCTATCACCTGCACAATCTGATTTTATTACTTAATCTTCAAGTGGACACCTTCTGTACACAAAGTGAATGTAGTGGCCTCTAGTGGCTAGAGGGGAAATGTGAACCAATTACTTAAAATGCATACGATTCATGCACATGTGGTTCGATGCATGTAACATGATCATCTTTCTGTGTAGCGCTTTGAAATGAAGTTAAGATGCTATATAAATCTATGTTCTATTGTACTGATGCCTTGTCACACTCCTACTATATATAGTTTTTAAATCAACTTTTGCAAACTTGCAAATTATACTATCCTGGTCCCTTGAGTCCTCACCTACTTAAACTAAAATAAATTATTCTTCTAAGGGATTTTTTTCTTAAATAATATGTTAAAATGATAAGGACAGGAACAAAAATAAAATGGTCAAACAATTTCGTGATAAGTTATCAGCGTTAGGAAAGGCCACAGCTTACCAACTAAATATGAATCATAGTCTAGTACAATAACAAGTACAATAAAATCTCGATTTACAGTGTCTAAATGCCACCACATCTCAAGTCCCAGTATATAAACAATGGGGAGTATTTATTTTATATGGAGAGAAAACGCAATCGGTCATAGGCAAAGACAAAAGGAAAGTCTTTAAACTGGATTTTATTAGCGACATGGAGCAGACACCACTGAAGGCTGAAGAAAGTGATTTCAAGACCATAAGGGCAGCAGAGGGGAAATAGGAAATATCAGGATTAGCAAACACAGCAATGTTAAGAGAGGACTAAACAAAATCCAAGTGCTTACCTCCTCCACATCCAGAGTGATGTTCCCCGCCACGCTGGTGTTGCCATCGCTGCTGCTGTTCATGCTGCTTTGGCCGGCCGAGCCCTATGACAGCTCACAGCTCAACCCTACCTCGTCTTCTCCACTGTGCGCCAAAAACAAACACAATCGACCCTTTTCACAGAGCAGCAAAGTGGGGGCAAGGCGACAACTGCTGTTCCAAAGTTAGCCGCTCGTCAAACTCCTAAACGCTTACCGTGCAGGCAGCTGTTCAAATTGCTCATCCAATGTAGTGGGAACTGGGACAGCACCAGACATCGGTCTGGTTCATGTCCTTTGCCTAGGACTGCCTGCCTTTCTTCCCAGACAACAGTCTGGTTACAATGCGACCTAGCAAGACTTTGTGGAGTGAATGAGTAGTTCGCTGGGAGATAATATCAATGTGTGACCACTGGAAAGTCACGTGGCTCAGCAGCGTAGGTTGCCAGTTAAAATCTTGGTTGGAGGTTGACTCAGCCCATCATCCCTCTGGGATGATAAAATAGGTACCGCATTGTGGATATGTCAACAATCTTAAAACTCGTGAAAGCTTTTTTTGGGAAAACAAGTCAATAATGAGTGTAACGAATACATTTTTGTATTTCAAGACTAAGGACTGCACAAAACGATTGTATTAATCTTGAGTATCACAACAGCATACATTTAAGGCTTAGAAATATTAATATGAGAACTTTAAGTGATAAAAAGCCATCATGAGCTTAAAGTATACTTTGTCAACCTCTCCGATCATTCCTTGAGTTTAATAATAGATTAAAATGGATTACATTCAATCAGCCGAGCATGTGAAAATCAATTATTCAGAATATATGCAAATTTAAATTAAACATTCATGTTCGATTTTGGTTTCACGATAGTGTGCAAACCTGATAGAAAAAAAGAAATACAAACAAGAAAAAAAATGTGTTAATGAAATTATTGATTCTTTAATTGAAACGAGACCCCAGAATGACAATTCATTTAATTTCTGGAGGGTTGGTGACATGCTTACTAAGACAGGGGCATGTTTATCGAGTGTGCAGGTGGTGCAACTACACTGCAGCCTCCAAGCCAGAGTGTGTTTGGTGATCAATGAAATTATTAATGCATCTTTGAGACAAATTGCTTTAATTCACATAGCTGGCATCTCAAATTTGCATAATCTTCATTAGCCTCAGGCCGTTTTTGCACAACATTTGTGTGACGCGTTCCTCTGACAGCAAACAACAGACAACTAATGGACACTATCCAAAAGAAAATAATAAATTACATTTACATGAAGTGATTGTGGACTTGTAAGCAGAGGCCAATGGCTAATTCCATTACAATAACAAATTGTGAATCAACAGTTCTAAGCATCTACAATTTGATAAGTTAGTTAACAAAAAACTTTACCGCAATTGACGAAATTTAATTGAATAAGGACCGATTTAACATTCGGATGTGAATCGATTATCACAAAAATGTTGGGCTAGCCAATGGGCCAGAGCAGAAATTAGGGTTAACATACCAAAACTGTAGTATCGATGTATTTAAGTGGCTCACAAGTGTTAATTAACTCGATAACACCACACATTTCAAATGGTTAGCGAACATCATTCACTATTTTTGGCCACGTCAATAAATTGGAACCGCGAAATTTTCGACACTTTCAATGGTAACGACAAAGTGACAAATATCTTGGTCTGCCATGAACCTGGAAGTCCGTCAATTTGGATGTTGTCAATATACGATTGTATTCACAACGGATAATAAGACGCACAACCACTTATTAATCACGAAAACACGGTCAACTGTGTAAAGATTTGCAACAAATATATATTAATAAAGTAATTAACAAGTCTGGGAGACCAACATTGGCAATCAACACGTGGGACACAGAATAAAACGTAGCAACACCAGAAGCAAATATCTAAATCAGAGAATGTGCATCCACAAATAAAGTATGAACAATACGTGGAAGAACCGGCATAATACACTTTAGCCACACACTCCACAAAGTCTTGATAAGCCACAATCAAAACCCCACAATAAACCGCAAACGAATGCCACCGCTTGCAAACTCTTAACGAAAAGTTAAAATGTTCAAGGGTAGCGGCATACAAAGTGTGGCACCGCTTTTATTGTTTAGAGATGCCCCCTCCACACACGACTATAACCTCGACAACAACAATCTCGACAACAACAACAACCTCGACAACAACCTCGACAACAACAACCAAGACAACAACAACGCCGCAGCCGCCGACATCACCGCAACTTAAAAACCGACCCTCGCGGGCAAAGGCAGCGGATCAAATTCCTTACCCAGCTCCCGGCCCCTCGTCGATACAGATAGGAGTCGATCGGGACATACGTGGAGGTTGATAGTTGATCGATTGATAAGTTTTAAAAGGATGGGAGGGAGGTGAAAGAGGGAATAAAACTGCACGGAGCGCGGCCTCCGCGGACGGGACAATGGGAAATGGCGTCGTTACCCTCAGCCCCGCTACGTGGGTGGCCACCCCGGTGGCATTCATTATTATTTTTTCGTCCCCCTATACTTTAAAATTCTTTAGGTGTGTGTGTAGGGTTTTTTTTCTTCCGTGAAATAAAAAATGTGGCGGTGTGCGTTTGTGTAATTTCATTTTTTTTTCTCCCCCTCGCAGTTTTAGTTTGCGACGAATCGTCTCCAACTCGCGGGGACCACCAACGGCGATCAAACGGTCCCGCGCGGACGCCGGGGAGGGTCACGTGACCACGTTTGTCGTCGCATAAATTATCGCTAATTTTGTATTGGCCCCAACGGCCGTTTATGTTAATGTATATTATTAACATAAATGTGGGCGTGACTTCACAAACGGCATAAATTATGTTAATTTTAACGCGCGCGTTCATGATGGAGGGTGAAGCCACGCCCCTCCCCAAGGGTGTTCGGTGGGCGTAACCGAAGCTGTCGCATAAATTATGTTAATTTTAACGCGCGCGTTCATGATGGAGGGTGCAGCCACGCCCCTCCCCAAGGGTGTTCGGTGGGCGTAACCGAAGCTGTCGCATAAATTATGTTAATTAACAGGACCCTGCGGGGTGGGCTGGTAGGAATAATACTTAGTACCGGTACAGAGATATCGACCGGGTATAGAGGAGTTAAAGAAAAAATTACTGTATTCTAGTGTAACGTTAATTAAAAGTGTTTGTTTTGACAAGAAACGCTGTGAGATTTAAAACTCGTAGTCTTTCATTTCCAACACCACCCTCAACACCACCCCTCCCACGGACCGACGGACGGACGGACGGACACATTAATCTATTGGTGGTCTGGTCCACTTCGTTCCTACCAGTATAACGTGCGGGTTCATGATGGAGGGTGAAGCCACGCCCCCCTCAAACATGTTCGGTGGGCGTAACCGAAGCTGTCACATAAATTATGTTAATTATTAAATATTATTCTCGTGGGATGACGCCGACAACGTCTGGAGGGCGGAGGGTTGGGCTGGTGGGCGGTGTTCGGACACAATTATATTTTCAAGTCCACATAAGCCAAACTCGCGTTGCGATTGGCGGACGCCGCCGCACGTGACGCCCTATACCGCTCGCCCATTGGTTGCGACGCGCGTTCGCGCTAGGATATGTAAAGAGGCGGTTGCCCAGGGCCCTCCCCCCGGTGGCGGCGGCGTCTGTGGCTGTGGCGGCGGCAAAGCCGAGCAGCGGAGTCACTCACGATGGCGGCGGCAGCGGCGGCAGCGAGGAGGAGAGGGGAGGAGGACAAGCAGCTCAAGGTGCTGAGAGAGATCTCGAGCCTGACACACAACCGGCGATGTTTCGAGTGCGACCAACGGGGGCCCACCTACGTCAACACGACCATCGGCAGCTTCGTGTGCACGACCTGCAGCGGCATTTTGTGAGTGTTTGTGGTTGGTTGGTGGTTGTGGTGGTGGTTGTGGTGGTGATGATGATGATGATGTTGGTGATGGTGAGGGTTGTGTGGTGATAGTTGAAGATGGTAGTTTTTGTTGTGGTAATTTCTGTGACGGTGGTTTTGGTGATGGCTTTGGTGGTAATATTGGTGGTGGTGCTGAAGATGATGATGGTGATGATCATAGTGATGATGGTGTTCGATGTTGTGGTGCTAAGTGTCGGTAGTGGAGTGGGTGGTTGCGGTGATTGTGCTTGTGGTGATGCGGTGGTAAGTGGTTCAGCTGATGGTGATGATTTTGATTGTGGTGGTGGTAAGTGGGGAGCGGTAGTGTTGTGGTTCGCGCACTACGCTACGAATCCGGTGACATGAGTTCTATTCCGGGACAACATCAGTGGCGAGTGTTGTCAGAAACTTGTCATGCGACTCCTTTAGGGCGACGTGTAACCCTCGGTGAGTAGCGGATTCGCTGTAAATAGGGAGACAAAGGTGGTCGGGCGTGATTTCTGGCCACCAAATTCTCGTGGCATTAATAGGTGCTCACCAACATGACAGTCCGTGTTGGCTATACGGGGGATATTTGATTGTTAAGCGGTGTTGGTGGTGATGGTTGTGGTTGGGTTAGTCGTGGTTGTGTTGGTGATTGAGTGGTGATGGTTGATGATTGCGATGGGAAATAAGTGTTTGGTGATGTGTGAACATTATTTTTGTGGTGTTGAATTTCGCATTAATGATGGTGAATGAGAGAGGTTTAATGACACCATTGGAACGTATGAAGAATGGTAAAAACGGGCTTGGGTCTGACAACTCACGGCTCGCCACCCATAGTCAAGAATATTGACGGCAGTGGCAGCCAAAGGAATGGAATGCGTCCCAAGTGGACTTCCGCTGGAAACATGGAGCATTGCAAATAGCTCATGTGTAGGTGCTTGGTGGATTAACAGCATCGCAGAATTGTGAAGGAGTGGAACGACGGCTCTTGGACGGCATCATTCAACAGTGGATTGAGCATGGACGATGATGATGATGATGATGGAACTCTGTTGTGGTCATGCGTTGATCGCAGTACAGTGCATGCGGTCATCAGAGTGTTCCAATTCCACAAGGACTGCGTTCATTTGCTTGCGAGAGGAACAGTTTGCATTTAAGTTCGCGTGTGTTGTGTGTGTGTGCGCGCACTTTTGGAAAATATGCACACGGACAACGCACCCAGCGTTTGCGACCCAGCCCTTATAAAATGTTACATGTTACGTTACTCAAGGGCTGGACAACCGAACATTTGTCAATAGGGCCACAAAAGGCCCATTTATTAATGGGCTTGATGATGCTGCTGCTGCTGCACTGTGCACGGTCGAGTGGCTTGGGCCATGGGGGGGGTGACTGGCTTTCTGTTTTTATGCCCCCCCTTTCGCAATTGCCACTGAGGCTAAAGCAGTTCCAGAATTCGTGCGGCATTCTTTAGAATGCAGCATTTGTAGGAGGGGAGGGAGGCGAGAACACCCCCCCCCCCCCCCCCCCAAGATTACCAAGCTCAGGGCACGACACGAGCTCACGCTGAGGCAGGAAATGCGGTCCTTTTTTTAAACGGAACACGCTGGCTCTTCAGGGGTGGCCGCCGGGTGGGTGAGTGGGTCAGAACGCTGAGCTGGCAATGTCCGAACATCCTCCGCTTTGAATCCAGATCGCAGTCACTCGTGATGGGAGAGGGGGGGTGGTTCTAAAAACCCAGCGAGTTCGCCCGTTCTCGGAACCCCGATTGCAGGCTTAAACAAAAAAAATCATAATTCAATTCATTCTGACGCAGATAATTAAATATTCGGTTTGAATGGCATGCGCTGAACAGGCTTTGTATGGCAAATGAAATGTGAGCGCCGAATGTGGATAAACAGGCCTTTGCTGTAGTGTGACTTCAGAAGCAGCTCTATTATGTCACTCTCGTGCCGTTCTCTGACACAGTGTGGTGCAATAGTTTCTGAATGGAAATATCTTCATGGCATGACGCCCATACAACAAAAGGGATATAACTATAAAAATAAGCAATGTTTAATAAATATATATTAAACAGGACACGCAGCACAACGCATTCAAAGTAGAGGAAGCTGCTTTTTCTTCTTTTGAGACAGCATTTTTAAGAACCATTCAGAGACGGGGAGATATTGACATGGAATGGTGGCGCAATCCCAGGGACTTTAGTAACCATTAATTTTGTCTTACTGGTTCTAAATATACGTGGTGCTGTGTCCCCATGGCCACCTTATGCAGTGTCATAGCTGCTTGCCTTGGTGGTGTCCTCCTCTTTGTGCCCTTGAGCATGGTTGTGCGTACAGTATGCACAATCATTTCTCATGGGAAGGATGCTCGGTTGAAGATGATGTTGTACCCGCTTATGATACTGAGAGGTAATGGAATTGAATGTTTACGATTGCGGTGCATTTGTTACCATTGTCCTGTCATAGCCATTCTATACGACATAACCATACCCAGGCCCAAAGAAAGCATTTTTTTTTATTAAGCAACAAAAAATGACTGCGTCTGGGATTGTTGCGTGCGATAATGGAATTGTATCACGGAAACTGTACAGTTGTTTTACAACGTGAAGTGAAACCAAATTGACCACATCCTCAAGCCACTGGCAGGTACGGTAAAAGTTACATGTGGGAAAAGTCCCAGGGTGTGTTTGCTTAGAAATTTGTTGCAGAAATTTTTACTTTCTACTAAAGTATATCTTGTTGCACATTCATTGCTTGCCTTGGTGCCAGTCTAACGCTCTCACTCTGAAGCGTGGACATTCCACCTTTACAAATTGTCAATTAAAAAGCATAATTTTATTATTTTTGTATATCCCTAAGCATGACAAGGTGTCACTGACTTGCATTATTGCGAGCAACTTGCTTTGTTATCACACTCGTGAGAGGCAAGTATATTTCAACAATCCAGCAAGCTCAAGTTACATGAATGGCGCAGTCCAGACAATTACGTAATGGACAATTGAGTATTGGCGACGTGGAAATGTTTACTGCACTAATGTCGGTTCGTTGATCGTGTTTATTATTTCAGACGGGGTCTGAACCCTCCGCACAGGATTAAATCCATCTCCATGACCACCTTCACTGACCAGGAGGTGGAATTTTTACAAAAAAATGGTAATGAGGTAAGGGATGCATGCTTTGGCATACTGCAACCGCAGTTCTAATCTATTAAAAGTCATTGCTTTGTATAAACCCAGGTGAGAGATGACAAGCTAATGTCACGAGTGAGACTAACTGGTATGTGTGTTCTTTCTTGCATCAGCACATCATTTTTTTTACTCGACATGGAAAGTGGTTGAACACCCTTATACAGTATTTGAAATGTCTGGACTAGAAGGTGGATGGGTGTCTTAGGGGTCAGAGCATTGAGCTGGCAAGACTGAGGGGGCCATGGTTTGAATCAGGGTTTCATTCACCAATGATTAATTGACGATTCTCAAGTCTATTGAGTTCATGGTCTCATCCTTGTAACCAGGAGTAGGCAAATGTGCAGCCCTGCAATAGCTTTTTTAACTTAATTTGGTTACATTGTAGCTCTGAAAATGAAAAAAGTTTCTGACTGCCATGCGATGAACATTTATTTGTACCGGTGTATGTGGATAAAAAGGGCGATTTGAGGTGATCTTACAAGTGGTTCTGTTGCATCTCATTCACGGGCTGTTATCTTAACAGTTGTTGGTACAGTGCTCTGACGCATTCCAAATTGATACTTTGATGCCAATATCACTAGTTGGATTAAAATGGAAAAATTCAAAGTTAAATAATAATTTCAAAATGTTTATGTTGGAGGACAAAGCCGATTTCATCAAAGGTCACAGTGTGGGTAAGAAAGCAGACTGGGTGGAGGCTATAGATGCCACTCAGAATTTTCCATTGTTTGGAGGACACGATCTTAAGCTTTGCTGTGCGATCTCTGTTGAGAATTCTGACCTCCGTAACTTGCTGCCAGCATTGCTATCAAAGGACTGTCCACAGTTTCACATTTAATTGCTTTTTCCCCCCATCACTGTTGGAAACTTGAATCTTCAAGCACAGTTTTGTGGGTAAGAATTATCCGCAGCAGTTATGCATTCTTATCCAGAACAAATGATCAAGACACGCGGTAGATGTCTTGTGTGTTTACATCACAAACATGTGCTGTCACAGTGTGAAACATAACGACTCATTGATGTGTGCGAAGCCCTGTTGTTTTTGGCCAACAGTAGGAAGTCTTCAGGGGGCTTCTGCAGATTTGTTATTGCAGTAATGTGTGCTGAAGGCAGAAGCTCTTCATGTCAATGTCTGAGCAAATCATTTTCCACCAATAACATGTGAAGCCTGAAAGTTTGTCTTTCAACGAACACTGACTACCATTGATTGTTATTCATCAGAACATTGCTTTATAATGAGGACATTGAGATGCAAGTTTTACGAAACGACGCTTTGCCGCCGCGGGCATAGCATCCCGCGTCTGTGTGTTTATCAGCGATCCAAACAAGATTGTTGTAACAATTTTGTGCACGGTGTAAGCTGCATTGATTCATTACTCCTTTTCCTCTGACATCGGCCTGGTTTCTAATTGTATCAATCAATTCACTTGGAACGGACACAATTGGAGTTTGACAAAGCAGCCTTGCAAGCTCTGCTCGTTTAAAAGCTATGGGCGGCTGGACATTTACACTCAGTGCTTGCGTGTCGCTAGAGTAGTCTCTTTGCTCAGCTAAGCTTTGTAAGTGGAGCTCGTAAATCCATGACAACTGGTTCACGGAGCCAGCATAATGGAACATGCACAAATTGTCTTTAACCCTTTCTGAGTACAATATCATTTATGTAATTTCAGAACCCAGTATAAAACATTGGGACATTTCAAAACGTGCTTGTAATTTTTACCTAACCCACCGCCGCCACCCAAGCGAGTTTACTACAGTTATGCTAACGGCGTGGTGTCCTTAAGTATCCATTCTCGCAGAGCAATGCAACGCATTGTGTTCGGCAATGAGTTGCTTACAGAGGCGGACATCAGTGGCCTCTTGTCCATAATATACAAAATATTTATTCAGTGTAATTCTGGAGAATGTTAATAACAAAATAAATAACTCATATTTTTTCTCCACAGAAAAGTTAAATTTTTTTATACATCCCATTGGCTAACACGGTCTTCTGGTTCAAAACTCTGGACTGGTTTTGAGCTTCATTGTCTCATTGGCAGTCAGGCTTGCTTGATACAATGCTGGTTAACTGCCAGATGTTTCTTAGAAATTTACCTTTTCTGTAAAAAAGAATGGTCCTCGTTCGATACAACTTGAATGACAGGAACATTCTTGGGCAGCTGGGCATTTGCACTCATAAGTTTTGCGTTGAACTCGGACACATTTCTCAAGGCAGGTCCACACCTGAGTGATCTGTTGCAAATTTAAATCACTGTCGACATTGTGCAACTTAATGGCCTGTTTACATATGGACGTCTCTGTAATTAAGTTGCGCAACTGATCGCTCAGGTGTGGATGTGCCTCTAAAGAACTGTGTCCGAGGCAAGCCCTTGCTCTTAACTGATGAGACGCTGAATGTCAAAACACTGGTTCAGAGTTTGCTCATATTACCATTAAAATACACATGGGTATGATGTGTGTGATAAGTTTAACTGTGATACTTAAAAAAATGTTAATCATTGTATTGAGAATTGTAATCAGTCAGGTTAAAAAAAAAACAACCTTGTATTTTGGCTCTGCTCATAAAGATTAGAAAACGCCAGGGGCAGTAGTTGAAAGGGTCGATCAGCCACAGACCTCCAGTATGAAATTTGCTGTCTGCGGCCCTTCCTGTTCAATCCTAAAGCCCTGCCGTGTGCCTTTTTGTTGAAAAGCGGACGTGAATTAAAAATGTGCTGCTTATGCAAATCTCGGCGACAAAAATACCACCACGATTGCCTCTGTATCCTGTTGCTTTTGAGGTTTGGTTTAAAAAAAAAAATTCGTCCCATCCACCTATTTTAAAATGAATTAAATAAAATTTACCAACCCGCTACACGACCGTTCCCGTGAGAAACTCGCGATTGCCGGAGCCCCCGGAAAACCAAGAGGGCTATGGTCCCAGGGATGATGCCACATTCTCCCTTACATCCAGATTCATCTCACACCCAGGCTGTTCTACTGAATGGGTCTACATGGGATGTTTGTCCGATTCCATGCACAAAGCTTTGTCATTCTGCCGCTGGATGAAGGCCTCCCCCTACCCTGTCAATCGTTGGGGATTGTTTAACCATACTTCACCACCCTGGTTGATGAGGGTTGCTGAAGCGGGTGGGCCAGGAAATGTTTATGGCTTTGGCCCAGAGTCGAACTCGGGTAGCCAAGTTCATAGGACAATGCTGTTAACCACTGCGTCACTGTTCCACTTCTTAAAATGAAGTCATTGCTATTAAAAAGGTTATTGTGAAGCACATCGTGAGTTCGTCGTGCGTTAGCAAATGACGTCCTGGGTGAAATTTTTGTGCGATGACTAAGCAGGCCTCAGTATGCTTGTATGACTACATTTACAATCCAGTAATTGCTCTGTGGCAAGACACTTTATTACTATTTTCCTGCTATATACGTGCTGAGCGTCATTTCAAAGACATTATTTGCTCACTATGAATGTGGCACCTGTGCCTAATTCTGCGCGATAGTCCCAGTTCGTGTTGTTCTCTGCCAAGTTTTGAAATATTACAATACACGACATGTAGCTTGTTTTTCACTTCATGCCACGATTAATACCACAAGTATATTAAACAAAATATGCAGAGTCTGTTGCGTAGTGGATGTTAAATATCCCGTGTCGTCATATGAAAAACATAAGAATAGGCTTATTGGGCACAGGCATGGTCCAAATAAAAAAAATACACTCATAAATTACTTAATTGGAAATAGTATAGCGATTGTGGCCCCTTACTGTGAAAACCTGGCAGGAAAAATTGTATTGAGACTTGGTGAGGATTTCCTGGGTAAACAAGTACAACAATTTAACACGTAGGCTTTCGCGACCAATATTATTAATAATAAACGTTTTTGGGTTAGATCGCGTTATTTATAAATGCATCGTAACCCTCCACCACCCGACACGGCCAAACAGTAAAAAATGTGTGGGCAATTGGCAAATTGCCCGATGATGCTGGATGTAATTACCAGCGAAACGTCGTACTCAAAAATTGTAAATGATGTTAAAACACTCTTCAACACACCAGTGGGCTAAAGTAGTGAACTATTTGTCTTTTGTAAACGTGACACATTTTTTGCTGTTTGGCCTTGTCGGGTGGTGGAGGTTACGACACATTTATAAATAACGCGATCTAACCCAAACACGTTTATTATGATGTACAACAATAATAATACAAGTAACTTGGCAGAGAATACATTTAAAGTAATTTACAAAACAAGATTGCTACCAATTACACTACGATCCGAACGTGGCAGTACTTATGACAAGAGTTTAATAAAGCAGTGGAGAGACTTTGCTCTGATAGAATTACCTAATCCATGCATTTTGTTTAATCAGCGCTCGATGAAATAAAATTAAGTGCAGTTATCATTGTGTGCTCCTCATGAAATCAATATTGAACACTTTCATTTTGACTACTTAAGATTATCCCAGCCACATAAATAAACAATACATCTTCAAAAGCAGTGCATGCCTTGTATAAAGAGGCACCATATTGAAATAGAATTTCAAGGTAACGTTGGCCAAAATCGCTCGAAAATAACCAAGCAAATGTTTTTCTTCAGACAAACTTAATTTAAAAATGTATTGTTTTACTTTTGAACTTCACCAAAGACGCAAGAACAAATAATTAAAATGTACTAAAGAAACAGGTTTTGGGTTTCAGGAGCTCAGCGGCTGACCTTGGCCACTTGGAAGAATCTATTCTGCTATTATTTGCAAAGGGCCACGTGTCCGCCTTTCTACCAACAATGCTGTGATATGGTTTCGCTGACATAAGCACGAGCATAAGGATTCAGAAGCCAGTTCCCACAGGCCGGGCAAGGAGAAGCGGTGTCTTGTTAAAATCCCATGGTGGCTGCCTGCGCAGATAGAACACGCTGGCTATTGCGGTGTGCTCTTGAGCAGTGGTCAAACATAACACATTCCAGTATTCCCTTAACAATATGCAGTGCTGGGTACCGAGATGATGACTTCTTCAGCAGCTGTTAAATAAGTACATTCTAGTATCCCCTTGATGGTAAGCAAAGCTTGTATAGTAAACTTACCACGAAACTTGTGGGGTTAGTGGTAGTCGGTGATGACTTTGTAAACACGTCCGATCGTTCCAGGACAGCCACGGCTTTGGACACCGAGCTGTTTCTGACAACATTATTCTCGGCTGGCTACGTCAGCATTTCCTAAATGCTTGGCAGGCCTACGCGGAATTGAAGTGACGTGGGCAAGATAATTTTCATTTATCGAAAATTTGTGTGTTTTACCTGATAGCTTTTAATCAGGTGTATTGAATGCATATCTGTCGAAACAAAATTAACTTTTTTTTTATCGCTCACCCACATGCCAAATTCAGATAGCAGTTTAATTTGGATTTGAGTTAGACAAGTTCATCCGACATGAATTGTTTGGCTGAAGTGTGAAAGTGATGCTTTGGTCACCGCTGTGTCACACAATCTACAATTTACATAATTTATCTTCAATTTTGGGTACAGCAGTGGTGCAGTGGTTAGCACACTATGCCCTGAAGCCCGTGCCCTTAGATCCATTCCTGACTGGCTATAACACCAGTAGCAAGTGGTTTCTGAGCTAGTGATACCTGCACTGCTCTGAGGTCTGCCCTTCACGAACCTGCACTGACCAGAATAGTGAAGTATGGTCAAACATATCCCTCATGACCAATGGCATCGGGAGGCCTTCATCTTGCAGTCAATTAACAAAGAGCTGTAAATCACCATTAACTTAAAAAGCAATTAATATGTAAGAAATGTATTTGATTAATGCATAAAAATAGCATATCATTTGCACAGATAAATAAATGAACATATGCCCACTTGGCTCAGCATGTGCTTTAAGCACAGGATCAAACGCTTCATTGTAATTGTCACTCATAACCACGGCACACTGAGTCTCCAGCGTTTTGTGGACCGATGAGAGGGGTGGCGTCGTTATCAATTGCCTGGCGATTTAATCGATTGAAATAAAAAAATGTATATTGACAATCAAGTTGGGAACGTGCCTGAGAAGGCATCTGCTGCCGGGGGGGGGGGGGGTGGAAGCAATGAAATCAGCTCGTGTGCGGGTGCTTGATAGATTGTTACATCACAGGACTGTGAGAGATGAAAAGAAAAAAAGCCTGCACTTGAACGGTTTTGAGAAGAGCATCCAGGGAAGTTGAGAATCGGCCGCGTGATGTATTCGTGTTCACTCTTGTGTCTCGTCGTGCCCTAAACGGTTTGTATGTGTCGTCGTGCTAGGTGTGCCGGCACATGTGGATGGGACTGTACAATGAGCGCTCTGCTCTTATGCCTGACTTCAAGGACCCCCAGAAGGCCAAGGAGTTCCTACAGGACAAATATGAGAAGCGAAAATGGTATGCACTGCTGCTGCTTCGTGTTGATTTTCTCCGGTGATCCTCGCTGCGGCGGCTTTTGGCTAACCATAGAACAAAGACGGTCACTGCATCGTGTGTTTTCAGATGCGCTTCTGCGGCCGTCTGGAACGCTCTTCCTTACGATATTAGGAAGACACTGGAGCTTTGCACGTTTAAATCTAGATTGAAAATAATTTATTTTGAACTGCGTTTTTAATTTATTTAGTTGTCCTTTCCCCGCACCTCCTGCGAAAGAAGTTCAGCATGCATACAGCGCTGATTCATGCCCAGAGCCAGCCTGTGACTTGCTTCGGGTCGATGTACCCAGACCAGATATCTGTCACTTGTCGGTACCACACGAGGTGGTGTAACTTTAGCGGGTTCCAATTTTTTCACGTGGTCAACAACAATGAATTACACTGTAACAAAAGCTAAATTTGTTCCTGGGTAGTAAGTGTTAGTTCCGAATTGCTTATGCCTCAAAAGTACAGAAAAATGCTATTATTCCCCACAAACTTTGCTTTTGTGACCAGGACAGTGATATTTTGAAATTTCCCTATTTTCAATGAGAAAACGTGTCCATTTGTGTCTTTTGGTCACATAAAGTCCTGGTCACAGAAACAAAGTTTGTGGGGAATAATAGCCATTTTCTGTACTTTTGAGGCAGAAGCAATTAGGAAATTGTGTTACATATTGAATTACGTGATAACTATTCTAAATTAAGTGGGTTATCAAGTAATTCATTCTTAACTTTGGAGCTTTTGTGACTGCAGGAATTATTCTTTGGTTCTTTCGGTAAAGTCACGTATAAAGAAAAAATAATAAATTAAATAATAGCATACGACGTTTCGATTGCAACACAAGCAATCATCATACATCAGGTATAATGAAATAGCGACATAAAATCTAACCAGAAAAAATTATAGACAGACATATAAGCAGACAGATATCACCAATATCACCACTTGGTGATATCTGTCTGCTTACATGTCTGTCTATAATTTTTTCTGGTTAGATTTTATGTCGCTATTTCATTATACCTGATGATGATTGCTTGTGTTGCAATCGAAACGTCGTATGCTATTATTTAATATATTATTTTTTCTTTATACGTGACTTTACCGAAAGAACCAAAGAATAAGTAATTCATTCTTTAGTGGCCGTGTAAATACATCAGTAGAGCTTAATTTCAGATGCTCCTCGGTGGTACCATTTTTTGCTCTGGCCCATGGACTCTTTTTGAGACTTTGGTGAATTCTTGCTCAAATGAGCATTGAGGAAGTACCCATACCGTGGCAGGGGCGAGCCTATCCATTGGTGAACCACTGTTGAATTTCCCACAAAGTGGAACTCATTTTATCCTCGGTTTAACTCGTAATCTTTATTATTCATAATAAAGGTGTTTTGGGTTAGATCGCGTAAGTATAAATGTGTCGTTTCTGGAATATCGCCCGATGATGCTGGATGTAATTACCAGCGAAATGTCGTATTCAAATTGTAAATGTTGTGGATTTACTCTGCAACACACTGGTGGGCTGAAGTAGTAACTAATTGGCGCGTTGTTTACGTGACAAACCTTACTGGCTGTGTCGGGTGGTGGAGGATTACGACTATGATACTTAGGCGATCTAACCTAAAAACCTTTATTATGAATCATTTTATTCTAATCATCCATTTTCTCTGGAAACCTGAATTGAGTCGTGCGAGAGAAAAACGGTATTGTGTGTGGGTTTTCTGTGTGGCCCTCCAGTTTTCCTTCAACATGCAAAAAAAACTAACTTGGTAATTCCCAACTTTCTGGATCCACAGATTCCTGTGAACCCTTACATTTTTTTTATGGACCACTGTGTTTAGCCTGCAACAATTGCACGGTCCACTTTTCACAGCCATATGGAGCACTAGTGGTCCGCAGACCACAAGCGGATGGCAACCACACATTAAGAAACTGGCCATTTGTCCAGTGCTGGCCCGTTCAGCAAAACAATCCGGGTGTGAGATGAGCCCAGATGCAAGGGTAATAATGGTTGATGTGGCAGCCCACCCGGGACCATAGCCCTCTCAGTTTTCTGGGCTCCAGGAACCGTGCATTTCTCACGGTAGTGGGGGGGGGCGGCTCTCGCGTCGCCGACAGGTTCGTTCCACCGGAGCAGGCCCGAGCGACGGCGGTGGCGGCCGCCCACACATCACTGTCGGGCTCGTCGGCGAGCAGTGGCAGCAGCACGCCGGAGGTGCGGCCCCTCCGGGCGATCGCCGGCCGCCTCACGCCGACACCGGACGGCCTCAAGCACACCCCGACGCAGGTGAGGCCTGCTGTCACGCGGGCGGCAGTGGCACCAGCCGAGCCCATCTCTTCGCTTGGCTGTGGCTCGTTTGGGGAAACGTCAGCTGCGATCGATCCGCTGCTGGGTTAAGGCCTCGTCAAGCTGCCCCCCCACCACCTCTTACGATTTGGCGATGCGACAGTATATCCAGCGACTGCACCCGATCTGATTTCATATTCTCTTTGGTTTTTTCGGTAAAGTCCCGTAGGTAAAAAATGAAAGAAAAATAAATTATTTGTATTTTAATTTTTTTTAGTTTTCTTTTTTCTTTTTCACCTACGTACCGAAAAAAAAACCAAAGCGTATGGACCCTTGCAGTCACGAAAACTTCAAATCTAAAATTGATTTCATATTGCTCCCATCTCCTCTGTGGATGTCCCGTAGGACGCATTCCATTCCTTGGCAATCGGTAGAATTGTATGTAAGCAGAACTCCTCGTGTCTCCAAAAATTTACTTGGTCCGTCGGCCTATTATTAGCTTAGCAGACCTGTATTTTGAAGCAGCATCTGTTTAAGCAAGCAAACTCCGAACCAGTTTCCCCCCTCCTTCCCATAGTTTCTATGCAGTGCCTTTGCCAATAACATCTGCTAATTCAGCAGCAGTTCTCGTTTTATCAGGCGATTCATTGTCAAATTGTTTTATTGTTACTATCGTGGTCATTGTTCCTATGAACTTCATGCTTTGGTGCCTCCATCCGTTTCAAGGACACGTTCTACCAGATTAACTGCTTTCTCAGTTGTCCTGTGTTCAACCTCCATCGTGCAGAACACAAATTGTCTCTGCCCATTTTCCATCCACGCACTGCTCTCAGACCTGGGAGCTCCATCCCGTCATCTCTCTTCCGAAGGTTGTGTAACTGTGCTCGGTTCAAGAAGTGTGCTCTTCTCTGCTCTACTCTTATTAGCGTTCTTGGTCACTGGCCACTTTGCAATTATGACCTTCAGCCATCTGTTCAGTAATTGATCATAAAACCCTACAAAGTCACGATCATTTACCTGAATAGAGCTAACAGAACAACCCAACCATGATCATAAACAAACACTGCTCCTCACTCAACCCTAACCATTACTGAAATCCTGTGTAAATAGTTCACTATCTCAAGCATGTGCTGTTAACAGTTTCTGCTTAAACATGCCCGGTCTGACCATACATTCATGCTCACAGCACATTGGGAAATTGCATAGCCTTGGGAAAGTTATGCGTGACTAATAGGTTTGAAATGTCGTCCTCGTATCGTGGGCAGTTTCACATCTGACGCATATGTGTGTTATAAAGCAGGTACTCAGCGGTGCAGTGTTGCGAAACCGTAGCCCACTTGTGTACGAAGGGAGGGAGCGGGCAAAGACTGCACTTTCAAAACCAGCAAAAGACTTCCTAGGGATGCCCACGCTGGTCTATAAAACCCTACACAGTTGCCTCAATAATTGATGTGTTCCCATGGAGGTTGCATAAAAGAGCTTCGCCACACCGGACGCACACACTCTGGGAAGCTCAACTAATTGGTTCATCAAAGCGGAGGTCGGATTCAAATGACTCGTGAGCATTCTCGTCTCTCCTTCCACGCCATACCGCCTGCGCACCCAATGACGGAGCCAGGATTTTCAGGTGGGGGGGCGGGCAACCCCTCCAGCAATGAAAAATGATAGAGGAGTTGTTATTAAGTAAGGACTTGTCCCTTGCTTTTTATTCGACGCGTGTGCGGCGATGGCACAGCCATCGATCGAGGGTCGAATTCGAACCGTGTGTGATCGGCATCGTGCTCGCTGAATTCGTGTACTGTATACGCAACTGCGCACAATTCTGTGAGTCACTTATAACTGCTTTGCCGTTACTTATTGCCAATTATGGACTCATACTATTGTCCTATCATCTCATAGAGTCCCTGGCACGTAATAATATGCTACACAGTGGCAGTGGGGGTCGCCAAATGCCGATTTATTACTAATAAACCCCAATGATCCGATCGAAATGAGAGATTCGATTGGATCATTGGGGGCACGTGCCACCCCCACTGCCAGTGTGCGCACCCCCACCCGCCCAACCACTGAGCAATACCAGCCACCTTCCCAGCCCAACAGCCCCTCGCCCAGCCACCCATCCAGCTACCCAACTAACCAGCTTACCATTCAGCCACCCACCGACCCATCCAGCCACCCATCCACCAAATCACCTACCCACCCAGCAACCCACCCACCCTCCCAGCTACCCACCCATAATCCCAGAATTCCACCCAAGTAGCTAATAAGTCACCCAGCTACCCAGCCACCCAAGCAATCGCCCTCCCAACCATCCAGCCGCTAAGCCACCTCGCAAGGCTGCGTACCCAACCACTCGCCCATCCCACCCACCAAACCAACCCTGGTTGGACAGCACAAGAGACGTGGCCTTGTGAAATGACAGTGTACCCCGGCCGGTCCCGAGCTATGTGGATGGGCGGCATGTTTGCTCGAGGTGTTGCCCAGAAATGCGGGTAGGCGGGATGCCATTCTTCGTGGGCGTAATTTGGCACACGAGCGGCGTTTGCGACAGGCGTGTCTGACGCGCGTCACTTGTTTGCAGGCCGAGTGGGCTCAGGATGCTGGGGGAGAGAAATGTAACTATTTCACACGCGAGTCGCAAAATACAGGCACGGGAGGCGGTGCATGGATATCGCGAATAATTGTGAACTTTTGCACGCGTTTCCCCCCCCCCCCAGTGAAATCAGTCTTCCTGCAGCGTGCAGCCTCACAGCAGTATGATAACACGGCAGAATATCGGTGAACACATTGCACAAAACTCCGAGGAGCAAAAGTGTCCACGAGAGATATTATTAACGTGAATAATGTACAGCTAAAATTAATAAAAGTAAAATAAAATAAAAATCACGACGTTTCGGAGGCAACACAAGCCTCCGTCTTCAGGTGGAACCGTCACAGCACGATAGCTGTATCACGACGTTTGGAACCGTCACAGCACGATAGCTGTATCACGATAGCTGTATCAAGTGATACAGCTATCGTAATTTTTATTTTATTTTTATTTTACTTTTATAAATTTTTTACCTACGTGACTTTACCGAAAAAACCTAAGAATATGAATCCTTGTAGTCACGAAAGCTTCAAATCTAGAATTAATGTGCAGCTCTTCATAAATCCGATGCTGGATTGAGGCATCCGTACACCGTGTCGATCATGGGGGTTGTTAGACCATGCCTCTCTGCACTCCTCAGTGTGGGTAGTTGAAGCAGCCTATAACATCCTGCCATGTACCTTGGTCGCAAACCTGCTTGGCTTCCGAGATCTGACGAGATTGGGTGCATTCCGGGATATTTTGTCATAGACCGCCTTCGAATACTGCAGTAAATATGAATACTGCAGTAAATAAACAAATATCGCACTTTCATTGTAATCTACAGATAGTAACAGTAACAACAGTGGTGTGTTTTTTGTTGTTTTGTTAACGTGCTTTCCCTGGCGGTTGTGTCGGTGCTGCGGGTCCACTCCAGTCCCCAGCTGTGGGCAGGCCACAGTCCCACCCTCAGCTGCAGACGAACAAAAAGGCATCCCACGTGGACCTGCTGGGGGAGCTGGGCGGAGACCCCTTCGCCGCTCCCTCCGTCGCCTCCGCCAACTTCGCCTAACTTCAGCGCCAGCGCGGGAGACCTGGGCTTCGGCTCGGCAAAGGCCGGTGCGTTTGGGCGCATTTTTTTTTTGCCCGCGGTCACATAACGATGGTGGGTTGGGGATGTTATTTCAGCAGCAGGCAAACAACATGGGAACAGAAGCGGTGTGTTCACAGATGGTTCACACGTGTCGGAATAATTAATATATATAAAATTATAATATATATGCACATGGCACTGGGCTGGCTCCAGTGGTTAGTACCCACTGTGCGTGGTGTTTTTCACGGTATGCGTTTGATTATTTATTTTGGTTACGTATGGACATGCCGGCAAGTGAGCTCCAGTTGTGCAGCCCAGCCTCGGCAGGAACATTCCATTTTTGTTTGGTTATTTTTACATTGGTATGTCAGATTTAAACATTCGCACACCCCAAACGTGACATTTAGAAAACCATACGTTTTATTTTTGAGTTGTGATGCTTTTGTGTCTTGCATGCATGCTTAATGTTAAGTATTTCTGCATGCCTGACTAGATGACTTAGATGCCTTTTGGCTTTTCTTGTGGGTAGCGCCTGGCCACATACAAATACATATTACATTTAAAATGTTTTAATTGGAATGTTAAGTTGGATTGTTCTCATACCTCCAGGGCAAATGAGTCATTGGAAATCATCTTAATGCAAATATTCAAACAATCCTACCCCTGATAATTGTCTTTAAAGCACATATTATGGAGAAGCTGACATGGTTAGCGCACTGGACTTGCAATCTAGAGGTTGCCAGTTTGATTCCATCTCCTGGCACAGCAGTTTAAACAACGGGATGAGTTTCTCACCTCCGCCTATATCTACCCAGCAGCATAAATGGATTCACCAGTTAGTCGATCGGCAGGTCACCTGTGATGGCGTAAAGTGTGGGTACAGCTACCTCTTCCAACACGTCTGTTCAATGTGGAAGAGTAGACCAAATACCCTCTCGAGTTCGCTCTAGTGGAGGCCCATCTGCCAGCAGTGGCGTGAGCAAGCAACTGCCAAATTGCGCCTTACCATTTTTTTCTCATGGTTATCAGAATTTTTTGAATAATTTTGTGCAATCGCGCAGTAACGGTGGTGATTATCATCATTTTTTTGGAACAGCTCATACTCAGTTCCTCCTGAATTCTAATGAACATAGCATACAGCTCACACTCGACTATCATCTTGAGCACGAAGCTAAATAAGCCGAGACTAACGTCTTAACGTCTCGGCTTATTTAACGTTTGCAACTGTTAAAGCCAGAGGAAAATCTCTATTAACCGGCGGTGTGCAACACTTACTCATGCGCTTGACAGCGGTGCTATGTTTAGGCGCGATTCCCTGGCCGTTTCATTCCTGTTATTGGTGCTGTGTAGATGCATGTGGGGCCCTGTCAGCGTATTTCTGTGTTAGTTGTACATCTTAAAATGTGTGTGTGTACTTGTTATTACGTGTGTTGTTTTGTGTCAATTGACACACCCTGGGCACCCTTGCAAAACCAGGTTCTCCATCTCCAAGGGATTATCCAGGTGAAATATTATAATAAATAAAATAAATTAACATGTAGGTTACAGACATGTTCAGAAGTAACCCTGCAATATGTGATTTAAGCTATGGTGCAACTCATAATTATTTTCTTGATAGGAAACCCAATGGCTCCAAGTTGCTCAGTCATTGTTTGGAATTATGCTTGTCTCAGTGTGTGGTTGGTCAGATTGTTTCTGTGCCTGGCTGGTCAGTCAGATTGTCTCGGTGTCTGGCTGGTCGGATTGTCTCGGTGTCTGGCTGGTCAGATTGTTTCTGTGCCTGGCTGGTCAGATTGTCTCAGTGTGTGGTTGGTCAGATTGTTTCTGTGCCTGGCTGGTCGGTCAGATTGTCTCTGTGTCTGGTTGGTCAGTCAGATTGTCTCGGTGTGTGGTTGGTCAGATTGTCTCGGTGTCTGGCTGGTCAGGCAGATTGTCTCAGTGTGTGGTCGGTCAGATTGTCTCGGTGTCTGGCTGGTCAGTCAGCTTGTCTCGGTGTGTGGTTGGTCAGATTGTCTCGGTGTCTGGCTGGTCAGGCAGATTGTCTCGGTGTGTGGTTGGTCAGATTGTCTCGGTGTCTGGCTGGTCAGGCAGATTGTCTCGGTGTGTGGTTGGTCAGATTGTCTCGGTGTCTGGCTGGTCGGGCAGATTGTCTCGGTGTGTGGTTGGTCAGATTGTCTTGGTGTCTGGCTGGTCAGGCAGATTGTCTCTGTGTGTGGTTGGTCAGATTGTCTCGGTGTCTGGCTGGTCAGGCAGATTGTCTCGATGTGTGGTTGGTCAGATTGTCTCTGTGTCTGGTTGGTCAGGCAGATTGTCTCGGTGTGTGGTTGGTAAGATTGTCTCGGTGTCTGGCTGGTCAGATTGTCTCGGTGTCTGGCTGGTCAGTCAGATTGTCTCGGTGTGTGTTTGGTCAGATTGTCTCTGTGTCTGGCTGGTCAGTCAGCTTGTCTCGGTGTGGTTGGTCAGATTGTCTCGGTGTCTGGCTGGTCAGTCAGATTGTCACGGTGTGTGGTCGGTCAGATTGTCTCGGTATGATTGACATCGTCTCAGTGTGTGGTTGGCGAGATTGTGTTGGCAGCTGAGCGGAAGGGGTGCGTGTTTTCCAATTTCAGCGTCGAGTGGAGGCACCAACTTCGCCTCGTTTGAGGCGTTTGGAGCACCGGGTGCGCCCACTGGCTTTGCCAACTTCCCCAAAGCAAACCAGCCCGTGAGGGCACAGAGCACAGGTACCGCATCTCAATCCTTTTACCTCAATCACCCCTCTACCCTGCCGGTGTTCATTATAGTTGCAATGTGTGATATGGTGACGATCATGAGAATGTGCAGCCCTTAAAAAACAAAAAACAAATTTTATTTTACCAGGTAAGGTCCACTGAGCTATACAGCGTTTTTTTCAGAAGCGAACTGGCCACAAATGATAGCTCAACGAAGTGGTTTATTACGTGGAAATTTATAGCAGCCAAATACGCGAAACGTACATTTATAAATGTGGAGGGAAAAGCCGGAGAACCCGGAGAAGCATACACGCGACAATGGAGAGAACGTGGAAACTCCAAATGTACAGGCATCTGGGTTGGGATCGAACCCACAACCTCCTCCATAGCAGGCGAGGTAGTTAATATCTCACCACCACAGCACCCTGATTCACTGTTGAATGAGGGCCTCCCCACTCCGCGGCGATCATGAGGGTTGTTTGACCGTACTTCTCCACACCAGTCGGTGCTGGTTGGTGAAGGGGTGGGCCGAGAATCTGGTTGAGTTATCGCTCGATACCGATGCTTGCCAGGTTCAGAGCACAGGCTGTCAACACCTGCGCCACCTTCTCCACCAGTTTTAAACTATAAAGTGTTTTAATACAAGTGTATCTCCAGATGGTGTCCAAGACAAACTGCATGGAATGCACGTTGTACTTACAAACAATAACAAGAATTAAGATAAGGGTAACAAAGCTATATATATATTAAAAAAACCCAAATGAAAAGTGTTTGACAGATTGAGCCACAGAGTGATGACACACTATGCACAAGCCATCTCAAGCACTGCCACCCCCCTTACGATAAACTCGTTGTAATGTGTATTAATAGATTGAAGTTGCAACTGAGGGAAAGGGGGAGAGGTATTCATTTGGATGTAGGTGCAATCGCATATGTAGGGACATTGGGAACAATAGGGAAATAACTGAGCAATGGAGGAGATGAGCAAGAAGCGGGCAAGTACTTAAATCTGAACTTAAAGATGTTGGAGGGAATCCACATTGGTGAAAACTGAGGGAGAGACATGCAAAAACCGGGGCCGGCAAAGGAGAGGGAGCGACCTCCCACCGTTTGAAGGTTGATTTTGGGCTTTCATAACCCTCGCAGAATCAAAGAGTTTAGATTCGCAACTTCGCAAACGTTTGTCTGATTATTTTGGTTAAAACGCGTGCATGTCTCCGTTACCAACTGCGTGGCAAATGGCCAAGGCGCGGTGCTTTTCGGCCGTTTAATCATGATCGGATTCTGGCCCAAAGTTTCCCTCCGCTCAAGCAAAGCGTAGTGGGGTGCGGTGCTCATCTCTGAACATGAAAAAGTGGTCAAAATACCGAAAATCAACAATAAAAATTGATCGGTACATCGAGGAATGCAGACAGACATTGAGTGGTTGTTCACCCCAGTGAGCGGGTTGTTATGCCGAATTTGTCAAACCCAGATTGCTGAGAAGAGCAGTCGCCACTTGTTCTGTCCATATTTGCCCCGAGTACACTCGTGCCAACACAATGGCGACTCTGTTTATCATTCCCCGAACACGGCCATTCCCCCCCCCCGCACACCCCCCCCCCCCTGCTATTGACATGTGGCGCTACCGTGCCAGTCATCAAACATTGTCGCGCTCTGCCGTCAAGGGGGTCACAGTCACATGTTAGTGCCGTGGACACTTGACAGCTAAGAATTCCCGGTATTCTTAAGCAGCAGATTTCCTTAACGTGTTCCGTCCAGTTCTGCTTCCGTTCATTTTCCACGGCGTGTGATTATTTTTTCAACGCTGGTTTTTGCCTGTTTTTCTTAGCGGTCATTACTTTAGCAAGAGGCGTATTATAACATCTCTCTTGTCGGCTCATTGTCAGCAGGACACATCCTGGTACCCTAGCAATATGTCTGCGGTAAAAGTAAAAAAAACTAAAACTATAAAATGACCATGACATCTTAATAGAATCCTATCCATGAATATATTGGTGTCAACTCAGGGTTCAGAGGTCAATGGTCAGTGTCTGCCAGGACTTACTCTTGGCACAAAGTCGAGTAATGTTCCCCGTGTTTAACGAGATCCATTGCGTGATGCCATACTCCCACCACATCCGTCTTTGTTTCTCTATTACCCTACTACCTTCAATGTCCCCATGGATAATGTGTGATGGTAGGCCTCCATCTAACCTCTGCTTGGTCCTCTTGATTATGATTTTTTTTATTTCACACAACTTGTTCCAGTTCTCCACTATATGGTGCGAAGCAGAGGGTATTTCAGGAAAATGTATTATTCTACTATACTTTCTATGCTCCCATTGTTATGCTCTCCACCTTCACCAATCCACAAAGATCAGCATGGTGAAGTATGGTCAAACAGAACTCACAAGCCTGTAAGGGCGTGAAGAGGCCCGCATCCAGCAGTTGATGAACAAAAGGGCTTCACATATCCATGCGCATATGTCCAACTTACTGGCTATATCTTACTATGTCAATCGCACCACACAGACCTTACCAATAATGCGGCGGCCAGCTTCACGATGAATTGAAACAAATTCGTGTTTATACTCCGTTGGTAGTGGTGCTCGCTCGCGGATAACAAACAAAAACTCGACACATCAATAAACACTGCCCTGAAAGCGAACCCATACATTCGGTGACTTTTCTGGTCATATGATGGGGGAGATTTTTTTCACGCAATGTCCCTCCTTCATAGTACGTAGGAGACAGCGTTGTTGACAAATGGTTGTGGTGATGGTTGTGGTGGTATCAATGGTTGTGGTGGTGATGGCTGGAATGGTTGTGGTGATGGTGGCGATTGTTGTGGTGGTTGTGTAGTGAGTTCAACTGAGTCGCAGACGCGCTTCTTGGAGGCAACACATTTATTAAATCCAACACACGGGGTACTACCCCTTAACAAGATAACAACCTATGGTGGTGGACCACCAGGCTAACTACACTAATTACACTGGCACTAGCTACGACGGACCAGACCCCCCAGCTTGGGGTCCAGGTGCACGTGTTGGTGACTCTTGTAGGACGTAGAATGTAGATTCTTCAGGATAAACTACAGCAGCCGGTCCCTCTCAGGGACCCGGGTTATATCCTCTGTGGCGTGGCTGGCTCCGCCCTTAGCCACGACCACCGTCTAGAATCCTCTAGCAGGATCTCGACCCTGTCACGTGACCACCCCTAGCCCCCACCTGGGGCCCCTGTGTAGACTTTACCGGTCACGTGTCCTCTAGGGTCAACCAGAGTGCGATGGCCTATAGTAACCCCATCCTGTAGGGGTCGGCACTGCACCCACATATACTTGGTGCCCGCGATGTCAACACATCGCACGCCGTGCCTCTCTAGAGCCGGCATTACACAGTGACATCCGTGATGTCACTACAGTTGTAATGGCTATGGTGGTGGTGGTGGCTGTTGTGGTGGCGGTTGTGGTGGCGGTGGTTATCATGGTTGTGGTGGTGATGGTTGTGGTGATGGTGGCGGTTGTGCAATAGACGGCCGCGTTTACGAGGTACCGCCGCCGCGTTTGCTTCCGCTGCTCTCAGGGGGCACGTCCAGCTCGGCGTTCCCAAGCTTCGCCGACTTCGACAACTTCCCCAAGTCGTCGAGCGCCGACCTGGGCGCTGTGTCCGCCGCGTCGGCTGCCCCGAAGGGCAGCGTCCCCCCGGCCGACAAGTACGCGGCCCTGGCCGACCTCGACAGCTTGTTCAGCACGGTGACCAAACCGCAAGAAGGTGAGAGGATGTTGGGTCGCCCGCACGCCCCTCACGGTACTGCCATACACCGAGACAATCTGAACGAGAGAGGGCCCAGAGTGTGCAGGCGTCGTGGTCCAAGTTTGTCGGCTAATAATTTCAAGAGAAAAGTAACCCCCTAAATTACTCGGTTGGGATCGTACATTGCGATCGCTGTCGTCACCCCCCGCCTTTTGCAAAAAACTCAGCAGGACCGTCCTGCAACCAAAAACAACTCTTGACAATCAGTGAGGCTTTCCTGGGTAAATAAGGGACATTATGGTATGAAGACGAATGCTGTGGTGGTGTAGTGGTGAGCACACTTAACTTGCAATCCAGAAGTCGCCAGTTCGGCTTTTCTGCAGCCTTTCCTGGGTGAACAGATGCTGTTGTATTATCAGCGTTAACAAGTGACCTTACTGTTTAACACGTAGGCTTTCGCGACCAATATCATCCATAATATATGTTATTTTTTGGTTAGATCGCTTAAATATAAATGTGTTGCTAAACCTGCCACCACCCGACACAGCCAATTAGTAAGGTTTGTCACGTAAACAGAACATGCCAATTCGTTACTTGTACAGCAACACCGGTGTGTTGGAGTGCAAATCCACAACATTTACAATCGGAGTACGACGTTTCACCAGTAATTACAACTAGCTTCATCAGGCGACAGCCAGATCTGAGAATAAATCCTCCTGTTTAATTCCTTAAAGAAAGGGATAGAGATGTGATGACGTCACTTGTGAGCCCTTCGCATGCGAAGTGGGGGGGGGGGGGGGTTAATGAAGCAGTATAAATTACAATTGGTATCCATTGCCATTTGGGTTATTTAGATGGTAATGAACGCACATTACGCGTGAACATTATTCTTGTACCTCCTGTCGTTTGCATGTAATAAAAATAGCAGTGCCTGTTATTGTCTGTGTACGGGTAATCCCCATTGATGTATGGTGACCTGTATAGGCAAGCATTTAAATAAAATGTTATTTGATGATTCGCCTCCAAGCAGCACTAGACCTGTTGCTATCCGAACGGTTAAAAAAAAAATTCCCTTTCAATTTCGATAGATTCTCTAATTAGTCTTGGCCAGTAGTCACTAGTTTTGCACAGAACTTCAACATTATCAAAATCAATTGAGTGTCCTTGTTGGCACGCGTGTTCTGCCACCACCGACAGTTGTCTTTGGGAGTATTTAATTTCTTTGGTGTTCTTTTAGTCTCGTGCCAATCATTAGTCCTGTCTGCCCAATATAGCATTTGCCACAAGTACAATTAATCCGGTACACCTTCTGTTGATAGCTTCGGTAATACATCTTTAGTATAAGATATTACTATTATTATTACGTAATAATAATACAAATGTTACTTTTGCACTCGCTTTGGTTTCCTTCATTGGTGTTCCTGCCCATCAGTCGGCTTGCCAACGTCCGGACCTCCCGGTGACAAGTACGCGGGTTTGGGTGTCCTGGACGGCGCGTACGGGGTCAGCGGCACCCCACCTTCGGCCTCGGCGGCCGTGCACCACTCGGCCAGCGTGCCCGCACCTCCCTTCCCAGGTACCAGAGCCACCTGGGGACAAAGTCGCAGTTTTGGTTGACGTTCAGATGTGACCACGTCTCAAGACGTGTAGCATAGTCTCGACAGGGCTCGATTATTGCAACTCGCTACTCTCTATAGGAGTCGGGCAAAATACATTATCAAGCTGCAGCGTGTAGAATTTTTTTTGGCACGTGCCAGGACGGGTACTGCAAGATCCGACCGTGTCCGTCCAGTGCTCGCTGAGTTGCATTGACTTCCGTTTGCCAAACGAATACATTTTAAGGTCGCACTCATTACACACAAAGTGTTTGCCACAAATGAACCACAATATCTTGCTGATTTCGTCAAGGAACATAAACCGTCACGCAAACTCCGGTCATCCTCGCAGAAGCTTTTGGCTAATGAAGACTGCATCATGCGCTTTCAGATGCCCTGCTGTGGCCGTCTGGAATACTCTCCGGGTATTAGGAAGCCACTGGAGCGATGCTCTTTTTAATCTAGATTGAAAACTCATTTATTTAGAACTGTTTTTTGTGTTTAGTTTGTTATCCTTCCCCGCACATCTGATGAGCACGGTTGGCTATGTACGATGCGAAAGAAGTTCAACATTCATACATAAAATGCGCTGTACGGAAATGGGAAACGGTGGGCGTGTTTGTTGTAGAAAAATAGGCAGACAGTCTTATGTAGTGGGAAAAGGAAGAGGTTGGAGCATAGACTGGAACAGTGGCAGGGAAATTACAGCAGGGGGGATGGCTGGGGGAATTGAGTTCCAGACCATGGTGGCAGCAGACGAGAATGAGCGACCTCCTAAAATGAAGCTTGACTGGAGGATTCGACAGAAAGGTTTGTTTGCTTGAGTGGAGAGTGTTTGTGAAGAGATGAGAGGGGTGAGGTAGGAGAGTGCGTGGAGGGGCGTAGATGGAGATGAGAGGGGAGAGGTAGGAGAGTGCGTGGAGGGGAGTAGAGTGGGATGAGAGGGGAGAGGTAGGAGAGTGCGTGGAGGGGAGTAGAGTGAGATGAGAGGGGTAGGAGAGTGCGTGGAGGGGAGTTGAGTGAGATGAGAGGGGAGAGGTAGGAGAGTGCGTGGAGGGGAGTAGAGCGAAATGAGAGGGGAGAGGTAGGAGAGTGCGTGGAGGGGAGTAGAGTGAGATGAGAGGGGTTGGAGAGTGCGTGGAGGGGAGTTGAGTGAGATGAGAGGGGAGAGGTAGGAGAATGTGTGGAGGGGAGTAGAGTGAGGTGAGAAGGGAGAGGTAGGAGAGTGCGTGGAGGGGAGTAGAGTGAGATGAGAGGGGAGAGGTAGGAGAGTGCGTGGAGAGGAGTAGAGTGAGATGAGAGGGGAGAGGTAGGAGAGTGCGTGGAGAGGAGTAGAGTGAGATGAGGGAGAGGTAGGAGAGTATGTACAAGTCGGAGTGTACCCACAAGTACGAGCCTTACTCTTTGGTTCTTTCGGTAAAGTCACGTAGGTAAATAAAAATAAATTAAATCACGACGTTTCGGACACAACACAAGCATCCGTCATCAGGTGGGAAACATCTCAGCAAAAAGCAGTTGCTGAAATAAACAAAAGAGCCGCTGGTGTTGTGTCCGAAACGTCGATTTAATTTATTTTTATTTACCTACGTGACTTTACCGAAAGAACCAAATAGTATGGATCCTTGCAGTCATGAAAACTTCAAATCTAGAATAAGTACGAGTCTTGCTTTTACAGTGGCGGATGGGGTATAGCCCTATCGGCGAGCTGAACACCAATTGAATGACATCTGTTTATTTCTTTGTAGGTGCAACCAACCCGTTTGTAGGAGTGGGAGTGTCTGGTTCTCCAAATCCTTTCCAGACAAATGGTGAGGTCACACTGCACATGGAGAGATATGCAGAGCTTTCGAAATACACTTTTGGTTGTTTGCCTTGAGTCAACCTGTACAAGCCCAGCCTACCCATCTTACAGACTGCGAGATTTTTTTTTTTATAAACCACAATTCTCAATAAGTTAATTATCTCAAAGCTTGTTAGATTTCATCACCAAGCACTCACTGATTCACATTTTGTCACTCGCCTCCTTATCACTCTTTTATTGCTACCACAATGGTTATTGTTCCACGAACTTTACTCCTTGATTATTCCACCAATGTTGAGTACACACATCTGCCAAACTGTTTGTGATTCACACTGTTCGGCTGATTCACACTGTTTGGCCACCGCCGTATTGGAGGTCAAAACATTTATTTCTTATTCTTTCCCCGCATCACCCGACTTTGGAATGCCATCCCATCATCGCTTTTCATGCTGGGGCCTGGCTGAGTCAGCCTAGGGCAGCTCAGGAGGTGCCAGGTTTTTCGACTGCGCAAGCCGAGCCGTGCCGCTGACGGGCGCGCACCATAAACGAATCGAGACGCGTGTTGATGACGCGGTAGTAATGCAACGTAATGACTGACGTCGCATTGCAACGATGAAAATTATAACGCCACTTCTGGCCCTGCTTTGGGTCAAGCCACATACAACAATGCCAGTTTCTTATCTAAATAAATATAAATTAAGGGACACTCTCCCTTAAGTTGTTTCATGCAACCTGGCCCAGATGTGTCATGGTTTGGTTCCGGCTCAGTTCGTCAAATCGGCAATGGAAAACCGCCTGTGTCGTGAGAGCCCCGGGTTGGCTCGGCTCGGTTGTACCAGTGGAAAAACAGAGATTGGTTGCAGAGCATCGAAAATGAGGCCGTGCCACGCGATTTGAGCGCTACCTGCCCTTACGCCTGCCTCACATGCCGCACCCTCCCCTCTCTGCCACGCTCCAGGGTTTGCCGCGTTCAGTTCGGCAGGAGCGCAGTCCGGGTTTGGCACTGCAGCCCCGGTCTCGGCGTTCGTGCCGAGCTTCCAGCCGGCACCCAGCACCTTCACGCAGCAGCCGCCGCCCGCACTGGCGGCAGCGGCGGCAGCGGCAGCAGCTGTTTTTCAACAGCAGCAGCATCAGCAGCAGCAGCATCAGCAGGCTGCCCTCCAGCATCAGCATCAGCAGGCTGCCCTCCAGCAGCAGCATCAGCAGGCTGCCCTCCAGCAGCAGCATCAGCAGGCTGCCCTTCAACAGCAGCATCAGCAGGCTGCCCTTCAACAGCAGCATCAGCAGGCTACTCTGCAGCAGCAGGCGCTGTACATGCAGCCGCCTGCCTACCCTGCACAGCACAACGGTAAGTGTACAATGCTGCTGTGTGTATAGTGTATGTATGGTGCTGGCCACCCACCCCCCATGTGCCCCTACCTGCCATAATAATAGCTGCTCGCTAAACGGAATTTGCCCGGTCTGTTAAAGGCAACACGTAGAATCTTTGTAGATCATTTGCAATTGTCGTCATTGTTGTTGTGTTTGTCTCCTCTAGGCACTCCCTTTGGAGCATTCGTGCAGCCCAAGGCAGCTGCTGCGGTCCCGTTTGCGCAGCCCATCTCTGCGATGGTCAACAACCCCTTCATGGTAGCTTTCGTCTTCGTCACACACACTTGCACCACCAGCGCAAAGATAAAATCTCACCTGTTGCCGTGCCCGTGAAAGATGAGCGGCTTCGGCGCTTTCAACGGCCATCTAGCTGGCAATCCACAGTCTCCACCACTTCGTCTCCCCCTCGATTCGAGGAATCGTTACAATTCAGATTCACGGTTCAATTTAGGAATCCATTATCATTATATCTATGCGACCTTTTTTTGCCAGCATCCAATATGATGAAAAATAAGAATAGGTTTTACCATTTCTGGCAATAAAACAGGTGTTAAGATATTCAATCACCAAATAGAGAGCCTTTTGCCTAGGCATCAAGTCTGCATTAACCACACATACTTGTGGTAAAACATGCAAACAAACATGCTCTTATAATATATGCTTTGTCTTTTATCATTATTATGATCTGTGTTGTGTTTACCGTCTGGCTTGTTTATGCGTCTGGAGAGACTCACTTCTTATCACGTTTGTATATAAATTGCACAATTGCAGAGGGTTCATAGATCCAATCCCTGTTTACTATGGGACAAAGCATTTGTCAATAACACTGTGGCCATGAAAGGAAAGGTAATAGGCAACGTTCCAGGCAGTGGGCTCTCTTCATAGCACGTAAATATCGAGGCCAGAGAGGTCGCGTGGATAAGTCTTTTAAGTATATCATAGGCAATGCTCGCCTATTATATACTTTTCCTTTTAAGGCCACAATGTTGTTCATGAATGCGAGTGTGGTGCTTGTGCAGCATTGCCACAAATGGAGTTTGACCAAATAATTTGTTTAATTGTGGAACGAAAAGTAACCTCATCACTACACGCCTTTTTTGCCAGCTGCAAAACTCTTTACTTCCATTCATAGTTTCTACTTAAAATCAATGCCCATTTGTTTACATGTGTTTGTTTGTGTGTTTTTGAAAAGGCGGTAGGGCGTAGTGCTGGCCACCCACCCCCTCGCGTACCATTCCGGCCTTCATAGGTGCACGCTAACAGCACTTGCCCCAACAGTCAGTTCAGGCTACACGGGGGATCTGTATCTTTGTTTTGTATATAAAAAGACCAGGTTAGTTGTTTTTGGAGTTCACACATCTGAGAAGAGTAATCTGGGGCAGGGTGATATAGCTCTGCTTGCTGACCTGCCCCTACTGGACATCCTTGAAAAAGAGCTTTATATAGCCCATCATATTCCTCCTGACTAAATTAAGATGCTGATTTCTGGCTTAATACCAAATACCTAAAGGAGATGGCTAAGAGAAGGCAGAACAGCTGTGGATTCAATCTCCCTATGCAGAGTTTTAAATGGAATTCCCTCCTATACATTGCATTTCCCCAGCTACTCCGGTCGTCCTCGACACATCAAATGCTCCTGAAAATGTAATTGGCCAAATATCTCAATGCAGGACTATCCCGAAACATAAGCCTTGAGGCTCAGTGAGACTTTTACCCGGGTAATTAAAGGGGCATTTATTATTTATCGCATGAAGATGGATCGTGCAATGAAGGATGAGCGCTCGCTGAACTCGCAACAGGACCGTCTTCGTCGGTTTGATTCGTTCTCCTGGCTTTGCAGTTGAAACAATTAGCACGTCTCTTAATGCTCCCCCCCCCCCCCGCCACTGACCCCCTCTAATTCACCCGGTATAACTTTACCCCACTACAGCAGGCCACGTGTAGTTGGGGTAAAGTATGGGTAGTGCCACCTCTTCCAAGGCGTTTGACCAGCGTGGAAGAGTAGGCCATGAATACCCACTTTCGGAGCCTCTTGAGCTCACTCGAAGAAAACAAATTGCAGTCCAGCACCTTTAGTCTACTTTTTATTATTTACATATATATGTGCTGTTACACAGCGGTAGACTTGCGACACGTTGAGTTATATTAACACGTGTTTTTATTCTCTCTTCGTTTCTCGAACCAGGGTGGAACAAACGGCGGGCAGTTTCCCGGCAGCGCCGCATCCACCAACCCCTTCCTGTAGTCGGGGCGTCCGGCGTGTGGGCGTCAGAGAGCAGCGGCATCGCAGTCCTCCCACACCCTGACTCCAGAGCGACATTCGCGGCAACTCCCGGGAACATAAGGAAGCAAAAGCACGCCCCCTCCGTGCTTCTGCCCACACTGCAGCAGACACCCGCTCCCTCCGTGCTTCTGACCACAAGGCAGCAGACAGCCGCCCCTCCGTGCTTCTGACCACACGGAGGCAAGCAGCCGCCCCTCCGTGCTTTTGACCACACGGCAGCAGACAGCCGCCCCTCCGTGCTTCTGACCACACGGCAGAGCAGACAGCCGCCCCTCCGTGCTTCTGCCCACACGGCGGCAGACACCCGCCCCTCCGTGCTTCTGACCACACGGAGGCAGACACCCGCCCCTCCGTGCTTCTGACCACATGGCAGCAGACAGCCGCCCCTCCGTGCTTCTGACCACACGGAGGCAGACAGCCGCTCCTCCGTGCTTCTGACCACACAGAGGCAGACAGCCGCCCCTCCGTGCTTCTGACCACACGGCAGAGCAGACAGCCGCCCCTCCGTGCTTCTGCCCACACTACAGCAGACAGCCGCCCCTCCGTGCTTCTGACCACACGGCAGTGGACTGCTGCCCCTCCGTGCTTCTGACCACATGGAGGCAGACAGCCGCCCCTCCGTGCTTCTGAGCACACGGCAGTGGACTGCTGCCCCTCTGTGTTTCTGACCACACGGCGGCGGACAGCTGTCCCTTCACGAAACCCCCCGGTCATCTGGATCACCAAGGCTTCTTCATCTCGGAAGCACCCAAGTTTCATAAAAGGTTTTGGGGGGGGGGGGGAACTGAGGCGGCAACCGTTGTTCCAGACTGCTTTTATTTTAAGAGTGCATTTTAATTCATTATCAATAGTGTGGGGGGGGGGGGCGTGGAGGGGGCACTTTTGTGGCAGGTGGTGTCTTGGTTTATGTTAACCCTTTTTGATATTTTATTTGCTTCGCTGGTAATATAGAATTACAAATTTCCAGCCAATAATTATGTTTAACTTGTAATTCTTTTAACAATGTCTACCAGCCATTAAGCATTGGCTGGTGACACGGATGATGAGAATGATGTCTTACGACGAATCATGAATGGATCTGAAAATCCCTTTTAAGTCTGAACTTTCAGCTGTCTTCATTTCTTTAATCTAATTTTCTTGTATGCAGCATGTATTTGTTTTTATATTCTGGCGCCTAGCGTAGCATTACCTGTTACGCCTTTAAAAGCGTCGGATCAAGAATAGCTCTCGTGTTTCACCGTGTCACTCGTGTTGAATTCAGATTATATTAGTGCAGCCAGTAACTACAGACCGTTGCCCTGTTCAATTCTAGAAAACTATCCATAATAGAGTTTTTTTGGGGGGTTAGATCACGTAGATATATACATGTGTCGTTAAACCCGTCACCACCCGACACAGCCAACTAGTAAGGGTTGTTGGAGAGCCAAGCCACAACATTTACATATTCTGTTTACGTGACAACCCTACCTATTGAGATGTGTTGGTTGGTGGCGGGTTTAACGACACATTTATATATTTACACGATCTACCCCCCCCAAAAAAAACCTCTTATAGATATTGGTCGCGAAAGACTACGTGTTAAACTCTAGAAAACTAAAGAAGCAATTCGTGTAAAATTTCTGTAACAAGCTAATCATCATAGGAAACAAATGGAGATGCAATCCAATAGATGATCATGCTTTGCACAACAGCACTGTGTTAACGTAATGTGTACAAAGACTCGCCCCCACCATAGGAATGTGGAATTTCCACCACCGGCTAACGGCTGTAAACAGGAGATGAGCATCAGTGCCTCATTGTTCAAACAGGTCGTGCCGACTTGGTGAAAATTCCAATTTCAATTAATTCCCACGCAATATCACAGCTTGATAAAAAAGTGAAGCTTCACTTACTTTCGCAGATAAAGATGCAGCCTCGGCAGTTGAAATGGGTTCGCCTGCAGGACATTTTGCCTGATTTTTTGCTCAAACTCTCAACTTCCTTCCATTGGCCTCCCACATCTCAGAACAAGGTGGGGGGGGGACCGTCTCTTCGTTTCTGCAGCCGGGTCCGGTGCTGAGCACCTGCCCTCTACCGGGCTGACGGGCAACTTGCTTACGAGGCGCGCTTTGCAATGCAATGTTTTTTTCTTAGATTCACGTGAGCGTTCGCTTGATGCGATTCCCCGCGGTCGCTTCAACAACGAATCAAAAGTTGCCTAACACAAAGCACCTTATCTCTGCGTGGCCTCCTGGCTTCTGCCCCCCCCCCCCCGCTTCCCCACTCGTTGTGTAATGATGAATGTTAGCCCAACTCTCAGACGATGTGTACGATAGTTCTGCTGTGGATTGAGCAAGATTTCTTACGAACTTGCGTTTTTACTGGAATCAAAGTCCCCCAAGTACGCCTGCCTTTAACAAGAGTGTGCATTGGTGTAATTGTGGCTCGCAGCGTAGTTTTATTTAATCACGTATATTCTGTTATTTTTACCAATCGCAGAGAAGAGTAGTCAATCGACGAAGTGAGCTTTTTGTCATTCGCAAACCTACACTCGTGTTTGAGATGACACCGATTTTGGATTTAGCTGTCATCTCGGCCGCTGCCTTGTTATTATTTTTCTTCCCGGCAATTAATCTCTGTCTGGGGGTTCAAAGTTCATCACAGTGTGCAGGTGTTGGGGCTGTGTTGGGGGGAATTGTAGGTACATGCCTATTTGACTTATAATCAGAATATTTATTGAGACTGGAGCAATCCAATGAGCTATAAATCTCTTTTTCACACAGGTGTCCAGTAGGGGCAGGTCAGAACGTTATGACAACAATACAAAAACACGACAGTATAGGAAAGGTAAAAAAAAATATTCGAAAAAAATACAAATCAAACTAAACTTTTTTTATTTTACCAGGCGAAGCCCACTGAGCTATATTAGCTTGTTTCTCAGAAGCGACCTGGCCAAAAATGATTGCTCAACGAAGTGGCTTATCATCACGTGGACATTTTTAACCTCCAAAGAAAAACAACAACAACAGCGATTATGGGGGGCTGGGGGGGGTTGCCCCTGGTGAAACAAAAAAAAGATTTTGAATACCCATATGGGCTCTCGTTGCGAACTACGATTCACTTGATCGCTGGTGAAACCCACTTGGGTGTTGAATCCGCAGTCGTGCAGTGCCAGCGGTGTGTCGTCCGCACGGTTACGGTCGGCCGTGTTTTTGTTTTGTGCACATGTGGGCACGTCAGACTCCTTTATAATACTCGAGGCTCATTTTCACACATTCTAACGAAGTGTACACAGCAGATTGCAGTCATCTCGTTGTCTCGTTTTAGAGATGTAAACTTAAAAAAACAACACTTAGTCCAAGTGTGGTTTAAATCCGTTGAGTAGTGTAACGTATGAATTTGAGTTAAATGTTAGTCATGACCGTAATCTTAAAAAATGTGAAACGTTGAATAAGTTTAAAATATAGGAGTCATTTACACAACGAGTCTCTTTGTAACCTCTGGAGTGGGGGCAGCCTCTCATTAGAGGAAGTGGAATGTCACTCAAAACTCAAGCTGTGCCGTCCACGGCAATTCTTTACCGAGCCCTGTCCTGTGGCTACCATTTCGAGAGGGTTAGACTATTTCTAAGTTAACTTGTTGGGTAAATTCCCCGCCCCCCACCCCAGCTTATCCCGATTGTGCTATCGGTGGCTAGTCACGGGACTAAAGTATCAATGCGGATCTCTCGCAGAGCATAGCAACCGTTCCACAGAAGCGGATATCACGCAACTACATCTTGAGATCCCTTTGCACAGCAGATGGCAGCACTTTCCCACCCTCCCAGCCACACGGAGTGTCAACCCGATACGATACAGTTTTTATTTTAATTCTCGGAGCTGAAATCTTTGCCCAAGCTAAATGCAGAACTAAACTTACATGTGATGGGTTTTTTTTTTGGTGCGGTCACTGGTGACCAGGCTGAGACCATCGATAATGATGTCGTTGTTCTTGCTCGACCTCGCACAGAACCAATGATCACTTCGTCCCAATTTTAATTTAACGTACGTTTTAGCGCCACTGGAAAGCTGTATCTATTTGTTGAACTTCTTTCGCGCCGCACGTAGCCAACCGTGCCAATCAGACAAAAAACTTAAACACAATCAGCAGTTCTAAAGAAAGAAAGCTGAACGGCTTTTAAAGTAAATCTACCTTTCGTTTTCTGTGCTCCCCGTACATCTTTTCAATTTTCCACCTTTTTTGCGTTTGGTGAAAACCTGTAAAGTTTGACAGAGAGTTCGTCACCCAATATCAAATCATTTGCGCACTGTGGTATTCGCACGTTTTAGAGATGTTTAGCCGCTTAAGTTTTGCGTTCCGGGCGCGACGTTGCTTTGTGTAATCCCAGTTTGTTATTTTTCATGTAAATTTTTGGCAAACTTTGACGCTAGCACACAATGCTCTGATGTCACGGGATCTTTAACTTCCCCCACTGTGAGTCAGGTGTCACGTATTTATGGTTTAAACACACACTGCAGTATTAACCAGAGCGGAGTAGCAGATTTGAACCGTGAAACTCTTGCAACAAGTGGCGAACGTGCTGGGCTATTGTCAACATCATCTTCGCTACCACGTACGTTATACATGTGTAGAAATGTATCTGCTTGTAGGAAAAAATCACGAGCTTTATGTTGGGGGGGATTGTATTTCGTTTTCATCTCGCCTGGATTAATCCAAGTGCGTCGCTACACACACTTTAGGTTAGGGAATACCGTTTGCGCTGGGAAAGCTGGCGTCTTGGACACTTGACCAGTTAATCCTCACACTGGATTTTATTTAATTAAGGAATTCGTGGGCTTCAAGCGTCTCTGGCGTTCGCTTTAACAGGCGGTTTATTTTGCGACCTTGTGTTGTTTTTTTTCGAGCAGTATTTATGAAGGTGTCGTCAAAGCCCCAGTTTGTAGATCGCGAAGATGGGTAAAGCCGGGACGATTTCGGTCTATTCACCGGCTTGTGTGTGCTCCCGTTATTCGGAGTGCTTTTAAAAATTCTGACCGCCGCCCCCCCGCCCCTACATCCCACCGCTTTCCGAAGGCAGGAAACCTCCCAAGCCACACCCAGCGTGACGTGGGCTCGATGATGCTGAAGGCGTCACAAAGCGGCCCCCACTCCCTCCCCCGTCTGTCCGTCACCTCCCCATCGGGTGCCAACACGCGTTGCACAATTTGGTCGAGCAATCTCACGGATAGCGATCGATGGAGTAATAATCGATTTTAATTCTGGATTTTAAGTTTTCGTGACTGCAAGGATCCATACTCTTTGGTTCATTCGGTAAAGTCACGTAGGTGAAAATAAAATAAAATGAAAATCGATTTTACCCAGACAAATCCCGATAGTCCTGCTCCTGCATTGAGCTGACATGTAGCATCCTCGTTTGTACTTTGCACATCTCTTCGGCTGTGATCTCGCATCTGTGTTGAGATGCACGAGCGCTTATTCCGCAGTTTACAGTGCCCTTGAGCCGTCCTCGCGTAATTTTACTTTCTCGAATTAGTAACTCGCACGGGGGAGGGATTAGAGGTGTAACAATGCATACAATTAAGATCACTTCCAAAGCTCACGATATTTGCATGGTGGAGCGGTGGTACAGTGGGTTCACACGCTGCTCTTTGAACCCGGAAACCCAAGTTCAATTCCCAGCGATGACTCGCATCAGTGGCGAGGTGATTATACAAATCGGCCCTGGGTCTTTTTTACAAACCTGCAATGGTCAGCATGGTGAAGTATTTTCAAGCAACCCCCCACAATTGATACGATGTGGGGAGGCCATCATCCAACGGTGGATTTACAAGGTGCTGTAAATTATAATTATTAGCGCGTTTGATGGATTTCACAGGACCCCTGCAGCCACTAGTGGCCGCTGGATCATGACGGTGACAATGGATTTCTGTAAAAGTGCAACTGCTTTTTATTTTATTTCTGGTGTTTTTAGTACCTGTGAGCTGAAGTTGTCAAATTGTTTAACCTATTTAACAGTGTCGGCTGAGGAGGAGAGTGGCTGCGTTTAATGAGAGGTTCAATTGACCCATTGGATAGTTCATTGTAAGAAGGTTATCTTAGAAAAGTTTTAATAAGAAATCAAAGCAATTGGGTCATGTTGCAACTCCGAATGCTCAAATACATGTCGCTTACATCAACTTTGTCTCCGCAACTCTTGATCCTTGGGTTATTTCAAAGCCCTCTTTTCCCCATTAACCGCGCGCACCGTTAATAAGTGCAGTGGGGTTGACCCCACTGCTCTTTCAAACTTTCAATGGGCGCGACTGGGACGGCTCTGAGTGGACTGATGAAATGACATTCTGAAAAGTCTCTCAAACGGAAACTCTCATCATCATAAGTCTCACCGCATCAAATACGCAAGTACATTTGACAAACTACCTGTATATAAAATGGTAAAAGTTTTACAAGAATAAACAGTATAGACTGTGGCTTTAAGCAGCAGATTTTTCATTTTATGTAGTATACGCTATATATATTTTTTTCCCTGAGCCCTTTTTCGCTTTGGTTAACGTGTATTTCTTTGTGCTAAACAAACAAAAATGCAGTGTGCCGGGTTTTGCGACAGCTTGGTTTACGTGAAGGTAGCGCCGCCGCGGCGTACGCGCGTCGACCGCCTCGTACCGGGCGCTCCGGCCGCTGCCCCGCCTGCTGCCTTATGTCCGCTCGTCTTAGTCTAAATCGCAAGCAGGTGCGTGTGCACAAGTTGTGGGTGCGTGCTCTCGATTCACAGCCGCTGGTGCCTTCTTACAATCGTCTCGTTTAAAAAAAGAAACTTGTGAAAAACCCAGAACCGCTGATGTGCACGGGCGCCTCCCACAGCCGGCATCTACGTGACCGCCGCCGCCACCAGCAGTAGCAGAATGGTGCGAGGCAACGCCACACTCGGAAAACGTCGCTGTGGTTTGATGAACCCGATACGCGCGCAATTATACGGACGCCTAATGACCAGGGGTCGGCAACCAAAATAACAAGAAGAGATTCTAGATTTGAAGCTTTCGTGACTGCAAGGATTCATATTCTTAGGTTTTTTCGGTAAAGTCACGTAGGTAAAAACATTAAAAAGTAAAATAAAATAAAAATCACGACGTTTCGGAGGCAACACAAGCTTCCGTCTTCAGGTGGTACCGTCACAGCCACGACAGCTGTATCAAGTAAATGAGAGATTGCAGGAGCTACCACTTATATAAACGGAGTGGTAGCTCCTGCAATCTCTCATTTACTTGATACAGCTGTCGTGGCTGTGACGGTTCCACCTGAAGACGGAAGCTTGTGTTGCCTCCGAAACGTCGTGATTTTTATTTTACTTTTTAATGTTTTTACCTACGTGACTTTACCGAAAAAAACCTAAGAACAAGAAGAGACATTTTTGTTCCAATTCGGTTAATACAATAAAAAAAAAACTTTATATTGCAAGAGCCTCGCAATTGACCCATTGGATAGTTCTTTGTAAGAAGGTTATCTTAGAAATGTTTTAATAAGAAATCAAAGCAATTGGGTCTTGTTGCAACTCCGAAGGCTCAAATACATGTCGCTTACATCAACTTTGTCTCCGCAACTCTTGATCCTTGGGTTATTTCAAAGCTCTCTTTTCCCCATTAACCGCGCGGTGGCCCTGAATATATAACCGTCACGAAGCGGTCCTTAAAGAGCCGCAGGTCGCCGACCCTTGCCCGTGACCGACGTCACCCGCGGAGATGCTCGAACTCCCGTCAGATCTCAGAAGCTGAGTGGGGGTTGAGCCAGGCTAGCGCATGGACGCGTGGCCACCATGCACGCCAGGTTGTCACCGGCGGCTGCGAGGCCGTGCTTACGCGGTGGCCAGCATGAGGAAGTGCAGGAAATCCCCATTGTTGTACTGTACTTCTGTGCGCCCGCATCTATGCCCGCCGCCATCACCAACCCGCACCGATCGGTGTTGTGGTGTTCAAATACCACGACCCGCACGGAGCGGGGAAAGGGCCTCGATTGACGAAGGACTTCGTACGTGTACACGATTAAATGGATAGCTACTGTGGTGTGTGGATGTTTCGACAACTTGCACACAGCATAGTTATCTAGGCTGTTGTTACAGCCAGCCTCAAGCTGGTTCATGAAAATATTTAACTGTGATTATTTTTACCCCCACCCCCTTCCCCCTCATATTGGTCGGCATCCCACAGGTGTGGTGGCCTGGATGCTGGCAATGAGGGAAGTTTGGCCCAGGTGTCACTGGCGTCTAGACCAGGGGCGATCAAAGCGTAGCTTACTGGCCACGATGACTAAATATTCAGTGTATCTTGGCTTGAAACGGTGAACAAAAAATCCGCCTTCGTCAGAACAGCCCCGGGTACCCGCCGCTTGTCTGCCGAATCAGACGTGAGTAGTCCCGGGGAGCTTGTGCAGACTTCTTTTCATTAAAAACTCCGCAGGCGACCAGCACGAGCGGAACTGGCTGCGTGACGACTCTACGTGACCGCCACCATGTGACGCACGCTGTGTGTCGTGTGGCCCCCTGCAATGTGGATATTTTGGTATTCAGGTCCTCGTGAGTACCTATCTTCGTTGAACTTTTTATCACACCGTACGGAGCCAACCGTGCTTGTACGTAGCCAACCGTGCTCGTCAGGTGCGGGAGTAGGACAACAAACACACCACAACAAAAGGTCAGGAGGTTTAACAGCCCCTTGCCTAGTCTAACAAACGTGATTGCTGTGTGTGTGTGTAAATAAACAAACGGGGGAAAGTGACGTAATAAACATTCTTGGTTCTTTCGGTAAAGTCACGTAGAAGGGAAACAATAAAATAATAAAAATATAAAGCAATAAAATTCTCACGTTTTTTCACACCTGATGACGATTGCTTGTGTTGCAGTCGAAACGTGAGAATTTTATTATTTTATATTTTTATTATTTTATTATTTCCCTTCTACGTAACTTTACCGAAAGAACCAAGAATATGAATCCCTGCAGTCACGAAAGCTTTAAATCAAAATTTGACGTAGTAAAGTTGAGATGCGGGAGGCCGATGACCATATCACCCAGAATGCACCCGATCTCGTCAGATCTCTGTCGCTCAGCTGTGTTCAACCTGGTTGGTGCGCTGATAGGTGGCTACCATGCATAGCAGGCTCCGTGGTGGGCAGCCGAGGGTTAGTGCAGCCGAGGGTTAGTGCAGCAAAGTTTTTTGTTGCACTAATTCTTTGCACCCGTATCTATGCTCCATGCCTTCAACAACTTGCACTGACCAGCATATTGAAGTTTATTCAGATGATCCTCACGGCCCGCCCGCCGCGAGGAAGCCCTCGTCCAGCGGTGGATTCACAAAATGGCTGAACATTTACATGAAAGATGTGGAATTTGCCTCCAAGATATATGCTGTGGGTTTGTGGGTCTTGGAAGGATGTGAGGGGAAGACTGTTTATTATGTCTTCGGGTGATTAGCTCAGCAACTTTACCCTCAGTCCTGAGTTTAAAAAGAACACGCCTGATTTTGTGTTGCCGGTGGACTGGCTCAAGGCTTGATTTATAGCTAACGGAACAAAAATGTGCCTGTGTTGAATGGAGGAATGTTGCATTGACGGCCATCACTAAATAGGATCGTTGTTGGCGTCTGTTTGCAAAATGTGCAACAACGTGGGTTTTTTTTCGTGATCAAGATCTATGTTTCGTTCACGTGGTCATATCAAAAGTTGGCAGTAGTTAATTCGCGTTCTGGATGGATCAGAATCGTATATATATGAAACACTACAATATTTTACTAACATTTTGCCGATATGCTTGAAAATAAACCTCAAATGTTAATGCTGATTTTTTTTTGTTACAAATCAAAATTGTAGTGTTCTGTAATTATTTTCACCTATAACAATCTAAGAAAGTGTGAGGCACTTGGCCTGGGAGTAAAATACTAAAGAAAAATGAACCGTTTTGCTGGCCACTTTTAACAAACTGTCAGCGGCTTTGCATTTAGATCATTGCTTCCCAACATTTGTGGACCCGTAACATCACCGTCAACTCTAAAAAAATACAAATGTTCAGAAATTATAGTGTAGCAACAGTAGTGTCTCCAAAAATTCTGCGGATCATTTCACACCGTCTGACGGTGCCCATACAGGTTGGGAACCACTCCACTAGATGTGTTATATGCACTGTCCTTGTGGTGTCCATGCATCTAGCAGATGTCTTTAAAGTGAAACAGCATCGTTGGTAATTGATGGCAAACTGTGGTTTGCTGCCCAGAAACAGCTCTCTCCTGAGAACGCCTCTTGCGTGTGATAAACAACACTAATCTCGTTCTATTTCTCCTGTAGAACTAACTAAATCCCGAGCGGAATTAATCCTCCATTGTTTGGCCATTTAATTATTCTTTTGATTAAGTCGAACTAAATTAACAAGTGATTTGGACTCCGGTCGGCATAACCAACAAAAATCTATTTTATCCACGTTAAAAAAAAGAGGGATTATTTATTGTGGAAGCTGCTGCATTAACTAAGCTGACCGAGTTTTTAGTATTGATGTATTCTTATTCAAAATTTTGCTTTTCGTTACACGTGTGCATCCACCTTACGGAGGGGGGGGGGGCAGTCTTATTGGGCAAAAATGTCCGTGTGTTTTCCAAAGAGCTTACCTAAGGTATTGTCAAAGTATATAGTTAACAAGTTGGTAAACATGAAGGCAGGCCTAAGTGCTCTATACTGAACAGTGAGCTTACGTCAAGTAACGTTTTTATTTTAAGGGGGAGTTGTTGATGACTTGCATGCTGAAACGTAGCTTTTTTGTTGGCCTCGTTAAATTCTATCGTTTATTTTTGCTGTTAAATACCGCTGTGGCCCATAAGTTATTTATAGTTAGTTTTTATTTTCTATGTGCAATTCGCATTACCTTTGTCAATTAAACCTTAAGTGGGTCCTTTGGAAACCCGTTTGGGATGTTTTAACAAAACTTAGCTTATTCACCATGTAAAACAATAACTGGGCCATTTCGTACAGAAGCAACATTTCTGCAAATGGAAAAAATAACAGGAATTATTGACTTTTGAAGTCGATCAAAATAAAACCGACAATTAAAATGTCAGTTACACCACGCTTATGCACATTTTCGAATAAAAAAAAAACAACTTCTATTAATTGGGGGCAATTTTGGCCCAAAACCTTTCAGGCATTTATCTACGAGAGGGCATGATGCTTGTGCGCGTGTACGTGCCGAAACTATTACCTTGTTTGATTTCTCACATCCATCTAATTTTCATGCAAAGTCTGGATTTTTTTAATCTTTCACCAATATAACGTTTTAAAATTATCGGCAGTAAGCATTTTACTTATTACGGCGCGCAACGTAGCTTGTGACACAGAGCCCGCTGAATATCGTAAGCTGTTACATAGCTTTAAAAACCCCACACACAAACACACATGTTTTAAACACCAATGGTAACCAATGACACGTTTGCTACATACACACTGCAGTGCAATTCTGAAGATTATTTTACACGCCTTCTCAAGATGTCGAAGATGTTATTGCATTTAAAAGGAAAGCTGCGTCGTGCACACGCGTCTGTCATACCGTGTTTGTGTCTTAAATAAAATATAGCGGGGGACATCTGTTGTTGTTGTTGTCGTTGTTGTTGCTGTGTTCCCGCTACAGCCTTTACCCCGAGACAGCCTTTACCCCCCCCCCCCCGACCCCTCACCGCCCGGTCGTATCGGTTGATATTGCACGTTACTCTTGTTTAAATAAAAATTACAAAAATGTAAAAAAAAACAACCATTGATGTGGCTTTAAACTGACTGCATTGTTTATTTACTGTTTAACTCACATGTCTCTCTCAAGCTGGAATTACATTTTTTTACAATGTTCCCATAATGTATTGCCTTTGCCGAGCTATTTTATCACCGTGTCGGTAGTATATTATGGAAAGTGCTTTATTAACCATAAACATATCTAACAATAAACTGTGTAATTAATATCGCCGTCTTTGTCAACTGTTTTCTGCACCACGTCGTTTTATTGAAGTCTGTTTTGAATTTTCAGGAGCGTTCAGTGCGGTGCGTCTGCGTGTGTTGACGTCGGAATTAATCGGAGTTCTAGATTGAAAACTCATTTCTTTCGAGCTGCTTTCTGGGTTTAGTTTGTTGTCCTTCCCTAACGCACCTCCGATTAACACACGTACGCACATAGTTCGAATCTGTGGGCGTGGTGCAATATGGAACATTCTCGAAACTCACAAATCTCACCCAAACTGTCTCCTTGCTCCGACAAGAATTCACTTTTTTTTTATAAACGTCCATTTGGGTGGTGTGTAAGAAGGTGACAATAAACAATACAGAAACACGACAGGAGTTCAAAGTACAAGGTAAAAAAATCACCCAAACATATACCAATATAACTAAACCATCCGACCTGGCAAAGCCCACTGAGTTATTGACTTTCTTTTCAAAAAAGCGACCTTGCCACAACTGATAGCTCAACAAAGTGGCTTTTCATTTGGACATTGCAGCAAAATAGTCGACGCATGTTTCAAGGGTCGGTGACGCGCGCCCAGTGGTACCGCTTCGACCGATTTTGTTTCCATGTTTACAAAAAATCCGCGGTTTGAAACGGGCAGACAGCCCCGGTTAACACTGCCGTGTGTCTTGAACATTCCCCACGCGCCCTCTTGCTTCACAGCGGACGTTAAAGATCCCGTGACGCCGTCACGCTCCAAAGTTGTCGAACTTTAAAAGGAAAAAATGTTACTTGAAAAAGGCGGCGATCGTTGTACCCCCCCCCCCTGACCTGTTATCGCTTCTTATCTTAAATTATAGAGCGCCTTAATCAAGGCGCTTTACATAGAATTAAGAACGGGACACGTGCGAATGTAAATGGAGATGATGTGAATCAAATTGATGAGAGGAAACAATGGGGGGGGGGGGGGGGGGTGACGAGTCTGTGGTGCCGTGAATTTTGCCGAACGCGAAATTGATGACGCTAAATGACGAATGAACGGATTGAATGAATGGGGGAATGAGTGCTCGCCACAATGAGTGTTAGCCAGCTTGGTAGGAACCTCCTGGCAACAATCGCGAGACTCCGTGAGACACACCTGGGCAACTCGCCGGAGTAATAACACGTCTGGGGTGGTGGTGGGGGTTTGATTGTCCTATAAATCACTGGAATGCAAACCACCCTCCCTCCGCAAACCCGCACTGACCAGTCTGATTAAGTGCGGTCAACCCCCCTCCCCCCACAACAACCCACACGGCAAGAGATGGGTCCCTCATCCAGCAGTGGCTTGCCAAAAAAAAGGGCATCCGCTGTGCGCGCGTGTACCGTGCGCGATTGCGTGTGAAGCAATCCTTGTCACGGCAGCCACGTGGACAAGCGTACGGGGTTTGGGAACGTTTGACCGTCGTCAACAATATTTACAGGGAATCGCATTCCACGCCCTCCGCTTCGAAACGGATCGGTGTGTGTCTCGTGCGGGCCGCACCCAAAGTAAGCCTGGCGGCTAACAAAAGGGGACGAATCTCTTCCCACCCCTCCTCCTCCCCGCTCCCCAGATGCTATCTCTGCTTTCGTACCCGTAGGGGCATTGCAGGTCATCATCGCTGTTGGGTTGGGTGACAAGTCTCTACTCGAAGCGAACTGCAGCAGCAGTCTGACCACAGTGGAAACACTGCTCTCTCCGTGCAGAAAATAAAAGCGTGCCTTCTTGGGGAAGAAGGTAAAGTCATGCCGGGGTTATTCTTGCGCACTCATACCGACCGACCGACCGACTTGAGAAAGACAATCGGTGGGATCTTTCGATTTAAAGCTTTCGTGGCTGCAGGGATTCATCTTCTTGGTTCTTTCGGTAAAGTCACGTAGAAGGGAAGTAATAAAATAATAAAAATAAAACATAATAAAATAATTATCACGACGTTTCGGTCACAACGCAAGCAGCCGTCTTCAGGTGAAGAATTCTTCACCTGAAGACGGCTGCTGGCGTTCTTCACCTGAAGACCGCTGCTTGCGTTGTGGCCGAAACGTCGTGAGAATTATTTTATTATGTTTTATTTTTATTATTTTATTACTTCCCTTCTACGTGACTTTACCGAAAGAACCAAGAAGACGGTGGAATCTTCTTCGCCGCTGTCGTACCGCGTGACGAGACGGGGTCGGTCCATTCTCCGGCGTCGTCCTCCCTGGCTCCGTGTTCCTCTTGACTTTGCCTGCGACTGCCGTCACGAGTCTTGTCTCCCTGTGTTGCTATCGCCAGCCCCTTCTATTGCAGGTGACTTTCCCGAAGCCTGTGGAATGTCTCTAAATTGCGATGCAAACTTTAGCTTCTCGTTCGGTTTTCTCAGTCCAAGTCGAAGCGCGCATCAATATTAGTTGGGCACCTTTCAGATGTTTTTTTGTTCCAACTTCTCTGTTTGTCGCTGTCCATGTTTACAATTCACGCCATGGCAGGCGAGATGTTAACTACCTCGCCTGGTATACAGGAGGTCGTGGGTTTCAATCCCGACCCTGACGCTTGCTTTGGAGTTTGCAGTGTCCCTCTCTCTCCCCGTGGTTGGCGTGGATTTTTCTCCAGGTCCTCCTGTTTTTCCTTCCACATATAGAATCAACATCACGCGTTTAGGGTATTTGGCGACTGCTCTAAATGTCCACACGATGATAAGCCACTTCGTTGCGATGTCATTCGTGGACAGGTCGCTTCTGAAAAAGAGCTATATAGCTCCGTGGCCCTTATACCTGGCGAAACAAAAGTAGAATTAATTTTAACACGTTGGCTTTCGCGACCAATATTCATAAAAAAAGTTTTTTTGGGTTAGATCGCGTTATTTATAAATGTGTCGTAACCCTCCACCACCCGGCACGGCCAATCAGTAAAAACAAGTGTCACGTTGACAAAAGACAAAATAGTTCACTACTTTAGCCCACCGGTGTGTTGAAGAGTGAATCCACAACATTTACAATTTTTGAGTACGACGTTTCGCTGGGTAATTACATCCAGCATCATCGGGCAATTTGACAGAATGAGTAGAATTCATATTTTGGTTTTACCAGTAGGCTCATACGTCTGCTGTTTATGATCAGATTAAATTTGTTTAATATTCCATAAGCACTCCAACCTGATCGTGTTCGCCTCTTGCTACCATCATTGTGATCCAGGTCCATCTTCAATAACTGCCAACGGTACACGGCACTCTGCTGTAACACCTTATCCGGTGATGCTGGTGTGTGTTGGCAGTGGTGCACAAGCACAGACAACTACTGAACATGTTGGTCTATAACGGCGCGTGTGTGTGTATATATGTGGCCTTGAAGGAGGAAAATTATACAAGGTGCTTAATTTTTTTTTTTACATTTATATGGGCCTATCGTTTTTAATGGAAAAAGAACATATAATACTACACCGTAACATGATAACAAATGCATGTTAAATCTTGACTTAAAGCTTTCGTGACTGCAGGAATTCATATTCTTTGGGTCTTTCGGTAAAGTCACGTAGATAGTACAATAAAATAATAAAAAAATAAAGTGTATTATCTACGTGACTTTACCGAAAGACCCAAAGAATATGAAATGTATGTTAATAGCTTCAAAACGTCAGAGTCTCTCCACGTGTTCGCCATCGTTGTCAACACGTGGCCTGGAATCTTCTCCAGGTGGTCTCCAGAGCCCGGAGGCACATTTCTTGTGGTGTTGTTGCATATTCCCAGAAGTGTTAAAACATTTTTAAAGCACCCTGTATAACAGACGACGTTTCGGGCTCTGTATGTGGAACTTCTTTCGCACAGTACGTAGCTGCCCTTTCTAATCTTCATCGCACATACATGGATACTTTGTTTTACAGGTAACCCGTTGTCCATTCACATTTATGCCTTTATTTGCCCAATCCAAGGTTTCGAAAAGATGTTCTCATACCTGTCAACCCATACGGTGTGCCCATATTCTTGTGCAGGGAAATTGAGTTTTCAGGTCTAGCCGTTTCAATACGGGCAAAAACATGTTTTTGTCTATTTGTTTGTGTTTCTCTCTTATGATGGGACTTTGTAGGATGAACGTTGGGATTTATAAAGGGCACGGGGTGACCAATAAGATCTGAATTGGTCTGTAATAAGGTGGGCACTGGTAAGGGGTTGACAGGAATGTCTTCTGCACAGCATACATGTGGCCTTGAGTCACCTCGGCGAGAACGTCTGCTTGTCTCCTCTTTATATTTGCATATTGCGACCTCCCATCACAAATCTCTCCTGTATTTGTTCAAGTGTCATGGTTTTTTGTTGCTGTATCAAGGCCATGGTTTCTGAGCACTTCTACGACTGCATCGGTTGCCACTGAATAAATTAACTTTTCGCATTTTATAAAGTTCAGGTATAGCGATCGCTATTACAATGGAGACTATCCTGACCTCCTGAGTACTCGGGTTAAACAAAATAAACTTAACTGAATCCACAGTCGTTCTTGTTTGTACATGATCTGAATGTACTGTAGAAACACATTTTCTTGATCCAGCTTTTTCAGGTAGTTCTCTGGCCTTCAAATTGTCAATTACAGGTAGTCCCCGAGTTACGATGGTTCCGACTTACGATATTTCGATCTTACGATGGCGATAGCGATACGACAAAATTGCCATCAACAACCTAACATCGTTCAAGTATGCAGACGACGGACAGAATCTTGGTGAGTACAGCACAATATGATACGTTAAGATACGTTCAATGCATGTATGATACGTAGCTTTAGCGATTTCATTTTAAGGTTACCACGATATGATACGTTCAATGCATGTTAAAAGTTTTTATAGCAGATAAGATTGTTTCCTGAAAAAAACTTTCTATTAAATTGCAGTTAATAGAGGTAGGCTAAGAATTTACCTTGTTTTTTTAGATTACATTTTACTGTGCAATACAGTATTGTAATTAATAAATACAGTATATAGTTTATACAGTACGGTACTGTAAATTGCTCTGTTTTGCTAAATTATCACCATTCTTTAAGACTCCTGGGTAGGCTAGGCCATCTGCGACTTACGATATTTTCGACTTACGATGGGGTCGTCGTAACGCATCTCCATCGTAAGTAGAGGACTACCTGTATTCAGTTTGCCAAGATCTTCGTGGACAACGTGGCAATGCGTGTGCGAGTGTAATTAATCCACTTCAGTTTCATTTAAGCAAATTTTAAGAGGTGAATAAGTCACCGCTCGTCACTCATCACCGCTCATCACTCATCACAATATGTACGTCAAACTTATTTCGCCACCAGTACGTGGTCGATCGTTTGCCGAGCCGCCCATACTGGGCATCTGTGAAACAGATCACTCTCACGGTTCATCGGGTTCCTCCTTGCAGTCTAACGAAAGATTCTGAATTGTTTACGGGATTGTGTTGAAATCGGTTTGTGCAACCTCTTTCCTGTAGCGTGGTCAAGGTCCGTTACAGTTGCATCCCGGGAACATTTCTCGTCAATGATTATAGCACATTTCGTTGCCCAACACACGCAGTTGCCAGCGCGTGGCCAATGTTCCCATCGGCTTCATTTTCTGGTGAAGGTGGCTAAATGCAAAGCGAAAGCGTTTTTGCAGTTATTTTGCATTACGATTCTCTTTCTATTCTTACTGCCCTCGAATCGGGATTAACAAAATCCCCAGCACGCATCACGTGAAGAAGAATGTCACAGTGTCGGAGGAAGGGAGAACTACAAGTACACACATATGGGATTAGTCACAAGTAGTGACTAATCCCATATCTGCATTTGCCATAAATATGCTAAATTCCTCTTGATATGCAAATTCCTTTGTCAAGGCGCTCTTCCCCCTCCAACCCAGCTTAAATATACGCTTCCAAGCCTGGTGGTGTTCATTCAGACGCTGTCTTTCCGACAGAGCTGTCCTTCACCTGAGGACGGCTGCTTGCGTTGTGGCCGAAACGTCATGAGAATAATTTTATTATGTTTTATTTTTATTATTTTATTATTTCCCTTCTACGTGACTTTACCGAAAGAACCAAGAAGAAGTACACACGCATTGACTCGAGAAGACTGACTGATGTCCCATGACGGGAGCTACCTGAACAAAAGGGCGATCCTTGAAAAAAAAAACAGGACAGGTGGCAACCCCAATCCAGGCTTAAACCTGCTTAGCTTCTGTGAGATTTGTAAAGGTATGTGGCCTTGCCACCCGGGTTGGACCTCCAATATTTCCCAGCAACGTGTGTTCAAACGGGTTTTTGACCTCTTGAGTCTCACCAACAGTGTGTGTGGCCGCCCCCCTCCCTTATCTTGCAGATGGCCGTTGCCGACACAGCCCCAAAGATGCTGGCCCTGTACGAGCGGGGAGAGGGGGAGCTCACGTACCGCATCCCCGCCCTCCTGTACCTGCCCCAAGACCGCGCCGCGCTGGCCTTCGCCGAGAAACGCTCCTCGCTCAAGGACGAGCACGCCAAGCACCTGGTGGTGCGCAGGGTGAAGCTGGCGGACGAAGCCGGAGTCCTCAAGGTTCGTGAACCGCTTGCGGAAGGTTATGGGGGGGCCCTCACTCGCATTTTTCTGAAAGGAAACCGCTTTAATGGATGAATGGCTAAAATTGGCGTAGAATAGCGTAATGCAAAACGGTAACACCCCCGGTGTACGTCGGGGATGCGTTCCGGAAAGGTAAGACGACGAATATGGAAACGACGTAAATCAAAGAAAATTACAGGGTAGATGGAAGGTGAAGGCTGAGATGCGATGGATACGAGAAAGGACGATTTATGCTGTCAGCGATGTGCTATTTGAGGTGATGCAAATCAGGTAGCGGTATTAATAAAGTAACGACATATTTGTGAAACAACGTAAAAGGGCAAGACATAAATTAAGGGAATTACTGTATAATACAACGAGTTGGCCTGTGGCTGCATATGCAGCACTAAAGCCATGCTGCTGCTGTGCCTGCTGCACATATTTGATCCTTCTACACTTTTATAACCTTTACAGGGAAGTTCAACTTCTGTAGGCCCCGCACCTTCCTCTTCAGGCCACACCCCTTCCTCTTTAGGCCCCGCCCCTTCCTCTTTAACCCCTCCCCTTCCTCTTTAGGCCCCACCCCTTCCTCTTTAAGCCCTACCCAATCCTCTTTAAGCCCCACCCCTTTCTCTTTAAGCCCCACCCCTTCCTCTTCAGGCCCCACCCCTTCCTCTTTAGGCCCCTCCCCTTCCTCTTTGGTCCCTTCCTCTTTAAGCCCCTTCCTCTTTAAGCCCCGCCCCTTCCTCTTTAAGCCCCTCCCCTTCCTCTTTGGGCCCACCCCTTCGTTATCAGGACCTGCTTCTGTTTAGGCCCCTCTTTGTGTCCTCCTTTTTCTGTTTAGACTCCACCTCTATCCTATTTAGGCCCCACTCCTCCCTCTGGATACAGGGTTGGCCTTGATTAGCAGTGCTGGGGGTTGTGGAAGGGGGTGAGTCGTGGGTAGTAGGAGAGGCAGCTTCACGATGACCGACATCCCTCTTCAAGCAATATAACAATGGATACAATCAGGAAACACTGGGCATATATATTATACATAGGGATAGAGGCAGCCGGCATATGTCTCTCTGTGAGTCTATGACTCCCTAAGTGAACATATGGACATTTGTGTGAGTCTATGGGAAGGGGCAGTCAGTCATAGGCAGAGGACTTTATGAAGATCCCTAGTCTGGACTTGAACAGAGGCAGGGAATTGACAGCACGGATGGCTGGGGAAAGGGAGTTCCAGACAATAGGGGCAGCAGACAAGAATGAGCGAACTCACACAGTGAATGTTGACTGAAGGTTTTGACAAAAGCTTTGATTGCTGGAGCAGTCAATTAATGGAGGATTGTAGAATGAGGGGAGAGGTAGGATAGATGTCTGAGAGTGTATGGAGGGGACCACTGGTCTGCAGATCACTAGTGGTCCACTGACTACAAGTTGAGAATCAATGCTGTGAAGCATACAATGCATTCACCTTCCTGATTCTATCGCCGTGTCTCACGTTGCAGGTTGCCGACGTGGGGAAGATACAGGAGCTGGCTGCCGCCTCGATTCCCGGCCACCGCTCCATGAACCCATGCCCCGTGCTCGTGGAGAAGAAATTGTTTCTCTTTTTCATTGCGGTGCCAACCGGTCTGTCGGAGGGAGAGCAGCTAAAGACAGGGCGGAACGCGGCGAGGCTGGCCTACGCCTGCAGCACGGACCTCGGCGTCACCTGGGGCGCCGCCGTCGATCTGACCGACGCGGTTCTGGGGTCGCACGTGGGCCACTGGGCCACGTTCGCACTGGGCCCCGGCCACGGCCTCCACCTGCCCGCCAGGACGGGCAACTGCAGCAAGTTCGGGCGGATTCTCATCCCCGCTCATGCCTACTTCAAAGACGAGTTGCCCAAGAGTGACTGCCGTCCTCATTCATTCACCATTTACAGTGATGATGCGGGTAGCACTTGGAAAGTCGGGGATGCGGTGGGGGGGGGTGTAACACCGGGGAGTGTCAGGTTGCGATGGTTTCCGACGAGGCTGGACGGCCCGTCGTAATCTGCAACAGTCGCACGCTAGGGCACGAGTTCCGTGTCCAGGCCATTAGCGACGACCTGGGGAAGTCCTTCAGAGAGGGTACGGTTGTGCCCAGGCTGGTCGAAGCCGCTCAAGATTGGAACGGCTGCCACGGAAGCATCGTCAGCTTCTTGCCCGAGCTGAAGGGCAACACGACTGCCCAAGCACTGGCTCCTCTATTCCCACCCGTCCAAACCCAAGAAGCGTCTGGATCTGGGCGTCTACCTCAACAAGGCGCCCATGGCCCTGGAAAATTGGAGCGATCCTTGGGTGATTTTCAAAGGCCCCAGCGGGTACTCGGACCTGGCCGGTCTTGGCAAGACGGAGGGGGGAGGCCTGTGGTTCGGGTGCCTTTACGAGGGCGGGGAAAAAGATTCTCGAGACAAAATTAACTTTTGCATCTTCTCATTGGCTGATGTTGAGAAGTACACAGGAGTGAAACCTAAATAAATATGCATTCCTGGCAAGGTTTAAGGCATTGGAATTTCGGACCACCTTCAATCATATTTGAAAATTAAGAAACAATATTGCATACTTTACATTCTAGATTTGAAGTTTCCGTGACTGCACGGATCCATACTCTTTGGTTCTTTCGGTAAAGTCATTTTCACCTACGTGACTTTACTGAAAGAACAAAAGAGTATGTATAATACTTTACAATTTCCCCACCCCGTGTTAAAGAACGTCCCCTGGAAGTGGACTTCACGTAACTACTTCTGAGGTCGCCTCTTATCCACACAAAGCTGTGTCAGTCACAACAAAATTCATTTTAAATCCTTACTAATCCTTATAGTTGGAGTATGCCAATGTAAGCAAAACATTCTTGCCATTATTGTTTTGTGTAATCATGAGACCATCAACTCTTGAGAACCTGGTTTAAACCACCGATGGCTGAAGCTTAGATTCAAACCCAGGGCCTCGGTGGTCACAGTGCAGTGCTTGTTGCTTAGTTTTAGCCCCCCCCCCCCCTGCTATGCATGTAAACTATACCGTATCTGCATATGACATTGTGTGGATGCAATACGTTATTCCATCTGAAAGTGTTGCATTCTATAGCACGTCCTGCTTCATATTTGTTCATTAAACTTCTTTTAAACCTTCCTGGCCTGGTTTTTATTTTTTGAGCGAGACCGCTGATTGGTTGAAAATATTTGTTGCCACACCACGTCCATCACTGTCACCCTACCTTCACCATCACCGAACTATACAATGCAATGTGGGCTGTGTGTACCAGCCTAAATGGACGCCAATCAACGCCGTCTATCGTCCACAGTCCTCGGTGATCTAAACTATAAACTAATTTTAATTTGACCAGGTAAGGTCTACTGAGCTGTATGGCTCTTTTCAGAAGTGACCTGGCCACAATTGATAGCTCAACGAAGTGATTATCACGTGGAAGCTTATAGCAGCCAAATACTCTAAACGCGTGTTTCTAAATGTGGAGGGGGGGACTGGAAGATCCGGAGAAAAATCCACGTGATTACGGGGAGAACATGCAAACTTCAAATATACAGCAGGCGTCAGGGTCATGATCGAACCCATGCCTTCTTGCACACTAGGCGAGGTAGTTAACATCTCGCCACCATGGCACCCCTATCTGCTGCTGTACCAACACGCAAACCTCGTGCAGCAACACGGACAACGCAGTTTTGGGGTCTCCGACCCGAACACCTGGACCCAGTTACCCATGGATGTTGGGGAATCATCCTCGAGTCTTGAGCCAGTTTTGCAACAGACTTAAACAGTGTTGTTATTCCAAAGAGCTTACTCTGTGTGATCAGCGTACATTCATGATGGACTGGACTCATACGGGTGGGCCAAATGAAGTGTTCCTACTTGCATAGCTTCTTAACGCGGCCACATCTCAAGATGCTGTACAGAAACCGTGTAATTATTTGGTTTATAGAGAGAGGCAGTCGGTCATAGAGGGGAAAGAAGGTCTTGAGGTTAGACTTGAAGAAAATTAAATAATCCTAGAAAAAGAGCTGTTAAGCTCAATTGGCCTTACCTGTCTCCATAAAGTCTACAGTCTAAATGCCCTCAACCCAAAGCCAGTGATGCCACCCCCCTTTTTGCGGGACATTCTGCACTGGGACTCCCAAGAACCTCTGGACGACCCTGCCTGGAAAAAGTTGGAAAAAACAGCTACACAGTGATCTCTCCACTGCTGTCTGAAGGCCTCCCCAAGCCATCATCATTATCTCTCAATATTCCATCTACCACTGGCATACACGCTAATTTTATAGCCCTATCTCCACGGTGGATGCACCCGATGGCGAGTTGCCTGCCCCCCCCCCCCCCTTTGACTGCCACTCTGCCATTTGAGTTGACCACCGATTAGCTTTAATAACGTCGTATTGACAGAAATGTAATTTATTCATTACTTGCATCGTTCAGCAAAGGACCGTTGTGCCAAACGTGACTTCTTGGGACTAGCATTCGAGTAAACTACTTTTGGCTGCCATACACCGGTGTCTCGAGTGATTTGTTTGATCCCACGGATCACATGGGATGCGACCACGGGGCCGGCACCGTTCCTTTGAGGGGGGTCGCAGTCCTCACTTCGAACGTCGACCGCCAACTGAAGTGAGCTCAATTTGCTGCAGAAGTTTTGTGCATTGACAGCCCGAAGCTCTCGCTCTCCGCTGCTTTTATTCTACTGGGCGCGGCCTGGCTCCGTCCTGGCCACGCCTCTCTTGTCGAACCCACTAGAGGTTCCAGGGGCCTCCCGATGAGGTGACCCTTGCCCCAGTTCCTCCGCCCTGCCAGCACGCCCACCGTGTATATGCCCACCGGCGAGTGAGCTGCCCACCGCAGTTGCCGGTGCTGGACAGCAGTCGGCGCTGTGTCACTACACGTGCATTGTCTTTGTACTGCTCGCCTTTTGGCGTTCTCTGGTTTGACACTGGTGAGACGAGGCCATAAATTAGGCTGTCTGCTGTCTCTGGACAATGTATATGTAGGGTGCTTAAAGAAAATGTTGACACTTATATGGGACTATCGTTTTTAATGGGGAAATAACGAATACATTGTAAAGGAGAGCCGACACAAGGTTGCAGGGGGTTCGTCTTTTAATCCTTTTCTCCCATCCACACCTGTCCCCAGCCGTCTCAATCTCGTTCCCGCCAAAGCTTCCCTTCTTCCCGCCCGTTCTCCCCTTATATCTCCTCGCTTACTCCTCTCCCGTCTCCTGTCACCGTCCCACTAACCCTCCTATTGGTGGGAATCCTTCCTCTGACACCCCTACAACATGATAACAAATATATGTCAATAGCTTCAAAAAGTCAAAGCGTCTCCACTTGTTCGCCATCATTGTCAACGCGTGCCTGGAATCTTCTCCAGGTGGTCTCTAGAGCACGGAAAAGGCACATTTATTGTGGTGTTGTTGCAAATTCTCCAAAGTGTTACAAATTTTGAACCACCCTGTATAATTATCAGAGCATGTTTTATTTCCATGTTCACCACGTACAGTGTGCGGTTAATGGAGTACTTAATCCCACGGTTCTTATGCTTAATATAAAACAATCCTCCCGGTTGAAGTTGTGTCTATGCTTGTATATCTGGATGGCTTCATGGACAAATCTTTGGTAGTACCCGGGAGGTTTGATTTGTACTTAACGCGTGCCCGTGCTTAATTTGTGTTTTCGATTGACCTTCGAAAAAAATATTAATCTGGTCACGTCACGCACAGCCCCCAGAAAGGACATCTCACACCCCCAGGTTAAGAATATAAGGATAACCACTTGACTTGGTTTAGGGGCCGTCTATAAATGACGTCACGCGATTTTGGACGATTTTTGACCCCCCCACTCGTCACACGGCGTCACAAAAAGTCAGAACCCCCTCCTCAACTATGACGTCACAAAGCTCTGCCCCCCCCAAACCATATTTCCATTTTGAAAATAGAACATGCTTCAAATCGCTATAAACTATTGTCATTGTAGTGCGTATTTAATGTGGCGCTGCACTCTGATGTTGTAGGAGAAAACATTTATCAAAAAGTCTATTTAATTAAGTAGAACGTGTTGTCTATATTTATTTAAAGTTGCGCATTTTGATGTGACGTCACATTTCTCACCCCCCCCCCCCCCCCCATCACAAATGTCTGACCCACCCCCCCTAGGTGCGTGACGTCATTTATGGACGGCCCCTTAACCATTCCCGTGTGGTTCAACTTTAACTTCCTCGACCCCATAACAAAAAAAAACACAAAGTTAGACCAACCCCCCCACCACCCCATTTAGCGACGCGTGAGATCAAACTAAACACATTTGTGTTTTTTTAAAGAAAGAGACCATGATTGCTGTTATTGTTTTTTGCAACGTTGCAAAGATTTCGTAAGCGTTTAATAAGAATGCCTCGTGCTTCGCCGTCGCCGCCGCTGCTGCTGCTGCAGAAGGTCCAGTTAGTTACGAAGTGACAGCAGATGCCCTGGTTTTTAAAACTTTGCGAGACATTCTAAAGCTCGCGCAGCCGCACCAAGCTCGGCCGGATCTTAATCCCCGCCTACGCCTACTTCACAAAGGATTCTAGATTTGAAGCTTTCGTGACTGCAAGGATTCATACTCTTAGGTTTTATCGGTAAGGACACGTAGGTAAAAATTAATAATAAAAGTAAAAATAATAATATAATTTTTTTAATAAATGATTTTTAATTTTATTTCTATTTTGATTTATAATTTTATTTATATTACTAGTTCTATTATTTGAACTTTTATTATTTATTTTTACCTACATGACTTTACCGAAATAACCTAAGAGTTTCAAAAAGGATGTCCACAAGAATGACTCGCAGTCTCGCCCGTTCTCCATCTACAGCGATGACGCGGGGGTCACTTGGAAGGTCGGGGATGCGGTGGGGGGGGGGCTCTTCACACGTGTGAATGTCAGGTGGCGACGGTTTCCGACGAGGCCGGACAACCCGTCGTGATCTGCAACAGCCCCACGCTGGGGCACGAGTTCCGTGCTCAGGCTGTCAGCGACGACCTGGGGAAGTCCTTCAGAGAGGGCGAGGTTGTGCCCAGGCTGGTCGAAGATTACAACGGCCGCCACGGAAGCATCGTCAGCTTCTTGCTCGAGCTGCAGGGCGACGTGACGCCCCAGCACTGGCTCCTCTATTCCCACCCGTCCAAACCCAAGAAGCGTCTGGATCTGGGCATCTGCAAGAGGTCGCAAACGGGTTTTGATTCCTTACCCGTACCCGGCCGCACCAGGGTCGCAAATGGGTACCCGTACCCGGCCGGGTATGGGTTCCCGTTCCCTACCCGTACTCTACCCGAAATGAGTGACAAACGGTTACTCACCAGTGACTCACGGCCTACCCGTACCCGGCCGCACCAGGGTCGCAAATGGCTACCCGTACCGGGTAGGGTACGGGTATTGGGTACCCGGTTGCGACCTCTGGCATCTACCTCAACAGGTCGCCCTTGTCCCCCGAAAATTGGAGCGATCCTTGGGTGATTTTCAGAGGCCCCAGCGGGTACTCGGATCTGGCCGTTCTCGGCAAGACGGAGGGGGGAGGGGCCTGTGGTTCGGGTGCCTTTACGAGTGCGGTGAGAAATATTCCTGGGATAAAATCAACCTCGCGATGTTCCCGCTATCCCACGTTGAAAGACATACTTAAGTGGTAAAATAAGTAAGTGGTAGTGGAGAGCGGTGGCTGGTTGGCTCAGGAGTCATCGCTGTGAACCAGCAATGTTGATATCCTGTGTCCCTTTACTGACATGCTGTATCAGCGTTCTCAATCGGAGAGAGCTGCTAGTCTCAACCCAGTTACAAATGACCGCACTGTTTAAAATTTTACGCATCACCGTTGTGAATGTGGTTTAGTGAAGCTTTTCAAGTGACAAGTGAACAATATTGGCAGGAAATATGACAGATTGTGCCCCTCGAAGGAAATTAAAGGTCTCGAAATTATTTCATGAGCAGTTTAGGCATCCTCCAGACCCGCCTGCGACACACCTCGAGCCGTGACCGTTCCGAATGGAAATATCCTCGTCCCATGATAACACGCCAATAGCATGTTTGGACTGTACTTTTTAAAAAGAAAAAAAAAATACAACGCTTGAATAACTAGTGGTAGAGTTAGGTGTAGTGCATGATGCTTAATTCAACAGTTGAGAGACTGCCTGTTCAATAATACACATGCACCCTATTGTATCTTTCTCACTTCAGCTTGGGTGACATGCCAGAAACCGAATCCCCAAGTCATTGCAGAATTTCATTCGTACAAAAAACAATCACACTTTCACAAATTCACAGCAAGGCAAAACTAAATTACTACAAAACGAGCTTTATGTACAGAATCAAGACATCATTGTGGCCAAAATGGGTTGTTGCTACACCGCACCTCGCTGTCAAACGTGTTCCTACTGTCCCTCGGCCAGCTACCACAGCTGCCACACAGGAGACACGCAGCGACCTCCCCAAGATCTGCTCTCCCCTAGCCTGAGCCAAACGAGATATTGAACTTGTCAGTACCACCTGAGAGCCATAACTTTAGCAGAGTCCGATTCCTGTGTGCGGCCAATATTAGTGAATTATGTGATAACCACTTGAAATGAGTGGGGTTGTGATATACAGGGACTGCTCTACTTACAAACGAGTTAGGTTTCAGAGGTTTCTTCTTAAGTCCAACTTTACTCCTATCGATTCCAAACATCTCAATTTTGGAGCTTTCGTGACTGCAGGAATTATTCTTTGGTTCTTTCGGTTAAGTCACGTATAAAGATAAAATAATAAATTAAATAATAGCATACTACGATGTTGACTGTAACGCAAGCAATCATCATCAGGCATAAAAGAAAGAAATAGTTTTCTGGTTATATTTTGTTGCTATTTCTTTCTTTTATGCCTGATGATGATTGCTTGCGTTGCAGTCGAAACGTCGTAGTATGCTATTATTTAATTTATTATTTTATCTTTATACGTGACTTAACCGAAAGAACCAAAGAATGATTCCAAACATGTCGTACATTGGCATGTACACTAAACACGGGGAATGGCTTTAAACGTTGTATAATCTCCTGTTGATGTAGCTGCCACTGGTTCTTCATGTTTTGCAGATGTAGATGCCACCACCGCCACATGTTTGTTCGTATCTCTGAAAGTTCGTAAGTCGAATGTTCGTAAGTAGAGGCGTCCCTGTAAACCACTCTCATTCAACCACTCGAGAAAATCAGGTACCCCTAACATTTTGAAACTTTAGCCGGTTCCAATGTCTGCTTTTGGTCCGCGAAACTGCAGCCCTTCCCCTTTATTTATTTACGAGCGAAATGGAATGCCGTGCGCGAGGCGTGGTCACGGCAGGACCCACTCCCAGGCGTGCAGGGAGCCATCGTTTCCCGCGGAGAGCAGGGTCCGGGCGCGCCACGGGTGCCACGCATGCTGCGTCACCTGCGCGTCGCGAGCATCGCCCTCGACCACCGTGTGACCTTTGTGGACGAATGACGGGCGAGCGGGGGCGAGGTCCGGCGTCCAGGATGTCGTGTCATAAATATGCACCATTCCGTCAAATCCTGGTCCCCGGGAAGACACGGGATAAGATGATTAAATTGTGAAAAATAATGTCCTAACCCTTCTCTAGGAAATAGTCAATAACGCCTCTTTCCCACGTCTGCCTCCCCACTTTAAAACAACTTTTTTTTTACACTTTCCATCAGCCATACAGCCTTCTAGCAAACATTGAGCATCAGCAGTCAATCCTGTTTGAACCAATGCTGGTGACCTGGCAGATGTTTGATAGGCAAGGTCAGATATGGGTCCTAGTTTGATACAAAACTACGTGTAAAATACATAACACAAAATAATCAAGAACGTCATCGTGGAGAATGTAGGTAACAAAGCTTCAAATTAGATATATTTAGGCTTAATGGTTAATATGTAAAACATCGGCAAACTGACATTTAATGGTACTCCATATATATATTTTAAACCGTATGCCATCGTGGTGGACTATGGGTTTAAAAAATATTAAAAATAAACTTTTGTTCTATCAGTCTGTGCGCTTTCTGAACCAATTTGTTGAATGAACCAAAATGTTATTTTTACATGACCCTTGTGCTACTTTATCGACGTAGCCAGCTAAAAATCGAATTCGGCTATCCGCCAAAACCTTTCAACCTACGTGATACATCTTGGCGTTAAAATTTTAAGATTTTGTTGCCTTTTCGCTGGAGGCATTTAAATGTATTTCAATTGACCTTGAGATAAAACCACAAAAGATGAAAGACCAACCGAATGTGTCACGATTGCCAAGCCGCTGTAAGCCAATTTGTATTTCGCACATTCTTACTTTCAGCGCAGTCTGTTACTTCTACTTACTTCACCGAAATGCATTATTTAAACCCTACTTTATAAATTTTTCCCAACTGATCAAGTGAAATAATGTTATACCGCTGTACTGCAGGGGCGTATCCTTCGTTAACGGATATTAATCAAGAAAAATGTTTTCTCCAACTGTGACAAAACCACTGCGTTTACGCGGCCAACAAAAAATCACATTGCGTCGAGGTTGTCGGGAAATGGCTTTCGTACGACGATGTACAAACGGAAAGAGATTACGAGGAAGACAGGAAAAGAATGCGATCGGACAGATGACTTAAGCAAACCGATCGTCATAATGCAACGTGGAAGAGCAGCGCAGCAAGGCTGCTGGACGACGGGAGATATCTGCCGCCTGCAGGTCGCCAACCCTCTGGCAAGACGACGTCACGACACGAGTGGAAACCAAACAAATTAACCAACGAACCAGACAGGGCGATGTGCTCCGGGGCAGTCGGTGACCAGCTGACACAGAGCAGCGACTCCTCCGTCTCTTCCGGCGCCGTCACGCTCTTCCGGCAAGAGCTCTCCAAAGTGGCGGCAGCCACCACGCGATCCAGATTCCTCGCGTCGGACACGGCCACGCGCCCGCTCGCCCAAAACCTCGCCACTCGGACCCCGGGCCGTCCGGCCTGCCCACCGGAGCGGCAGCCGTCCAAGGCGGCCGTGCAGGCGCAACGGGGTCCGTCGCCGGCTTGGCTCCCCGCCTCCGGCGGCGGTGAGGGTGCCGCGTGCGCCGCCACACGCCCGGAGCGGGCGTCCAGCAGCCAGAGGTCGCCGACGTCGCCGCAGGCCAGCAGTGTGCGCCCTCCGTCCACGAACGCCAGCGCGCACAGGCGGCCGCCACCAGCGCCGCCGTCTGTCGGCGTTCAAACGCTTTAGCGGGTTAAAACTAAACTTTTACACCATTGGAACCTCATTTGCCAGTAAAAATATAATTGTTTTTTTACCCTTCTATCTGGCAACAAAACTGACACTTTTTTTACAAGGAGTCATGTTTGCATAGACCACAATACCTGCAGCTATAATGCAAACAAAAAACACAACTCTGATATATATGCACTGTGCGCCTTTCGGCGTCATCTGGTCCAACCCATGTGAGACTAGATTCTAAGGAAAGCTGTCCCGGGTGTGGACCAATCAACTTCAAGGACAGTGCATATATTATCAGTTATGTTTTTTTTGTTTGCATTATGACTGCAGGTATTGTGGTCTATGCAAACATGACTCCTTGTAAAAAAGGTGTCAGTTTTTTTGCCAGATAGAAGGGTAAAAAACCAATTATAAAACTAAACTTATTAAACTAATTTTAATTTACCAGGTGAGGCTCACTGAGCTACGTAGCTCTTTTTCAGAAGCGACCTTGGCCACAAATGACAGCTCGACTAAGTCGGCTGATCATCACTTGGAAATTTATGAGTAGCCAAACACTCTTAAATGCGTGTTGTTGATTCTAAATGTGGAGGGAAAAACCGGAGGACCCGGAGAAAAATCCATGCAAGCACAGGAAGGGACATGCAAACTCCAAATATACAGCAGGCGTCAGGGTTGGGATCGAACCCAAGACGTCCTGTATACCAGGCGAGGGAGTTAACATCTCGCCACCGTGGCACCCAGGTTAGTGCCGCTCACGTTCACAAACCAAAAGCAGATGCGGATACCTGATGCACAAATGGAAGGGAAAAAAACTCTCCAGTGTGCGACTGTGGTCATCCAGAACTGACCGTACAACGTAGAACGCAATGCCCGATCCACAAATTCCAAGGAGAGGTCAAGGCGATACACTCCGCTACTGCTCCTGACGCGGCTATCTGGCTTGACCACCTGAATGTGAAACTGTAACCGTTGCTCCGTATGAAAGAAGATAGGTGATACCAATTAGGGATGAGATTGAAAATTTTCAGGTGACAGTTTGGGATTTTTTAGGCCAATTTCGGATCGTTTTTCAGTTGCCCGTATTATTCACGTCGTATGACAATCGCGTAAGCGATCCGAAAGTGCGGACAGGACCGTCGCAGGGTTGTGATGTCACGGAAGTTCCCGTCTTATTTTGACGTGGTGAATTGTTCTAAATAATAATAATCACGGTACAAGTGTCAAACTTTTCAGCACCGTTTTAAAGCGCGGCACTCAAGTGTCACGTAGAATTTCGGAACGGACAATAGCGATATCATCCCGTCTGCACAACTGATATTATAATTGAGATACATATTTTTTTACTTACAACACAAGACTAACATTTTTCTTTACAATCAAAGTCCGCTACCGATGACGGCGTCGCCGAGACAGAAGGTGGCTTGTCGCGTGTGCAGGTCCGTGGTCTGGACGGTGCCGATGCTGGACCCATGCAGGAGGAGCTGGTCCGATGAGCAGCACATGTGACTCCACTGCGGCTCTCTCCGGCTGTTGTGGATCTCGCCCACATTCCTCACCACATCTGGCGCGTGCAGCACAAACACACACACACGTGCAGTCCCGGTGGCTGCCCCCCTCCTCCACACTCGCCGCGCACTGATGAGCGGCAGATTTTTACAAAGATTCATGAGCATCACTTGTGGGTACTTCCAGCTCTTCAAAGATGTTTGGTTGGCAAGCGTATAAAAGTAGGCCATACACCTCTTAGAGGGCCTCTCAAGAACTTACTCTTGTCGAGGCCATGGTAAGCCAGCGGATAAAGTTAGGGCAATCTTCACTGGCCATGTCATATGATATGAGCAAAAGAGTTTTGCTGGCTGCCTGGTGGGCAGCTGGGGCGCCACGGTGGCAAGAAGTTAACTACCTCGTCTGGTATACAGGAGGTCGTGGGTTCGATCCAAACCCTGATGCTCGTACATTTGGGGTTTGCATGTTCTCCCCCTGATCGCGTGGATTTTCTCCGGGTCCTCCGGTTTTTCCCTCCGCATTTAGAAGCAACGCGCGTTAAACTATCATTTGTGGCCAGGTCGCTTCTGAAAAAGAGCTACATAGCTCAGTGGGCTTGACCTGGTAAAATAAAAATTGTTTAATTTAAGTGCGCTATAAGATCGCTCGCCATCCCACAGCATTGGGTCAGGTCCGTGTGTCGTGCTGGCGTCATGCCTTCTCCCCTCTACCCTCTACCCAGGCCGCACGAGCAGTGCCAGTTTGTCACTGAAATTTACTTTGCAGTGTGATTTTACACGTAAAAAATGCGGTTGTCCAAGTCTGGACTAATCTGATCGCTACTCTCCCCAGTGGACATCTGCAATGGTAACATCCAATCAGATAACAGAGATCACATGACAACAACCCCAGCTTGTGTGCTCTGTGAACCAATCATCATCCACTACACTTTTCATCAAACCCTTTTTCCGTTGGCTTGACAAAACTCTATCATTACATGCCAAACAACTATGATAATTTTTTATTTAAAGCTTTTGTGACTGCAGGGATTCATATTCTTGGTTCTTTCGGTAAATTCACATAGAAGGGAAATAATAAAATCTTAATAAAAATTAGATTTATAAAAATTAGATTTTTATTATTTCCCTTCTACGTGACTTTACCGAAAGAAGCAAGAATATGAATGGGAAAATAATATATTTTTTAAATATTTTTATTATTTCCCTTCTACGTGAATTTACCGAAAGAACCAAGAATAACTATGATAATATTCACGATTTATCGCCCTTTGTCAAAACAAAGCTGAAGGCCTCCCTACTCTGCTTCAGTCAAGGGGGTTGCTTGACCATACTTCACCACGCTGCTCAGCACAAGTTGTGATGCGGAAGATAAACCCAACCCCCCCCACCCCGTTTGGATATCACTCACCACAGATGTCAGCCATGAGCCGGGATTCCAACGCACGGTCGATGGATTCATTGTGCGGTGTGCCCCAGAGGTCGCAAAAGGGTTTTGATTCCTTACCCGTACCCGGCCGCACCAGGGTCGCAAATGGGTACCCGTACCCATACCCATACCCCGCCGGGTACGGGTACCCGTACGCTACCCGTACCCTACCCGAAATGAGTGACAAACGGTTACTCACCGGTGACTCACGGCCTACCCGTACCCGTACCCGGCCGCACCAGGGCCGCAAATGGGTACCCGTACCCGGCCGGGTACGGGTAGCGGGTAGGGTACGGGTATCGGGTACCCGGTTGTGACCTCTGGTGTGCCCACCCCTCCGCCAACCCCTCCGTGATAACCGACAGCTTACGTGCGTCTGTTTATGGCCGTTCTCGTGTCCCCTCCATCTCTCTCTCTCCCCGAAGTTAGAAGCGGAGGCGCGCGTTCACTCACCCGTGTCGTCTCCTCCCCTTTGCCAGAGTTGGACGGAGTTGTCCGTAGGGCCGCTGCTCAGCAGCAAGCTAGGAGTGGAGCGAGGGAACAGCGATCAGCTCCCCGAGTGATATTGGTGCTGGAACGTGGTGATGCCCGTATCTTAAGCGGTATTGAAATAAAAATAAAAACTTCCGGGATGCAAAGATTTTTTTAAATTGGAATCCAATTTCTTTAGAACTGTTGTTTGTGTTAAGCTTATTGTCCTTTCCCCCCATACCTCTGTGGGGAAGGACATGCATGCGTACAAAATAAGACGGGAACAGAATCATTGAGCATTTAAAACGCACGTTAAATACCACATAACAAGCGTCACGTGCGTGACACAGAACATGCAAACTCCAAATATACAGGCGTCGGGGTCGGGGATCGAACCAGCAACCTCCTGCATACCAGGCGGGGTAGTTAACATCTCGCCACCGCTTGCCTGTCAAGCGCAACAGTCACGGTAGCAGCAGCAATAGCAGCTGCTGGTGGTGGTGGGGAATCAACTGCTTGTCTGTCAAGCGCAACAGTCGCGGTAGCAGCAGCAATAGCAGCTGGTGGTGGTGGTGGGGAATCAGTTGCTTGCCTGTCAAGCGCAACAGTCACGGTAGCAGCAGCAATAGCAGCTGGTGGTGGTGGTGGTGGGGAATCAACTGCTTGCCTCACCTGGTACCCCGAACGCTCTCCAAACGGTACACTGGCCGGTTCGAGAAGCCTCCGTGCACCACCTTGAAGTCGCGCTCCGGACACATGCCCTGCCGAGCGACGGGAAAGTGGCCGGAGAGAAACGGTGAATTGAAATCACCCGCAATGCCCCTCCCTCCCTGCTACATTGTTTTTATAGCATTATTTTAGTGATTTCTAGAAAGGTTTAGTTTAGCCATATTTGTTTGATGTAGATTAAAGGTAGACTTAGAATTTTTTATCTAAATTGTATTATGATTCTTCTTCTTGGTTTTTTTGGTAGAGTCACGTAGAAGAGAAATTATAAAAATAAAACATAATAAAATACAATTCTCATGACGTTTCAGCCACAACGCAAGCAGCCGTCCTCAGGTGAAGAACAGGTCTGTCGGAAAGACAGCGTCTTTATTATTTTATTATTTCCCTTCTACGTGACTTTACCGAAAGAACCAAGAAGATGAATCCCTGCAGTCACGAAAGCTTTAAATCGAAATGTATTATGATTGTTATTGTGATCTAACATCAAAATGTGATTTTTGTACATTTTTGTACGCAGCATAAACAAATGGTGCTTTTTCTGGAAAATTTGATTGATTTTGTAGGGGATGTTTCAAATGTGCGTGCAGTACATTTTAAACGCATCTTTAAATGTTATTGTTTGTTGCGGTCGCACCCGAATCAAGAGCCGAATGGCTCACAGGGTCATTCCAAATAAACGAAACTGAAAACTGAAACTGCCCAACCGCCTCCCCTCCACCTGCGCATTGCTTGGATGTGCGACCACCACACACAACGGCCCGGTAAGAGGCTGCGGAACAAGGCGGCGGTCAGCAGAGGGCAATGCGGCATAACGGGCGATTCTGTCACGTGCGCTTCGTTGAACGCTGTGAAAGAGTTGTTGCTGTCCGTGATATTTTCGCCATGGTTTTTATCGCGACCGTGCGATCTGCGCCACGTCGCCAGACGGGGAATCCCCTGCGACCTCCCGCAGAGCAGTGCGACCCTTCGCGTTGGAAAACGGCCCGCGGAAGCGGATATTGCAGAGCTACTTCTGAGATTCCTTCAAGCGACCTCTGGTCCACACGCAGTAGAGGGCAGCACTTGCCACGTGCGTTGTATTACAATTCTCAGAGCTGGATTTTTTTTCCAAAATTAAGTGCAAGAACCAAATTCGATGTCACGGGCTTTGCTATGCAGTCATTGGGAGGCCAGGCTGAGACTATCAACTACCAAAACTTGAGATCCAAATTGAACCACGACTCAAGTCTTTGCGTGAGTCTAGAGGTCCCCTTTGTGAGTCACCATTGGGCGTGCTGAGGCCATCGACTCGTTCCACCCGGGAACCCAGTTCAATCACGGGCAGCGGCTGAAACCCTCAATTCAAACTCAGGATCTCGGCGTTGCCAGCACATCGTCTCTCCGACCTCTTGAGCCAACCCCAGCCTCCTCAAATACTCACGGCTGATAACCGGAGCCTGCACCGCACCTCGTTGCGACCAAAGGCGATGACGCCATCGCATTTGCGCAGATTTGCCAGCCGAAGCCTCTACCCCCCCACCCCTTCGCCTTTTCTGACTTTGGGAGCTGGGTTATCCGGGACGTGTCTCGACCTTAAGACACGCGCCGTCTACATCGCAATGAACGTCAAGGGATCCTGTGACGTCATTCCAAAGAGTAGGCAAGCCACGCGTGGCCAGCAACACGCTTTTAAAGTTTTGCCAATTAAAATAAAAACTCGGAAATTACTTAATTTGAAAATAAACCTAAAACTATTTGAAACTATATACCAGTTAAGGCCCATTGAACTCTATAGCTCTTTTTCAGAAGTGACCGGGCCACATATGATAGTGCAACAAAGTGGCTGATATGGAAATTTATAGCAGCCAAATACTCTTAAACGCATGTTTCTAAATGTGGAGGAAAACACCAGAGGACCACGCGACCAGGGGGAGAACGTGCAAATATGCGTCAGGGTCGGGATCCAACCCACGATATCCTGTATACCAGGCGAGGTGGTTAACATCTCGCCACCGTGGCACCCAACAGCAACATCATCTCCCCCTACTGCCAGAAAAATGCCCACTCCCCAGGCCGGCTCTGTGTTCCACATTGTACCACACAGGGACAGCTGCCATCCCGGGAAGGGGAGGGACGACGACCCTCGGAGGGGGGCAGGAAAAAAAACCCTACTGCGCTTTGAGATGTTTGTTACGGGTGCAGGATAAATGCAACTCGTTGTTATGGTTGTTGTCTGGTTGTGTCCGGTCACACCTGCTTCTCCTTGGGCAGAAGTTTTTGCGGCAGCCCCAGCTCAAGGATCTCGTTTTTCTTCTCCGAGTTGAATCCGGCGACGCACACACCTGACGGACGGACAGACAAGACGTGTCTTGGCCTACGCAAACACACAGAGGGGCCGTGTCCCCCCTGCGTGGAAAGCACGCGGATTCATTATTTAGTTCTAATAACACATTCCTGCGGAGGGAGCTGGTAGGAACGTTGGGTTGCTCGGTCAATGGCCAGGGTCAACGGCGGCGTGGTGTATTCCGCAAATATGCCCGACTGTGAGGGCGGGCACAAGCCGGCGTGAGTAGGTTAAACATTGAATTTTATAAGGGCACCACGGGGTGACCAGACCCTCCCCACCCAGCCCCACCCCCCACCCAGCCCCACCCAGCCCCTCCCCACCCAGCCCCTCCCCACCCTCCCCACCCAGCCCCTCCCCACCCAGCATCACCCTCCCCACCCAGCCCCTCCCCCACCCTCCCCTCCCCACCCAGCCCCTCCCTCCCTACCCAGCCCCTCCCTTCACGACGGACTGACACAATAATCCCCCGTGGGCTGGTGTAACCAGGAGGTTCCTACCAGTATCATTATAAAGAACACTTGCTGTACGCAGGCAAGACTCCCCGAGTCTCCACGCTTTTTCAAGAGGCTCGTGCTAAGTGTTGGCGGTAGCGGGCGACGACCGTTATACGTTTTCCAAACGTGGCAAGTTTTGCCCGTCACGTTGACAACACAGACGAGGGTTGTGGCGTTGAACGGAGGCGGTCAGGTGGACGGAGCGAAAGAGAAGTGACGAAGTTCTAGAGCATGTTCAGGAGAAGAGCTGATTGGAACGATCCAGGCAAGATGACAGATGTGCATTGGGCACATTCTCAGAGGTGATGGAGGAAGTTTTCTGTAAGGTTGTGGGTAAAGCGGCCAACAGGCCCATCCCGTCCTCGAAGCTCCCAGTCTCCACCCTCCCTCTCTGTGCCTCCCTCGCCCTGCGCCCAGTCTCGCGCTCTCACTCCTGTTTCTCTTCTTGCTCCCCTTCACTGGAACCAACTCCCCCCACTGCAACACACAGAGCGATCATCTTAACTCTCATCATCTTCCATTCCTCCCTTAAAACAACCCCCAGATCTTCTCCCTCGCCGATCCAACTGCTACTCCCTGCCCCGGCCTCCCAGCTATGACCAGGCCTACCCCAAACCCTATTACTACCCCAACCCCTATCACTACCCCAACCCCTATCACTACCCTTATCACTACCCCAACCCCTATCACTACCCCAACCCCTATCACTACTCCAACCCCTATCACTACCCCAACCCCTATCACTACCCAAACCCCTATCACTACCCCTATCACCACCCCAACCCCTATCACTACCCAACCCCTATCACTACCCCAAACCCTATCACTACCCCAACCCTATCACTACCCCAACCCCTATCACTACCCCAACCCCAATCACTACCCCAACCCCTATCACTACCCCAATCACTACTCCTACCCAAACACTCCCACCTGTCCTCCTTACTGTCACCATACCTCCGCCACTTTTAATAACCCCACTCTTTACATTTACTACGGGAATCGAATGTACAATTTGGATAATTATTGTAAAGCGCCTTGGACAAAGGCGCTTTATTAATCAAGACGAATATGTATGTATGTAGAACTTCTTTCGCACCATACGTAGCCAACCGTGCTAATCGGAGGTGCGGGGGAAGAATAAACAAAAAAAAATAGAGGGAACGTGAATTAATGGGGAGAAATGTCGTCGCACACTCTCCTTCACATCATTAGCACGGTTGGCTCTATACGGTGCGAAAGAAGTTTAACGCAAAAAACCCAAAGATAAAGATCCCCCGTATAGCCTTAACAGACTGTTGGGGCAAGTGCTGTTAGCGAGCACCTACACATACACATGTACGCGGTCCCCCATCGTCGTCGCGTCGGACTCACTGTTGTCGTCCACCCACTCTATGGTCCTCGTGGGCTCCTGCAGATCGAACATGTGCAGCTCCTTGTAGCTGTGGGGACACGAGCACGCGGCGCAAACGCAGAGGTCACGGCCGGCGCGAGAGGTCGCGAGCGACTGCATTGCAGCCGTAGCCCTTTGCTCGGCTCGCTCTCCACCTCGCGCAATGCTCGTCGTCGAGTCCCGAGCCTGCGGGTTTCACGACCGCTTGAAATCCACAGGCTCGGTCGGTCAATCGATCCGAAGTTCGTAACGCGCTCCATGTTCAGCGAAGAGCTCAAGATGGGAGCGCGCGGATGGCACCGGACATTTTTAAACTAAACGCGAGTAGGAGGAGCACATCATCATCATCATCACGGTCCATGGGCAGATAGCTCGTAGGTGTCAACTGCACATTTTGTAATGTGTTCCCACTTTCCTGTCTTGTGCACAACATGCTCAAGTAGTGCAACATCTTTCTGGCACCAATCTCGTGTCGTCATCAAGCCATTCTCTGTTAGGTCTGCACTTGTGCAGGTGCTGGGTGGATCGTTAACATCGCAGCATCGCGAGAGACGGCTACGGCTTGAGAAGATCATCCAGCAGCGGATTGACCGTGGCTGATTGTTATTATTGTTGTTGCTAACACGCAGTGGGGTTGTATAGGGATATGATTAATATGCAATGGGAGTTCACAGAGGCGTGGTTTTTAACGTGCAATAATGTCATTGAGAGGCGAATGGTTGACATGAAGTATAATTTCATAGATATAGGACCGGGGTATAATTTCTCATGGAACATTTTACGGGGCTTCCAAAGCACCAACCTCCAACTCCCCTGGACCCATATAGACCCCCCCCCACCCTCCACCAACGACAAAATAAAAATTAAATTTTCCGGAGTTCAGCCCTGGACAGCTCCGGCTGCAATGAAACCTTGGACAACAGGATAACAATGTCGACATACAATTGAATTATATACGCCCAGCTGTGTCCATACACAATCACGGTAAGTTCAATAGTATGCTCTTATATCAGCGCACAACTTTATCTATCTGTGATGAACGCTGCACTTTCCGTCGTTTTCATGCTGGGGGCGCTGCAAACCCACGCGCTCCCTGCATGAACGATGGAGGCGCAGGGACAGACGTTCGATCACGTTGGAATCGATCTGCAGACGGCGGTCTTCTCGCACGGCCAGCAGCTCCGTGTCGCCTTATCTCGATCCCCGCAATTCCAAACGGGTGAAAGTCCGCATCGAATCGAACCCCCAGCAAGGCTATCGACTTAACGACGAGAGAAAATTCACATGAAATCTCGTTTTCAATTAAGTCTTCCAGATGTAAAATGACATAAGCTTTTAATGAAGAAATAAAATTATCTAATTCTAAACACAATACAATTCAAAGATGTTTCATTTTAAAACTTCAAAACGGAGCATCGGGTGCTCGCGTGAATGCGTCGTTGGTGTGCAATTTGTTTTGTGACTTTCCTGGCCGAAGGTCGTAAATGTATAAAAAATAATTGCATAGTATAGCCCCCTAATAAGGAAAAGGATTTGTCCAAATTCACTAAAAATGAGACATCTGGACACACACACACCAACCGAATTATCAGACGCACCCGCAACATTTGCTTTAAACACGCAGCGGTAAAAGATGCGTTTTGCCATCCAGACAATACGATATTCATCCGGTCATTCAAACACTGCATCGCGACTCTGCACAAATACAAAATACAACACAGGGTTGGGCGGTTAGTACCCACACAGGTTGAGCCCGTACCAGCGTTTAAGACAGTTGGGATATTGCGACTTTCTCGCCCACCGTGCAAGGGCTACGGTGGGTCCGACTTTTGTTGAGCAGTGGCCCAAACAAGCGACATCGGGTGGCGCCCTCTGGCGAGAGAGAGAGCCGCAAGGGAGCATGACCGTGGCACGCGAGACACATCCAGCGTGGAGGGAGATGGAGCGATGGAATCAGCTAGCGTGCAAGCTGCCAAGCGGTCTGTCACATCGCAGGATTGCGAGAGACGGTGGCGACAGTTCCGGGGGAAATCTTTATCCAGACGTCAACGCTTTCGTCAATAACGCGACTTCAAAAGGAAACGATAGGAGACGTTTCAGGCAACGGGCCCTCTCCTTCAAAGCACGCAGGCGAATCTACCTCTCTGGCATCTGTGCTGTGAAAGGCCATCGCGCGAAACGTGTTTAGTGAATTACACTATGTAACACAATTTTTGTTCCTGGGTAGTGTTATTTCGTAATTGCTTATGCCTAAAAAGTATAGAAAATGGTTATTTTTCACCACAAACTTTGCTTTTGTGACCAGGACAGTGATATTTTGAAATTTACCTATTTTCAATGAGAAAACGGGCGAATTTGTGTCTTTATACAAAGTAATACAAAAATGACTACAGAAGATTTATAAGTGACTAGTTTTTCAACATTTATGATTATACTGTAAATGACTTTCACGAATCAGCCCACAAATGTAGTCTCACATCATGTTCTCGTTCTTCTGTCCTTGGTAGCGATGTTCAAAGTCGAGTAAATCCTGATAGAAGCGCTCGCCTTGCTCCTCCGAGTACGCTCCCATGTTTTTCTTGAATTTATCAAGATGAGCATCAAGGATATGGACTTTGAGGAACATCCTACAGCCCATTGTGCCGTAGTTCTTCAGAGTCTCAATCAGCTCCATAGTTTTAGACATTGCGATTGCCCAGGAAGCCACGAACCACTGCGACAAAGCTGTTCCAAGCCGCTTTCTCCTTACCAGTGAGCTTCTTGGGGAATTCATTGCACTCCAGGATCTTCTTTGTCTGTGGTCCGACAAAGACACCGGCTTTGACCTTTGCCTCAGACAACTTAGGGTAGAAGTCTTGAAGGTACTTGAAGGCTGCCGACTCATTATCTATCTACAGCTCTGACAAATTTTTTCATAAGGCCCAATTTGATGTGCAGTGGTGGCATCAGCACCTTCCAGGGGTCCACCAGTGGCTCCCCCATTGACGTTGTTCCTCCCCACAGAGAACTCAGTCTGCTGTGGCCAGTCCCGCCTGTGGTAGTGCGCCTTGGTGTCTCAAAATGTAGTAATTTTTGTATTATTTTAGTATAAATACATGTTAGTTGTGATTATTGTTGTTTTTCTGACTTTTATGTGAACGAAAAGACACAAATTCGCCCGTTTTCTCATTGAAAATAGGAAATTTTCTAAATATCACTGTCCTCGTCACTAAAGCAAAGTTTGTGGGGAATAATAGCCATTTTCTGTACGTTTGAGGCATAAGCAATTAGGAAACAACACTTACTACCCAGGAACAAAAAATAATAATTGCTACACAGTGTTATCATGGTGTACCACTGCCAACGCAGCAGCAACATCACCAAATAATGCTTTATCCAGAAGTGTCTGTCGGTAAAATGATTTATGATAATGAATATGACCAAGATGAATGGTGGTGGTGGTGATGATGAGTATGAATGTTTGAATTTAGACGATGTGTTGATGATGACAGGTAAGGAAGGCAACGAGGGTGGCGACTAAGAAGACGACACTTGCTGATGCCAATGACGGTGAAGATGACGTTACTCACACTACAATTATAACAATGGGAACTAAGACAGCTATCGCTGCTACTGCTGGTGCATGCTGATGGAGAGGACAATATTGCTGATGATTATATTGCTGCTGCTGATACTGCTGCTGATGATTATATTGCTGCTGCTGATGTTAATGCTGCTGCTGTTAATTCTGATGTTGCTGCTGCCGATGATGATGCTGCAGCTGATGATAATGCTGACGTTGCCGCTGATGATGCTGATGTTGATGTTGCCGCTGACGATGATGCTGCCGCTGATGATGATGCTGATGTTGCCGCTGATGATGATGCTGATGTTGCCGCTGATGATGATGCTGATGTTGCCGCTGCCGATGATGATGATGCTGATGTTGCCGCTGATGATGATGCTGATGTTGCCGCTGCCGATGATGATGATGCTGATGTTGCCGCTGATGATGCTGCCGCTGATGATGATGCTGATGTTGCCGCTGATGGTGATGTTGCTGCTGATGATGTTGCCGCTGATGATGATGCTGATGTTGCCGCTGATAGTGATGTTGCCGCTGATGCTGATGTTGCCGCTGATGATGATGCTGATGTTGCTGCCGCTGACGATGTCGCGGTTTTCCTTACGCGAGGATGGACTCCAGCAGCCACGCGTCCGCCTCCATGGCGACACGTGGGCGCCTCCACTTCCGGCTTCCGGCTTCACACCGGAACACGTGGAGGGGGTGGGGGGGGCTTACCCATGACGTCACTGCGCTTACTTGCAATGCCCTTGGTTTTAAACAACGATTCGGATACGGTAATTGCATTTGAAATGTACACTTTTATCGCTCTATATGTTTTTTTTGCTAAAGCTGAGGGGCCGTCCATAAATGACGTCACGCACCTGGGGGGGGGGGGGGGTCAGACATTTGTGACGATGTGTGACTAGGGGGGGGGGGTTGAGAAATGTGACGTCACATCAAAATGCGCAACTTTAAATAAATATAGACAACACGTTCTACTTAATTAAATAGACTTTTTAATAAATGTTTTCTCCTACATCAGAGTGCAGCGCCACATTAAATACGCACTACAATGACAATAGTTTAAAGCGATTTGAAGCATGTTTTATTTTGGGGGGGGGGCAGAGCTTTGTGACGTCATATTTGAGGGGGTGGGGTAAAAAATCGTCCAAAATCGCGTGACGTCATTTATGGACGGCCCCTTATCTCACCGTTCTGATGTGTCCGAATGCTATGGAAATCTGCATGAATACGCACGTCACGTAGGATGGATGGGTTATGCAGAATGTGTGAACGATCCCTAATACCGGTGGAAATGATTATTGTTTGTTTCCCAGCGCTAGACGTTTGAAAGTTGAGTTTCTGCCTTTGGGGCCGTCCATAAATGACGTCACGCGATTTTGGACGATTTTTGACCCCCCCCCCCCTCGTCACACAAAAACTCAGACCCCCCCCTCTCAAATATGACGTCACAAAGCTCTGCCCCCCCCCCCCAAAACCATATTTCTATTTTAAAAATAAAACATGCTTCAGAAAACATTTATTCAAAAGTCTATTGAATTAAGTAGAACGTGTTGTCTATATTTATTTAAAGTTGCGCATTTTGATTTGACGTCACATTTCTCTTTGTCGTAATTGTATATTCAGTGACTTACAATGTTTAGAACGCTGTAATATCTGATTGTTGATAACACCCATATGTATATGATCACAATCATACGTGCTCTCGATATCACATGTGTATTGTTATGCTCCACAATGTGTAATTATATTAATATTTACTCTTTTTTGTGTTGTAATTTTTGAAAATAGTTTGTGTGTTTTTTTCTATTCAAACACCGGCAGTCAGTCGACTAAAAGATTTGGGGGTGGGGGTTTTTCGACCATACTTCACCACTCTGGTCACTGCGGGTTGCTAAAGGCCTGGCAGTAGAGCCTTGTGAGGCACAGAATCACGAGGAAATTAACTTGATTACACTTAAATTTCGATTTAAAGCTTTCGTGACTGCAGGGATTCATCTTCTTGGTTCTTTCGGTAAAGTCACGTAGAAGGGAAGTAATAAAATAATAAAAATAAAACATAATAAAACAATTCTCACGACGTTTCGGCCACAACGCAAGCAGCCGTCCTCAGGTGAAAACTAGGTCTGTCGAGGCGACAGCGTCTGAGTGAGAATTATTTCATTATGTTTTATTTTTATTATTTTATAACTTCCCTTCGACGTGCCTTTACCGAAAGAACCAAGAAGTTGATTATACTTCCCTCTGCCTCCCACCACATAATCCCGCAGCAGCCTATAGCACCTATGACATGCGTGTGGTGGTTGCCAATCTGAGCATTGGCCAGGCTGAACTCCGCTTAGCTTCCGAGATCTGATAAGATAAGTTTGCATTCCGGGTGATTTAATCATTGGCTCAATGGGCAATTATCTGGTTTAAAATCTCATCTGTATACCTCATGGCGACATTAATTCTTTATTCAATTTGGTAATTATGAATGCGACGTTCATAAGTTGCAGTGTGCTATGGCAGAATGTGATTTACGCCATTATATTAATTTCATATTTAAAATGTTAAAGAAATGTATTATCACCACCACCATCATCATAAGCAGCAGCAGCTGTGATCGATCCACTGCTGGAGGCAAAGCCGTAGCCATGGTGTCAACATTTGGGGGGGGACCAAATCTTCCAGGGGGGTGTGAGGGTCCCCCCCCAGAATAAATTATCTAAATTTGAAAACGAATTTCCTGCCATTCCCTGCCTAAAATATAAAAAAAATTCACTTACACATACGATTGAGTTTTCATAATTATTTTTACAATAGTGTATTGCTCTATTTCGATTTAAAGCTTTCGTGACTGCAGGGATTAATCTTCTTGGTTATTTTGGTAAAGTCACGTAGAAGGGAAATAATAAAATAATAAAAATAACGCAAGCAGCCGTCCTCAGGTAAGGACGGTTGCTTGCGTTGTGGCCGAAACGTCGTGAGAATTATTTTATTATGTTTTATTTTTATTATTTTATTATTTCCATTCTACGTGACTTTACCGAAAGAACCAAGAAGATGAATCCCTGCAGTCACGAAAGCTTTAAATCGAAAAAAAGCAAGCCGTTTTTAATTTATTATGTTTAATTTGTATTATTTTACTATTTCCTTTCTACGTGACTTTACCGAAAGAACCAAGAAGATGAATCCCTGCAGTCACGAAAGCTTTAAATCGAAAAAAAAGCAAGCCGTTATTTATGTTTAATTTGTATTATTTTACTATTTCCCTTCTACGTGACTTTACCGAAAGAACCAAGAAGATGAATCCCTGCAGTCACGAAAGCTTTAAATCGAACAAAAAGCAAGCCGTTTTTATTTTATCATGTAAAATTTGTATTATTCTACTATTTCCCTTCTACGTGACTTTACCGAAAGAACCAAGAAGATGAATCCCTGCAGTCACGAAAGCTTTAAATCGACAAAAAGCAAGCCGTTGCCATTCGTCGCATTCTCGCGATGCCACAGTGCACCCCACCCCGCGTGGCTTCTCCGCACGAGCCGGTGATGTCCCCCCGACGTCTGCACACGCGACGTCCATTCATACAAATCGTGCGCCTTATCGTTATTGTATGAATGCCTCTTCCGTGTGCTCGAGTGCTCTTGCTAAATCGATATCGTGTCTGCTCCATAACACGAGAATTCACTGATAAAACATGAAAAACCAATAAAAAAAACAACGGGATTGATGTTTGCACGTGTCTGTTATACGCGGCTCGCGGCCAACTCGGCCGTCTCATTATTTCAGATGAGTCGGGAGGTTATTGCCAATCGTATACGAGATAATTAATAATCGCGCTACTAATTGCCCGCACCTGTCTTGCGGTGCGCATTGCTGCTCCCGAAATGAACACCGGGAGGATGAAGGGAATTGTGTGGGGGTTGTTTTTGTAAAATCCTTTATATTAAGTTCACTTGCTTGCTTGCTTAGGACTGTGCAAATCTTTCGGTCGTTTTTTAACCCACTTCCCGTGATCCAATCGAGCTGACATTTTCCACACATACTTGTTGTGCGTGACAATTAATGTTCGTGAACATTTTTTTCCAAAATTTTACACTTTTTAGGACAAAAAAAATTATATTTAATTACCAATTGCTTAATGGTGCCATGCAATCATCTGACCCATAGGTGGCAGCCATCTCAAGCCAGAGGACGAGAGGACTCTAGCCGCCACGCATATAAAGGATGTATAGTGAAAAACTTTGTTTTTACGGGTTATACTTGTTATTTATTTGAAAAACTCTAGTTGAAGAACTCCAGTTTTGGTTTGCACCAAACAATTTCAATGCTGTTGGCCTTTGAGTACAACCGTAGTAAGGTTCGAACCCGGTATCGTCCCACCAGCCAGACAGATGGTTGAATTGGAATGTTGAGTTCAAATCCTGATTTGGGGGGGGGGGGCGGGGGGGAGGAGTTCGCTCAGCCCATCACTCCTGGTCCGATAAAATTAGTACCACTTTGTAAGGAAGTCAACGGTGGTTTTGTCCTATATATACACTTTCGCCCTGGCCATAGAAATGTGGAGTTTTCACCACTGCCTCTGGGCTGTAAACGTTTGATCAGCACCAAACAATTTAATTTTCGAGACTATCAATGGAGTCGCAGCCAAAGGAGAGAATTCGACTGAGAAGGGGCACAACCACAGCGGAGATGGAGCGACGAAATCGGATCGTGTGGAGGTGCAACAAGGTGGTCCAGATGTCTTGTGATAACCCCCCCTCCCCTCATTTCATTCTATAACTTAATATATTTTAAAGTAAGGTTTAGTTAAAACAGAAATTAATACTGTCATGTAGATAGGTTATTTGAACCTATTTACACAACTTTACCGAAAGACCCAAAGAATATGAATTCCTGCAGTCACGAAAGCTTTAAGTCAAGAAATTAATAAGCAGAGGAAAAAAATGTCAGGGGTCAATTAATTCGTGATAACAGGACATCTGGACCACCCCGCACACGATCTACGTGCTGTATATATAGATTTATATTTAAGAGAAAGCGACGTCTCCTTGTCGAGAACGCGAGTCGCGCCGCTCTGCAGGATTTCCGAATGGATTCATCGTTTCGTGACGTTTCAATCCCACACAATGGGGACACAATTGGGGGGGGGGGGGGGTTATGACGACATTAACAATTGAGGGGGGGGCTTAGCTGTTCGTGTGTGGTGGTGGGGGGGAAAGGTACATTAACGTTTAATTGACTTTCCCATCCGCAGCACAAACACTCGTGGCAAAATCATTATAAATTGTTTTTATTTTATTGTTTAATTCGTTTTTTTTCTTCTTCATATTCCAGCAAGGCGCGCCGAGCCCAATAGCCCGTTCATTACATTAAGCACATCCCTCGCCCGGGTTAATCTATCAACTACTCAAACACAATCAGACATGACCAATGAGATTCTATTTGTGCATTAGCCTTTTCGCAACGTATTAAAGTGCTCGCGAAATCAAATCTTCCATATTGATTGCACATTTGCTAAACACAATTTGAAGAAATCGGATTATTCCGAAATGCACTCTGCCGAGAGGCAGTTAACGCCGACAAAAATCCATAATAATTAACAAGCGTCGGCGCCCCGCGGGCGAAGCCTTTCCGCGTGATTATGGCTCCAAATCATGATTACCGATGTGTTTGGGAGGATGAACAATTTGTTTACACTTTGCTAATGCGAATTAGCCCATTGT